TAAATTTAAACGATCTCTCTATTGAAGGCATCAAATATGTAAATTAATTATCGCTTATTGATAATGATTTTAATATTATATTATTCTAAAGTATTGCATCAATATATTAACTTATGTGATAAAATTGTAAAATTTATTGTGATATATATTAAGTATTTACATTGTATTATTTTTTTATTATTTGCTTTATTTATATGCATGTGATGCCATAATATTTATTAACCTTAAATCAAGTATTAAATCATTTATACCCATATCATACTCATATCAATCTTTAAAGTATTAATAATTTATTATTATTATAAATATATTATTTAAAAGTATTTTCTGTATTTTCTACTTATTTAAAGATTATTTTCATGACTTAAAAATGCTGTATTTTTGTGCGCAAATCATATAAAAATACTATACAGTAGACTATACTGTAATTACATAAACAGAATTTAATGTAAAATTATATAAATAAACCTATTTTTGAAATTTCAATTTATAATTATTAATAAATATATTGACATTATAATTATTTAATATAAAATTGGTTATATAATATAATATCTATATTATGATAATATAATATAAAATCTTTAAATAAAATCACTACCAAAAATAAATAATTGATTTTAATCTTCATATTACAAGTAATTAAAATAATTACAATACAATTTTATTATTTTTTATATTGATATATTGATATATAATATAAAAGATAATTTAATATATTGATATTATGGGCTGATAGAGTGATTTAAGGAATCAAAAATCCCGAATAGTGATGGTAGCTCAGACCCCCCTGAGTCTCCCCATACTACCCACATAGCTGTCCGACCTCCGCAATTCGAGATATTCGACTTTAAAGTCGAAAATTATTTTTGACGTTATTTATGAATATGATACACACTTTCTATGTATTTTTCAATACTAATTATGATTATAAAAACTAAATCACATTATGTCAAATAGTTTTCGAGATTCGACTTTTAAGTCAAAAAAAATATTTATGAATATGAGATATATTATTTATGCAATTTCTAATACTAATTATAAATATTAAAATTCATTTTTAAAATTCATTAAAATTCATTGTCACATAGTTTTCGAGATATTCGACTTAATCAATTTCTTTTGAGGTTATTTATTATTAATATATATATATCAAACAGTTTTTCCGATCACTAATTATATTATTTTCTATTAACTGATTTATATAATAGTCAGGATCATTGTTATATAGTTTTTGAGATATTCGACTTTAAAGTCAAAATATATATTTGTGACAAAATAATTTAAGCATCTTAAATAATAATTAGAATTATTTTAATTTTAAATATTAAATTTAAAAAATACATTTGTATAAATTTATTATTTATTAAAAATTAAATATAATTTGATTATGACTAGAGCATTTATTTCACATATAACTTATATTTTTAGTGATTAAAGATATTAACAAAATAATTAGATATATAAACGATTGATTAAAAACCAATAATTATAGCAAAAGTTTTAGTCACATAAACACATTTTGAAAGGTAGTCACATATTATCAAATACTATCACATATTATCACATATTTCGCATATAACTGTAAAATAATAGTTGAATTGCATTTTTTTTATGTATTTTTGTATGTATTATTTGTTTAATTTTTTAAAAATAGTATTATTTTATCAATGAAACTATTTGTTAATTTTTGTAAACAAATAAAAAAAATAATGAAATGTTTTATGTTATTTTCTAGTGTTTACTAAAAGACAATAGGAGTGAAAATGTTATTTAGATTAATTTAAATTTATACAAACATTTTAAAAGCTAAATATTTTTAATTTATGCGTTTTTTAAGTTTAAATAATAAAAATATAAAATATCACTTTATCATAAATTGTAACACAAAATTAATTTTATTAATTAATATATAATTTTTAATAATTTTAATAATCTATATAATCACATATTTTGACTTTTCAAAGCAATTATAAGCACATTTTTTACTATTTTAAGCAAATATAACCACATATTTTCATATATTTAAGCAAATATTTTATTGAATAAAAAAAAAATTTTAGCCACATATATCTAAAGTTACTAATTATGACTTAAAAATTAGTTTTAATATAATAAAATTAAGAATTATATTCTAACAATGGAACGTTTTTCCCTGATGCGCCCCTTTTTGACCATGGTATATTATAAATTATAGATAATATATCTAATTTAAAATAAATAATAATATTAGCACCTAATGGGCGGGTTTAAGGGGGCTAAGGGGGTTTTAAAGATTTAGATAATAATATATTTAAAATATAAAGTGCTATTTTCAACATAGCCTGTGTGGCCGAATGGTAGAGTGTACGCTTTAAAACCTATAGTACCAGAGTTCGAATCCTTGTTTTCATATTGTATTTTTTGATTATATTTTTTATATTTTTTAATTTTTTTAAATAAAAACACAACTAATAACATAATTAACTCATTATTAWTTTTTTTGCATCAAAAACATTAATGAAATACATTTTTAGTACAATAATTTATGTTAATATAATTTACATAAAATAATTAATTTGTTTTCAATATATTAAATTTGTTTATTTAATGTTTTTGATGTAAAAATAATAATAATAAGCTAATTATGTTATTAGTTGTGTTTTTATTTTAAAAAATTAAAAAATATAAAAAATATAATCAAAAAATACAATATGAAAACAAGGATTCGAACTCTGGTACTATAGGTTTTAAAGCGTACACTCTACCATTCGGCCACACAGGCTATGTTGAAAATAGCACTTTATATTTTAAATATATTATTATCTAAAACTTTAAAACCCACTTAGCCCACTTAAACCCGCCCATTAGGTGCTAATTTTATTATTTATTATAAATTAGATATATTTTCTATAATTTATAATATACCATGGTCAAAAAGGGGCGCATCAGGGAAAAACGTTCCATTGTAAGTATTTTTAAATGTAATAAATAATATGTTTATATAATAAAATAAATGTATTAAAATTAAGTTTATAAATTATTTATAATGTAATTAATAAAATTTTTAATAATTAGATTAAGTTTAAAAAAGTTAGTAGACAAAAACATTATTCTAACAATTTTTGGTGGATCATATATACCACTTGCTGAGTTTTTTAATCGAAAAGCACTTCGATTGCCATTTAGACATCATGCGGAATTTTTATTTTTTCGACTTTAAAGTCCAATATCTCGAAAAATGTTTGACATAATGTGATTTAGTTTTCATAATCATAATTAGTATTGAAAAATACATCGATAGTATGTCATATTCATAAATAACGTCAAAAATAATTTTCGACTTTAAAGTCGAATATCTCGAATTGCGGAGGTCGGACAGCTATGTGGGTGGTATGGGTAGACTCAGGGGGGTCTGAGCTACCATCACTATTCGGGATTTTTGATTCCTTAAAGAGCTCTACCAACCGATATTATGTTCAATACTATGATTCAATAGTGTAAATATTTATTATAATGACATCATTGTAATGTATTGTCAATAAAATATGCATTTTTTCTTTAAAAAATACTGAAAACTTAATAAATAAATTTTGATTTTCAGATAATTAATTTAATATTTATTCTTATTTTAATTTTTATAAACACATTATTTTTCTTTGAAATTGAGATTTAAGATAATTATAAACAAATATTTTAGATTTTTTTCTATTAGTTAATAAACACTAATTTTCAAATAATTAAATAAATAACATAATTTATAACTTATGTGATAGAAATGAATAGTAAACATTAAGTATGAAACACTTTTTTGTTAAACATTTAGAGTATAAAATATGTTTATTAAATATTCAAAAATTTTAATTTAAGTATTGTTTATGTTAAAAATTTTTGCATTAATTTATAGATTTATATTTATAGAGAGTTAAAAGTATTAATATTGATTTAAATTAATTATTTCAATCATTTCTCTGATAAATTTCTAATAAAATATGCATTTTTTCAATACTATAGTACCGGTAGTAACCTTACAGTATGTAATCAAACTATACTAACATGATAATAGGATAATATAAATATACGATAATATGAATAAAGAAAAATCGATAGTGTTTTTCAAATATTGTATATTTTTAACTGCAATAAATTAAATTTTTTTATTAGCACTTAATATCATGAAATTGTTAATATAATGTATTAAATTTATACTGTAGTATAAAATTGGGTAATTCAAAAAGTATAAAATATATTATTTATATTAAGACAATTATTGAAGTACTTAAAAATCAGTTGCTATTAAAGCTATAAATATTTTTTTTAATTTATACAATATTTTTTAAAAAGAGTACTATCATATTATAATATCACTTATACAGTATATAATTTTAAACGTTAACATCTATTTTTTAAAATATAATAATTAATATTACTCAAAGCTATCAATAATTAGCAGATATATAATTTTTGAATTTATTAATTTTGAATATATAGTACTGTATTGATTATAATTTAAAATTTGAAATACAGTATAAAGTATAATAAAATTAAATCAACTTTTTTTTGTAGACACTTAGCTAAAGAAAAAATCGTGATTAAATTCTGTATAAATTTATAACTCAAAAATTTTAATATATATATATAAATATTTATATCAATGTTTCGCACAATATACTGTATAAGGTATATTAATTGTCCTTGCTAAATAACTACACGTTTCAGTGAGGAAAGGGATGTATTAGAAATCCTGTGTAATTTATTATAGAAATTGACATCATCTCTAACTTTATTCAAAATATTGAAATAAATAAATTATTTTCAAATTATTTGAAAATATCACTCGTGTTTAGAATAGTATTAACTTAATAATAGTCAAAATATTTCAACGATATATTGTTTTAATTTAAATATTTTTATATAAAATACAGTTAATTAGAAATTATCAATAAAAATATATAGAGTATATAAATTTTATTAAAACTATGCGCAATAATATAATTACATCTATAATATCTATTGGTATAATATTTTTGATTAGTTTTAATCAAAATTTATGTCAACCATTCCCAAGAGCTAATGGTCCGCATCCTGACATCGTAAGGGGTCGCGAAAGTCATGGCCCCGAGTGCTCTATTGACTATAGTATTGATTATATAATACTAGCACTTCAGTGGCCAACCAGTTATTGTCTGCAACAACAGCGCTGTAATCGTCACGCAAATCATAATCGATGGCAAATACACGGTCTTTGGCCGCAGCGTCAGGTTTATGGTGAGCCACCGGCACAGTTCTGTTGCACCCGAAATCCATACAATCCAAGTTTATTAGACCCGCTTAGAGATCAACTATTGGCCAAATGGATGAGTCTGAGAGACGACGCCCGACACGACTCATTTTGGCGACACGAGTGGACTAAACACGGCTCGTGTGGCCGCCGATCGCCATCACTGGCCAATCAATTCTTATACTTCAATACAACACTATCACTATATGATTCATTTCCGTTAAAAGATTGGTTAAGTCGTTCAGATATATTGGCGTCAAATGATCGGCTATTTTCTGTGAACCACTTTCACGATGCCATTGAAAAGCATCTGAAAAGTCGTGTCCGCCTCGAGTGTAGCCTCAATCGCGGACCACCTGAAGCTCAATCACCACCTATTTTGGCTGAAATTCACATTTGTTTAGATAGAAAAACATTAACTCCTATTGATTGCCAAAAACGAGATGACAGACAGTGTTTTTCTAATAGCAATAAAAATCTTGTTTTATTTCCTAAACATTAATTATATTATAATTAAAGCATTTTTTATGATTATAAATATTTATTCATATATTTTAAATATTATGAATTTATCTATAGTATAGACTATTCATATATAGACTATCAGTATAGTATTACAGTAATTTAATCTCTTATAAATTTATAGAAAATATATATTTTTAAAATTCTTTAAATCTTTAACAAAACTACTAATAAAATTGAATGACTTAATCATTATTAATAAATACAAATCATAATCATTGATGTCATTATATGAATGTACAGTATCGGCATTGCTGGGTACTATTTGGATAGAAATAATGGGAGGGTTGGGAGGCGGCGGGCATTTAATAATTGATACAATGCATTAATATAGTGCAACACATGATATTATGTAATGTATGACCAAATAATATTGTATATCACAGCTATTATAATAAAATTATCAAATATTTAAATTTAAATCATTGACCGCTTTGGTTATCCATTCGGGATAATCGTGTTTATTATCACCGAAATGAAACTTAAGATTATTACAAATAAATTGTTCAAAAACCCCATCTCTGATGGAGTCGCGGATAAGTTTCATAAAACGCATCTGAAATCGGATATTATGTTCACTCAGCAGATGACAACCGACGGTATTTTTGTCGCGCATCAAGTGATGGATGTAAGAGCGGGTATAGTTCAGACATGCCTTGCAATCGCACTCCTTGTCCAGCGGTCCAAAGTCAGCGGCCAATGAGGGGCTCCTAAGATTCAGCTCTTTGCCGTAACCAATTAGCGCACACCCAAATCGGGCGGTTCGGGTTGGAAAGACACAGTCAAAGAGATCGACACCGAAAGCCACACACATTAACATATCGATGGCCAAACCAACTCCCATCAAATACCTCGGTTTGTTTGGTGGTAGACTCTCGGTGCTAACGGACACCATCTCAATAAACTTCTCTTTCGCCTCTCCGCCACTGAGTCCGCCAATAGCTATACCGACTGGATCTCTGGCAACAATTTGATCAACCGATTGGCGTCGAAATTCTGGATTGAGTCCGCCCTGTATTATAGGAAACAAATTTTGTTTGGTTCGGCGTCCAGTTCGGTCTTCGGTGACGGCCTTGTCGTGTGTGAGTCGACACCTATCGTACCACCGAATCGATCGATGCAATGCCTCTTCCATCCGTTGTTGGTCGGGATGTGTTGTTTTAATCACGTCATCCAATTGCATCATAATATTTGACCCGATCTTGTGTTGCATTTCGGTGGCCATTTCAGGCGTCAACAGCATCTCGTCTGTTACATCGGTACTCTCCTTATCGTATGGACTCCTAAATAAGACACCGTTTTCGGTAACTTCTGACAATTTACTCAGCGATACCATCTGAAAGCCACCTGAATCGGTCAGAAGGGCGTTACGCCAACGCATAAACTCGTGAATACCGCCCGCCCGGTCCACTGTGTCCACACCGGGTCGACTGCCCACGTGATACGTGTTGGCTAGTATTAGTCGGGCGCCGTTGCGTTCAATCTGTTTCGGTAAGAGTCCCTTAATCGTGGCATTAGTGCCGACCGGCATAAACATCGGCGTATCAATCGTAACGTCCTGACCGGCGATACCGCCGTCCGATAGTGACCTGAGAACCAGTTTCGAGAGTCGGGCCCGAGTTTTGTTGCACTCAACCAACACCTCAAACGACAATCCTTTGCCACTCATTATATGTTTGATTACTATTACACGTGTTTTATTACAACATTAATAATCGCTATTTATTTACAATAATTATTGTCTCAACACATGCTTTGATTGCAATTAAAATTATTGTAAATATTGTCATAAAATTACATAAACGATGTCTCTGTATATTAATCTGTATATTGTTTATACATTTGACATATATTTGACATACATTACAATCAAACTTATTAAACATTTTTGTTTATTATTAATTAAATGGAAAAAACATTAAATTGACATTAAATTAATTAATTGAAATAATGATTATAAGTATATAATGTTAATTAATTATATGTATTTCTATTTGTGATATATTTATTTATAAATTTTCATAAGAAAATATATGTTTAAGATATGTCAAGTCATATGTTTATATAATACTGTAAATTTATTATACAGTATATACAGTATCAATGATTTTATGACATTTGTTTTAAAAACACAAAAATTTATTAATAAAACATTAGTTTAAACTTGAAATTAAAGGACGATTTTAAAATAGACTTCACATTAGTTAATGTGATAAATAGTACGGTATTTGCTATTATTATAGTTTATATATTTTAAAGTTATTTTTGAAAACTAAATGAATAAATATTTTATTTTTTTTGTTTTATCTTTATTTAAAATAGTGTCTGTAATGCGCTTTTAATTGCATTTCTTGTTATTTATTTTAAAAAACTTATTTGCATTGAAAACGAGTTTTATAGCATTCGTTGTAATCAATGGATTACAACATAGTAGACACCGATAATGACCGCCAATCGTTCAGCCGATTGGGCGATGATTTGTGTGAAGTAGTGTTAAGTTATCTACCGATTACCGACAAATTGGTCACTGAATGTGTGTCCAAACAGTTCCGTCGTTTGGTCTTCAATAAGCAAAATGTGTTGATATTAAGCCAAAACCCGTTCAATGAACGCTATAATACTGTCAGTCAAGTGTTAGTCCCATCACCCGATTATAAGCGTCTGTTCACTGTTGACATCGATTTATTGGCCAATTTGCTGAAGAAATTGCCAAACATTGACACATTAATTATCGACAACTACTGCATAATCAATGGCCAATTGTTGAGATGTGTGGCCGATAATTGTCGCCGATTGCGACGCTTTGTGTGCACAGCCATCAAGTGTTACGACATGACTGACGATGATATCTCTTATTTTGGTCACAGTATCGGCTATACGTTACGCGTTATACAGTTTGACTGTCTTCAAGAGCCACAGATGAATCACATCTTAAAACTAACCAAAGATACCGTAGAAGTGGTTAACATACAGAACAACAACTTTATTGTCAGCAATGACTTCGTATTTCTCGACTTCGAGTCAATGACATCCCAACCATCGATGAACACTGAGTTGAAGTGTTTGCGGATGTGTTCAAAGTTGAACACAATTCAGATTACGTGTTATAGTGTCGATGATCTCAAACGTTTGGCTGACTTTTACTCAACAAATATCAAGAAAATTGAGATCAAATTCATGTCAAACTATCTGTTGGGAGATGTGATGAACTCATGTCTTAAACAATTGTCACGTTTTACAAGTCTTTATTCATTATCGCTGTTGATCTACAACTATCAGAAAGGTATGATTCAGCCGATAGACGAAGGACTTCGACTGATTGGTCAAAACTGTCTAAAACTTGAGTACTTTGTCTGTGAAATGACCAAAAACTTAATCTCTGGTCAACTGTTTGATGTTTTCTCACAGTTTTCATCACTCAAATCGTGCAAAATAAGCACCAATTATGAGTTGCTAACCAATAATGATCCTTACGGTACGGTCGCACTGTTGACCAAATGTCGACAATTGAAAAGTTTGACACTTTATTTGAAATACCTGAGCGATAAACATCTGTCGGATATTCATCAATCGTTACCACTGTTAAAGACTTTGAAAGTGAATACAAGTAATGGCTTTATTGGAAACAAAACACTGCATTCATTGTCTCAATTGTCCCGATTGTCAACTGTTGAGATTAGCGGTACAAGTGCTGCACTGCTTAACATTACCGATGATGGTGTTTGTCCAATGGTGGCTAATTGTCCACTACTGAGACAGTTGTGTTTATTTTGCAAGACTGGTGTCAGTCAGCAAACTATTGATCAGTTTATAACAGTGGCTCTGAAATATCCAAAAAAAAATTATCGATATTTTTACGAATTAAATCATGATTTATGTAATGAAGTGCCACTTGATTATCATTTAACAGGCAATAATGTGCCCACAAATTTGCAAGTTTATCAAATTTAATTTAATATAAATCAATTGTTATAATATATGATCAATTAATAAGATCGGTTATAACTTATATGATTTTAACGAAATATACCGGTAATCGTTATATTGTTGTATAGGCTAATATTTTATACATTTAATTTAATTGTAACTTATCTTGATGAAACATTACTATAAAACAAATTACATTTTAATTAAATATTTATTTAGATAATTGATGATTATGATTGTTTATCAAGCATTAATGAGTTTAATTTATGTTAAAATTTTATTTATTTTTAATATTATTGAAATAATTTAGAAAATAATTTTAATATATTTTTTAGAATTACCAGTAAATTAATTTTATTTTTAATTACAATCTTGTTTATATGAAATACAAACACAAAATACAAAATGTTTATAATATAAATATAAAATAATTTTGAAAAGTAATAATATTAAATAAATATAACAACGATTTAAATTTGCAATTTGCAACTAAAATAGAAAACTTAAAGCAATTATTAGTAATATTAATAACTTATTATAATAAATAAATGTAAGTTTTGATGAAATGAAATGTTGATATTTCTAATTAAGTGTGGAAATTACAATTAAAAAAATTTAATCTTATATTTAATTAATAATATGTCACATTTATAAATGATAATATTGAAATATAAATTATATTAAAACCAGTTATAGTTTAAGAATAATTTGAAACAAGTTTTTAAGTTATTTAAATGATTTTCTAAATAATACATTAATACAGTATATAACTTGTAGTATACAACTGAGCCATTATTTAATGATAGTATATAAATTAATTGATATTATTTTTTTAAAATATAATATTTAAATGTCATTTAAAGGTTATTCATGTATTATAATTATGACTCTAGCCCTGAGCTGGATGATTATGATGCCTATGATAATGTGTGGTAAGTGTCCACAAACTCCAGTGTCAATCAACTGTATTTGTGAGTCACAAACCATCAGATGTGTCGGCGATGAGTCATTGGATTTGAAAAGATTTTTTAAAGATTTGAGTCAAATGTTATCGGAAAATGAAAAACATTTTGATTTTTTTATATTAAACAATAGTAACATTGAATTCATTGAAAATAATACATTTTCAGACATAACTTTCCGATTTGTTACTATAATGGATGTCGAAAATCTTCGTTATATAGATTTAAATGCATTCAGTGAACCGTTAGCTAAACGTATTGAAGTGTTTGAAATGATTGGCGATAATAAACTAATAGATCCGCAACAAGTGTTTCAAGTTATCAATTTGTTTGAAAATTGCATTTCATTGACACTAAATTTTTATAAACTACAAACTATACCTCCCTATAGCTTCTATAGCCTGAAACATCTACAAGAGATAACTATAACCAATGGTGAACTCAACTACATTTCAGACAATAGTTTTTATTTGAAATACCATTCAAACCAATCGCTTATAATTGATTTATCAAATAATAATTTAACACAATTTAGTTTCGGTCGTCACTCGTTGGTCGGCACCAATAGACCCATTGAATTAGATTTAAGAGATAATCAATTGACTGTTTTGGAGAGAGAAATATTTAGACCATTCCTCTCCAGTAATACAAAAAACTCTATAAATCTCAGCGCAAATCCCATCAATTGTCAGGACTGTCACATCAAGTGGTTGGTTGAAGACAAACATATATTTGAAGACAATGTTTTTGAGGTCCGATGTCAGCATTATGTGTCTGTTTTTGAACTTAATTTAAATGATTTTACAAAATGTAATAAATAAATATTGAATTATTATATTTAATATTTATTGCTAATATAAAATAATACAATACAGTAGATTATCAAATATAATTGACAAATAGACAAAACTATTTATTTTTTTAATAATAATTTTATTGATAGAAAATAATATTTAAAGATAATTATATATTTCCTATTATTATTTTCAAATTATATTATCATAAATTTAATAAGTTGTAACAAAAAAACATTTAATTTTTTTTTAATAAATATGAAGTCTAAAATATAAATATAATAATAAATTATTATTAATAATAAATAACGAACCTTGAAATTTTAATATTGATATCTTTTTATAATTTTTAAAAAAAATAAATAATAGTCATTATATAAATTGACATAAATGTATAACTACTATATTACACTTTAATTATATATTGTAAAAATATTGTTAAAACAAGTTCATTGCAAACAAATAATAAATTTTTAAAAACAAATATTTTTTATTAGTATTGTCTTTTTTATATATATAAAAGAGTAAAAATAAGATTTGAAGGAAATTTTAAAATTTGAATTAACAAAACAATAACAGATGTTATGAAACAACACTGTAATTAACAATAAAGGATTACTGGTTTTATGTAATCAACAAATAAAAAAAATCAAAATATAATAAACTTGTAGAAAGTGTTTCAAAAACACATATAAAAAATAATAAATTTATAACTATTATTAATAATTATATTATTATTTCTATAAAAGAAATTTCAATAAAAAAAAATGTTGTTAAAAGAAATGTTTATTTAGATAAAACAATATTATTATATTTAGAAATTGTATAAAAAGTGTTTAATATTGTTATATTATATTTCAATAAACATAAATTTATTTAAAAAAGAGTATAGCAATTATGTACAAACAATAGATCTTAAATTATAAGCTCAATGTTAACCACAAATTGATTTATCATTGATTTATTAAATCAATTAATTAATTATCTTTAATTATTATTGTCAACAACACCAAGATGTATAACAACTATAATTAAATTAATTTTTATAATTTAATATATAAAAAATTTATGTTTTCATTATTTTCATATATATTATTTTTTATTGATTTATATAATATTAATCATACATTAATTGGTATATCATATAAAAAATCCCAATAAAATACATGTATACTAAATATTGTAATATATAATATACTATAGAATAATTTAATTAAAAAATAAGCATTTATTTTTTATGATCTAGACTAGTTTACTTTTATTTAAATTTTATTATTTTTTATAAAATATAATCTTACATTTTTGCAAATAACCTAAATTAAAGTGTTAATAAATGCAAAAATATAATGAAAAATAACTATTGTTATAAAATATAATATCTTGATATCACATAATCAATAATAGAATAATTACTATTAATTACATATCCTTTAATTATGTTTTTATTTGCATCAAAACAAATATAATTCATTTTTTATGTAAACAATATTTGTTTTTACATACACTCGAAAAAAAAATAAAAAATATATATTTGTGTCCATAAAACCGGTAATCCTTGGATGTCATTATCATCAATAGAAAACATTAGACAACTCATGGATTAATAGTGACATTAATAGCATAGTATATATAAAGAGAGTTCAATCTCTGCAAACAATATCACAATTCACCAGATCTTCTGTATTGAAGTTTTTTTGAATACAATATTTTATTTTAAAACAATGAATAAGTTATCGTTGTTTTGTTGTTGTGTTCTTATAGTAACCATAATTCATGTCAATGTAGTTCAAAGTGGTAGCTATGGTGGTGGCGGTGGAAACGGTGGTGGCTATGGTGGAGGAAGTGGTGGAGGTAAGAGAGGAGGCAATGGTGGAGGCAATGGTGGAGGCAATGGTGGAGGCTATGGAGGTGGCGGAAGCAATGGTGGTTATAGTAGCGGCAATGGAGGCGGAAGAAGTGGTGGTTATAGTAGCGGCAGTGGAGGCGGAAGAAGTGGTGGTTATAGTAGTGGCGGTGGAGGAGGTTTTAGCGGCAAAAATAGCGGCTATAATAGCGGAGGTAGTGGAAGTGGTTTTAGCGGCAAAAATAGCGGCTATAGCGGCGGTGGTGGAGGTTATGGAGGAGGAAAAAGTGGTGGCAATGGTGGCGGTAACGGAGGTGGTTATGGTGGTGGAGGAAAATCTGGAGGAGGAAGTGGCGGATATGGCGGTGGAAATGGTGGTAGTGGTGGACGAAGTGGAGCATATAATAGTGGAGGCAATGGTGGCAATTTTGGCAAAAGCAGTGGTGGAAGTGGGGGTTATGGTGGCGGAGGAAATGGAGGCTTCGGTGGCAAAAGTGGAGGTGGAAGCGGATATGGCGGCGGACTATCGGGTGGATATGGAGGTGGAAATGGAGGCGGATATGGTGGAGGAGGCAAAAGTGGTGGCGGTGGTGGTTATGGCGGCGGAAATGGTGGTCATGGAGGTAGTGGTGCTTTCCGTAGTGGCGGTTATAGCCGATAAACTCTATCCTTACAAATCTAATCATTGTTTTTGTATTATCCAAAGATTTTTAATATATATATTAATATAACAAATAAGTTTAAAAATTATGTTAAAATCATTTACAAAAAATGCTATTATAATAGTATTATATGTATTTAAAAATAATATGGTAATAATCATTATAATAAAAATTATAATAACTTACAAGTAATAATATTTTAAACTTTCAATTTTATGACATTTAATTGTATAGTATTGATATAAATATGTATTTAAATTGTATTATATTAACATTTAATAAATAATAATAATTAAATTTTAACTATCTTAATTGTCTAGTTATTTTAAAATTTTATTTTAGTTATAAAAATAAATATAAGTAAATAAAAGTTGTTAATATTTTTGTCAAATTAAAATAAGATTTATTAATGATAATAAGTTTAATTTATAATAATAGTGATAATAAATATATAATATGAAATTATGTACAAAAAACAAATAGCCATAATTACTAAAGTAAATAATAAATATTTATTTATTAAATATATAGTTTGTATCAAAACTTTCACTAATTATGAATTAATTGTCATTCATTTAATACTTTTTTGGTCCACTTTTATGATTGATTTTAGTGCCATACGATACCGGACCTCCCTTTCCTTTAGATGAACCACCACCATAACTACGACCTCCCTTTCCACCGCTATATCCTTTTCCACCGCCAAAGCCCTTTCCTCTATCGCTGTGGTCTACTTTGGAGCCGTAAGATACCGATCCTCCCTTTCCTCCATAACCTATAAAAAATTAATCAATTAATAAATATGTAAACTATTTAAAAATCTTACGATAAATACCTCCAGCGGTACAATCGATGTTTGATATAATGCATACATTGATCACAAATATAATAACAAACACATAACAAATATATTTGCTAATCATTTTGGTGTCAAAAGTATTGTTTTCTTATCAATTTACTAAATGTATTGATAAACAATTATTGGTTTTAACAATTTGTTTTCAAAAAATCTACACTTTATATATACACTGAAATAACACTTGAAATCATGCGTTTTGCTCTAAAATTATATAAATTAAATATTTGAAAAACTATTAGCTATGACATGTATTTAACTTAATGACAATTTCAAACATTATCATTATATAGAGTCAATTAAGCGATTGTTACATGTAGATCAATAAGTGATAAATTAAAATAATTTTTTTATTATACACTGTATTTATGATTATTACTTTTAGTTTCATTTGTTTTAAAAATAAAAATTTAAAGACATTGAACTTCTAACTTAAATATAAATAACTATATTATTATTATGAAAAATATTGGGTCAAATAAATGTCAAGGTGTTAAATGGGAATAAAATTATGCGCTATTTTTGATTAATATATACTCTATAAACGTATTATTGTTAGAATTATTAGTGTACTAAATGTAAATTATAATGAAATTGTAATTAATTTATATAAAAATATTAACTTTATTTGCTTTTGAATAGCCATTGGTCTTATATCTTAAAGATACCGTACTTAAAGTTTGTCACTCATATTGTACAGTAAATTATATTTCAATTAAATTTACGTCAAACCAATAAAAAATTATTATTAGTACCGGTAAATAAAAATTATACGTTTCAATTAAAATTAATCAGTATCAAAAAAATCAATCAATATAATCAGTTAAAATATAAGTTTCAAATTCAATAATTTATTTTATTTTAATTCAATTACAAGTTTTGTAAGACTAAATAGCAATCAATATGATTAATAAAATAAAATTACTAGTAATTTAATTAAAAACAATTTACGGTATGTGTTTGTGAAAGATTAGCTATTGTATACCCAAACGTATAAACATTTAAGTTATTTTAATAGTCCAGTTGCTGGTGAAGCTCAGTGCAGGTTTGCGTACAACTAATATACGCTTTGTTTGATCGTATTTAAAGGCCAGTTGTGTTGTCTTCTCTTCGGATGTGATGACAATCTTCTGAGGTTTCGATGGATATCCAAAAATAGTCACTCTTTCGAGCCATGCCTTCGATTCATTCCATTTGCCATCAATTAGTTCATAGGTTAATGTCTTTCTGTTGAACTCTATTTTGCTGTAAATATGTTTTCCATTCTTGTAGTCAAACGTCTGTCCGTCGTCCAGATAGAGCTGACCATTAGCTGAACCACTATTATTGAGAAATACATCCAAAGATAACGGATCGTGAATTGTCAAAACGGCACTCCTTCTCATACGTTCTCTAAAAATATAGAAAATCATATTATTATTATAAACTGTATTTTTTTTAAATTTAATATTAATTATTACTAACCTTTTTGCCACAATAGTGCCACTTCTCTGAAACACTGGAACTGTATTGAGATCGGCCTGAACTGTGTGTGAATGGCCGCCACTATAAACATGATGTGTCTTAACATCAATCCAAGCAGTATTTCCTTCAGTCGGGAAATAAACAGAGACAGATGTTTCGCCCTGTGTTTGAATTGGATGAACTAATAGTGCGTCGCCCAACATATAGGCGTCATCGATAGCAAATGATTGAACATCTTGAGGGAAATGCATCCAAAGCGGTCGCATTGGAGGCATTCCTGATATTTCGTTCTCGTAAAACAGTTTATACATTAATGGCAAATAAGTGTAACGCAAACGAATTGCTAATTAGAAAAATTATATCATCAATTAATTATAGACTAATTATATATTAATATTTATTTAATCCATACCATCTCTAATAGCGAGTTTAGTTGGTTCAGAGAAAAGCCACGGTTCACGACGTTTAGTGTCGAGATGTGCGTGACCTCTGAAAAACGGATGGAATACTGAAGTCTGATACCAACGGACTACCAATTCCTCTGATTCCGGGTTAAAGAAAAAGCCGGGAATATCTGCGCCAATAAATGTTATTCCGGTCACAGAATGTGATAATAGCATCGGTATAGTCATTCTCAAATGTTCCCATTTAGACATATTATCCCCCGTCCAGGCGGCACAATATCGTTGAGAACCAACAAAAAATGATCGGGTCAATATGAAGGGTCGAATATTGGGTCGGTGTTGTACCATACCCTCATAAGTCGATTTTGTCATTAGAAATCCATACATGTTATGCAGATCCCGGTTCTCTACACCACCATAATGCTATAATCGAGAGAAATACAGTATAAACGATAATAAACTACCCGTTCAATCAAAAGTATGTATATATTATATGTATTACTTTCATATCTCTCGGAGACGTTACTTCAGGTCCATTGAACATCGATGGTTCATTCATGTCGTTCCAGATGTCGACTAAACCATCAAATCCTGGATAATGCGACGGTGCATACTTGTCGGACCACCACTTACTGGCTTCGGGATTAAGATAGTCGACCCACATTGAGGTGCCCGGCCAACACCATCCTATAAAAAATTGTATTATAAATAAATTTATTTATTTTAATAGATTATAAGCAAACCTTCATAATCATTATCTTTGGTATCTTTAGTAAAATATCCATATTTGGTGCCTTCAGTATATATGTGATAATTGGGATCTTTTTTGATATGTGGATCAATAATTGTAATCAATCGGCGACCTTTCGATGTAAGATTTGATACCAAAGATTTTGCGTCACCAAATGTCTGCGGATCCCAAGTAAAATACTTCTTCGATTTTGATTCCGTGTACTCGATGTCCAACCAAATGGCATCCATAGGAATGTCGTGTTCATCGGCACTAAAATCAACTTCACTTACTTCTCCTTTTGATAGCAAAAAAACAGAAATAATTATAAAATCAATTTTGTTTCGTATATTATTGTCAAACCTTGAGTCCAATAATTCCATCGGCACTGATGGTAACCAATTGAATACAATGGCGGCAGTTGTGTAGTACCCGTTAACTTTGCATTCTGTGACATAACGTCACTCGATTTTGGCCCCAATAAGAAAAACACGTCAACAACGCCGGTCTCACTGAACCAATGAGTTAACTTGTTTTTGGACTCTCCAGAAACCAAATTAGATATAAGACCAGTTAATCCAGTATTGGATGACTCAACGTCTATCCAAGTCTCCGATGGATTGAGCCATAAAAGACCGACAGTACGTGATGTCGAGTGTGCTATCATTAAGGGATAGGCGCCATACAATGACATTGGCGTTTCGATTTCATATTCAAAGATATCGACATTATAGAGTCGATAGGGATCAGTAGTTCCTGAAAGAAATTATCAACTCATTTAGTATTACAAGAATTACAACTAAAATTTTATACCTTTAGTATTTTTGAGGGCAAACCTATCGGCGTGTTCTGGTATACCATAGACGTACTCGAAGTCGACAAATGAGAAATCGCAACCTACAGACATCGGGCCATACGGTTTGGTGTCGGTATGCGATTTGAATGACTCTTCCCAACAACCGTCAGTACATTCCTCAACCGGTTGTTGTTGTTGGGCCTCATTGTTCTCTCCTTCTGTATAATCAATTACACAAATTTAAATTAAATAACAATAAAAATGCCAAAATTAATTTTAAAAAATTATTTTAAAAATGTGTTTCAATCAATAATTATTTGGTGCATCAATTGGCTAATTATTTTTTGGATATTAGGAAATTGGGATAAAGACATAAATGTGAGGAACAATTGCTTTTTTGATTAATAATTAGCCAAATTAGTGATGAAAAAAGATTATTTAATCGCACCGTTAGCCTCATTAGACTCTAATGTCTCATAATTGTCAAGCGAGTCATCCACTTCTGGATTATAGTATTGATTGGGATTATCATCGTTTAAATACTGATAACCGTCTAAACAAATTTTTTTTGTTAAAACTTAAATCTTTTTAAAGTATTTGTAGTAATATTTGCAAAATTTTAATATTAATTATTCTTCGATTAATATATCAATCATTTTCAATACCTGTCGGCTTTGGTCTCGTGTTTTCAAACTTGAAAAGTCCTCTTTGGTTACCACTGATGACCAGTTTATCATCGCTGTAGACATCGATGCGAAACGGTTTTCCATTGACAACAATCTTATTCTTAGTATTGTCGAGATGTACAGTAAAACCGTCAGATGACTGGTCAGTAATTTCCAGTTTAGCCTGAGGTATGTCCTCAAGAAGCGCGTCTTTGGCTTCAAACCTATCACGCAATGAATTTAATTCATTGACCTTAAGTCTGGCCACTTGTCCGCCGATCAACGAATAGAGTATGGCCTGTAATGTAACACCTGATGCCGTGCTCTTAAGCTTAAAATCTACCGAATGTCCATTAGATGACTGGACAACAGATTCAGTAACAACAACCCATTGATTGTCTTCAGACGGAGTTTGCTGTCGGTGTCGGCTATTCAGAGGACAAATAAATAACGATATTTAATACCCGTATAAGAAAAATAAATATCATATAATTTATATGTGATATGAAAGCACCGGTATATAGAGCTACGTGTGCTAATCGGATACAACTCTCAATTGACAATAATTTATATAACATTCAAATTATAACAAATGAAAGTTATGTTAAAAACCGGTAATAAAAACAATATAACAATAGTGTTGGCCAGTGGTCGTCACCGATCCCGACCATCATAATCGGTACTCACCGACAAAACCCAGCCTGGTCACACGTCCGGAAGTTTGACCGGTCGGCACATTTGGCCAAACATATTACCGACAATAATAAACAAACTGTTAATAATAATAAACGCATAGTGTATTTGTTTTAATAAAACATTTGTTTAGTTAAAAGTTTATAAAAATAACTAAAAAAATCAACAAATCATTAAAATAATAAATATATTAAACAATTGTGTGTTTAATGATAATCACTGTATTTTAAACACTATTATACTGTAAATCAATGTATTGTTAACTAATATATACTATTGGAAAGTGAATGGTATTAACAGTAATACAATATTAGACTATATTTTATATTATTATTATTAGAGAAAACTTGTTGTCAGCACTCAATCAATAGACTATTGGATAACAACACGTAATGTTTAATACAATACGACTACACGTGTGTTAATCATTAATAATGTCATTCAATGAATTGTCCCCCAAATTGATGTTTAATACAACTAAAAGTGTGTTTTATTAGACGTTATTGATGTTTGTTATTAAATACCGATGAAATGTATGTGAAATCACTGTTTCGGCGGACACTCGCAATGGCCACCAATGTGTTGACCACCGCTGGACACATACCGCGCAATGCGGCCATTGACTCAGCCATTAGTAAACGATTTATGTGTGTCCGTCACAACTGTCTTCAGCTAACACTTGATCGGCGAAGTCATGATAATCACCGAAACAGTTCTCTACAGAAATCTATGTATCCATTGGTCACAATCGGCGTCAATCGATGGCATACTAGTGGTGGTCAGTCATCCGATAAGCCAAACAGTGAAGACGTATGTCTTTATTTCACAATAAAACTTATTGACTGATTGTCTTTTTACCGGTTAATTGATTTGTCCGCAGAAAGTGTTTACAATTCCTAACGTTTTATGTATGACTCGGATAGCAATGACACCAGTGATCGGCAGTCTTGTCGTTGACCAACACTACACAATTGCACTGTCATTGTGTGCCATCAGTTCAATTACCGACCTTTTGGACGGCTATATTGCCCGACGCTTTAATTCGGTGTCCAAATTGGGTACAATTTTAGATCCATTGGCCGACAAGTTTTTGGTGGCGACACTGACTATAACACTGACTGTCGTTCATTTGATACCCGTGTGGTTAACTGTACTGATCTTATTGCGTGATTCACTCATACTATCGTTGTCTATGTATTTAATGCACCGAACATTAAGTCCGCCGAAAACACTTAAACGATTGTTTCACATATCGACCGAAATGTCTAAAGAGCTGAAACCGACATTTATCTCAAAAATCAATACTGGCTTTCAGTTTTCATTAGTGACCTTTGCGTTGGCCTCACCGGTATTCGGTTATGTAGATCACTGGACACTTAGTGCCTTTCAATGGGCTACCGGCGCCACTACACTAGCCTCGGGTCTCAATTATTTGAAAAAATTGAAACATTAAGTGGTCATAAATTCAATTTTTTAAAATATTTACAAATTTTTAAAATACGGTAATATTTTAAATAAATATCTTTTATCTCATATTTTGATTTGATATAAATTAAGAGATTACTGTATTTGATTCGTTATACATGTAGATAATAATTGCCAAAAATAATTATGTATAGAATATATTCTAAATAATTTACTATTATTATTATTATTAGACTATTTAAATAAATATTTTATAACAAACAGATCTAATTTATTTTACAGTGATTTGGCTTTCAATTGAAAAATGTCATAATTTATATTAAACATTTTAAAAACCTAAAATTATAAATATTATAAACACATAACACAATATTATTTTTTTTGTAACAATTATCTATAGCTATGATCACTCGGGCCCGGATCGGGTGGCCAAATAAGTGCCGCTAACATCAGTCAATTTGGGCGAATGAATATTAGTGCGGGCTTTATATCGTTTGCCACCGATTTCCACTTCAAATCGTGACTTCAAAATAAAATCATTAGAGATGACTTCGTTTAGAGGATGTCTAATAAAACCTAGACATACGTGTCGGTTCAAAGTGAACCCGTAGCCGGTGGTAGTGGTCAAACCTACCGGCACATTGTTATCGTATTGTGAGTCGCAAATAAAGATGGGTTCGCCACCCCACGGCCATATCGGGTTGTGCTCATCGAACTCGTCGAGTAATAGCTGAACATACCGGCGCCGAACCCCTTCTTCTTTTTGTTTCAAGAGTGCACTTTTGCCGAGAAAATCTTTGTCAAACTTGACCCGAAAACTGCGACCACATTCAAAGGGTGTGGTAGTCGTATCCAAATCTTGCCCCCAAAAAGCGAAAAACTTTTCAATTCTAAGTGTCCGCATAGCGATACTACCGGCGTGTCTCATATCGTATCGTTGACCGATACGCCACAGAAGGTCATAGACATGCATTGCATATTCGTTAGGTATGTATAGTACCCAACCTAACTCTCCCGTATGGGTTAAGTTACATACTCTCACTTCAGATGCTAAACCAATAGCTAATTGTTTATAAGTAAAGAATGGAAATGTATTCAATTCTGATGGATCGGCCAATACTTCACTGAGAACCAGCTTAGATAGCGGACCCATTAAACACAGGGCAGTGTATTGTCCGGAAATGTCTTTAATGTCAACATTTGATTCTAATATATTAGATCTGATCCATGATATGCAACGGGATTGTTGTTCTGATGGACCGACTAACATATACTGATTATCGTCCATTCTTATAAGTGAGACATCATTTTCATAGCCACCCCTATCGTTTTGCATACCTATCTCAAAAAAAGAGAAACAACATATAGTAATATGGTGTCGGTTAAGAGCAAACCGCTAATAAACTAATAGCTAACCCGTGTGAACAATAGAGCCCACATTGACATCGATATCGTTAGAGCAAAGATATTGTAATAGTTCGACCACTTCATCGTTGGTTGACTTGAGTTCTAGTTTTGTAAAACTACAGTAATCGAGTAGAGCTACTCGTTCTCTACACGCTTGGTATTCCTCTCGGACGGCATCCAACCAATTGGGTCGACCAAAAGACTTTGTTTCTAAATACTTGTGCTTCAATTGGACGGCATTTGCCGACGTTTCACTATCAGACTTATCCGACATGTAATCATCAATATCTAAGTTGTTTGGATCGGGCAAATAGACAGCGGGTCTCTCATAACCCATAATTTGTTGAAACAGAGCGCCCGACTGTTTAAATCTGGGATAAAGTAGACAAGTCTTGAGTCCGTGACCCGTCTCATAGTCGTTATGAGGCGACGGAAAGTTTATATTATATCTGGCTTTTGCTGGCACTTCTCTCAGTCGATCAAATAGAAAGATACGATTGCTCTGCGATGAAATGAATCGGCGCGGATCTAATGACCAAAAATCGTGGCCAAAACTGTTACCACTTTTAGTGACAATGTCTGTGATTAGCCGACCGGCTCCAGCAGCTAATTGAGGCACAACACCGGCAGCCAATAAATAGTTTCCTACTTCTGGTACTTCGCCGATCAGTGATCGTCCATCGGGTGTAAAGTTTTCAAGTCGTGCTATTAGTTTATGTAGTTTTGCGGAATTCAGAGCTGGAATGGTATCCAGTATTGGCCTTAATATACGATAGAAGTCGTCCCAATTCTCTCTGATTAGTGGTATTTCGACATTCATACCACCCGTCCTATCATTTTCACTGAGAACTAATAATGTGAAAATTATATAACATTTTATAATTAAACTAAAATCATAAAAAATTAATACTTTTTTGTAATATTTTAGCAACTCTTTCATAACCCGTCAGATGTACGGAACCGTCCGATGTTTGATAAACAGTAAATCGTTGATCAAAGTCGTGAACAATCGGCATATAATTACTTAGACTATTACTATCACCGCTGGGTATATCAAATGGTTTAGTGATCATCACTTGATTGTGTACGCAAAGTGTTGGTATCCTAACTCTTATGGGACACCGTTTAGCTATAAGTCTGGTTAAGTAATTGTTGGCGGAGTTTATGAAATACTGGCAATCAATACGTTTAACGCGATTAGTCTTGTAATCAATGATCTCTACATTTGATATCCGATTACTGTTTATATTAATCTTATTCAGCAAAACATTGTCATAAAACTTGACGCCATTGTCGGCGGCCAACTGACACAATCGACGTTGTTGTCCATCAATATCTTCAATGATACTATCGTTTGGCACATACATACCACCCAAGAAGTCATCGCAGTTCAAGACATGCCCATAGCGTCTAATTATCTCATCTTTGGTCAACAATTGATTTGCTTGTTGATTATCGGCTACAGTGGACACAATTTTGGCCGATGAGATTCGCCGGCCAAACGAGTCGATTGTCAACTTGTTGTGCGCCAAATACAGAGCACCGCATTGGTTGACATCAAACAATTGTTTACTGTATTGTATAAGTTGTGAGACCCGCGGGTTCGCTACATTCATGTGACTTAATAGACATGTGTTGACCGTCGGCTGACCAACAGCTGTGCCAATGGTGCTGTCAAACGACTTGTTGCCAGTGATGACAATACAGTTGTGGCCAAAATTCTGCGCTTCCGATAAATGATAGGCAATGGATGCGGCGGTCAAGTCGTTGCCATAGATGACTACTTTGGCTTCAGTCGGCAACTGTTGGCCATTGAATGTTGTGTCAACGGCGGCTGTGGTGTCCAATTGACGACTGCTTAAGACATTGGATGTGTTTATCAGTGTCTTTAACAGCGACGACTTGGAGATCACCTGCGCTTTGATCATCACTTGTTGTGACAGACAATCACAGACCACAAGACATGGGATTAAATGAATGACAAAAATATTTTGTTTTTATTAACATTTTATTAATCAATAAATAAATCATAAAATTATTTTCCGGTGTTTTTCAGATTTCATATATTGATAAACATTAAGTTATTTTTAATCAAAAATGTTTCACAAATTGTTTGAAAATAAAATTGATTTTCAATACAAAAGGGTTTTTAAAATATGTGTCTTTAAGTTGACGTAATTTTTGATCATTTATTACAATACTTAAAGATTTAAATTTATTATTAATAATAAGTTATTACTTGTTATTATTATATAATAAGTAATGTTTAAATAATTAAATTATAACTTAAAGTTATTATAAATATATCAAATATTCGGTAGAATATTCTATAATATAATTTCAATTTTTATTTAATTGAAAAAAATGTTTTATTAAATAACTTTATATATAATTTTAAAAATCTAATTTAATTTAACGAATAAACTAATTTATTTTTAAAATAAAATTTAGAATATGAATAAAGTAAGATCATTGTAAAGCACCATGACACTTTTAATCTATTTTATTTGAAAATATGATTATTTATATATATATAAAATTTATATATATATGGAATTTTGAAATGTGTGTTCAATGAATTTAAAAAAAAAACTAATTTATTATAATAAGAGTATTGATTAAAATATTAAAGATAAAAATAATGATATATCTTGTTATTATAGATGTTATATAGATTATTAAATATATCTGACATCTATTTCCTATAGTATAACATACTATAAGTTATGACAACAAATTTTGCTTACATTAAATCTAATTATTAATACTGTTTATAATTTTATAATAAATTTATTGAATTAAAAAATATTTTTCTAAAATCAATATTTATTTATGTTTGATTGTATTTTATAGACTAGTGAACATAAATTTGATAATATTTCCTGTTATTAAATCCAAATTAATACAATAACAAATTCATAAATTAAACACAATTTTCTATAAGATAATTAAAATTAGGAAACTATTAAAATTAAAATTATTATAACAAAATTATTTTTGAAAAATTATGATGATAAAATAAATTTACTAAAAATACTTTTTATTTTTAAAAACAAATAAAATGTTTTTTTTAAATAAATATAAATGTTTTATAATCTATTGCATAAACTACTGTATATATTATATCAAATGACATTATTTTATTTTGCATTATTTTTCAGAAATCACTAATACTTTACTTAAAATAATAAAAATCTAAAGCTTTTACATATTGTACTAAATAATAATTTATTATTAATAAATGATATGTTATTTAGGATAATAGAACAAACATCACGCGTTTTAATTAAAATTTATAAACTAATAATTTTAATGATAAATTTTTTAATAAAAATTATTTACTTTTATTAAATTTATGAATAATGATATTTGTTAAAAAATGTCTATTATTTTTGTTGGCATTAATAAGTATTGGTTTTTTCCTATTTATAAATCAAGAATCAAACAAATTTAGTGAAGAACTTAAACAATGTTCACAAATAAGTCAATCTATGGATGAAATGACATTTGAACACAACATCACTGGTTATCCACAACTAATTGTACCAAATATTGTTCACTACGTGTTGTTCACAATCCATGAGATAGAGTTCGCGCACTTTATATCCATATTATCAGTACTGAAGAATCAAAGACCAGAAATCATTTACATTCACTGCGATTGTCATCAAATCAGTGGTCAATACTTCCAACGGGTTCTCAAAGTGGCCGATAAAGTCAACACTAAAGTTATTGTCAGATATGTGGACAAACTTACGGAAATATTTGGTAAAAAATTAAATTGGATTGAATGGCACGCATCGGATATTACAAGAATTAAAGTATTGATAGAGTTTGGGGGCATTTATTTGGATAGAGATGTATATGTCGTAAAATCATTGGATGTTTTTCGTAAATATGAAATGACTCTTAATTGGGATTTAAATCAATATTTAGCGATTCAAACAATCATTGCTCACAAAAACGCACGGTTTTTGAAATTAATATTAAACTCATTTCATAACTATAACTCAAATCAATGGTATTTTATTGGCGAATATCCCACCAAAACATATCTCTGGAAACAACCGGAACTAATTCATCGAGTTTTAGGCGGATTTGGTGCCGACGGACCACTAGTTTGTCCCAAAGTTTTCAGAATCTACTACAAGAACTGGAAGACAGAATTTTACGCCATTCACATGAATTTAAGAGGAAATGAAATTTCATGGAAAGACTGGTGTTTTGGGAACAATTCACCAGTCTTTCCATGAAATTTGATGAACAAAATGTGCGACAATTGAATGTGACTTTCGGTGAAATGGTTACTGAACTGTTAGATTTTGAAATTAAGTGATTTATCGTAAAGTATATTATATTTTAAGTCAATAAATAAATTACTAATTTGTGATGACAAAAGAATTGTTTGAATTTGAAGCTAATGTTTGATTTATATTATATTTTATTTTTCAATAAATTAATTATTAATTATTATTTTTTATATAACTAATAAAAATATATTTTTAATGATAATGTTTAACGTTTATTAAAAAAATCATTTTCAATAATAAATGTTTTTTAAATATGTTTTATTTTAAAGTTATTTGCGATAATTTAGTGTAATAATTAATTTAACTTTTTTTAAAAAATTATATCAAAATTACAATAGAATATACAATATTTTATACTATTTTGTAAATTTTAAATTTAATATTAAACTCTAATGTATCAAGCGAGGTTAAGCAAATTTTGGAAATTGATATTTTAATTGATATATTTTACTATATATTATAATTTTATATAAATATACTAAATTTTAGATCAATCGGATTAATATTTTTATAGTTAGCAAATAAAATTAATTTTGTTTATAATGGGAGGTATACAAAAAAAACTTACCTCTAAAACAATTTTACCGTCCCTTATATCAATTGTCATCTAATTTTTTGGTGACATTATAATTATCAATAGATGTTTTTAGGGAAGTATGGATCTGCTCCTCAAACATTTACATAAAATTATCAATAATTATTATATATATATTGTAACGGTCGGGGAGTTTAAAATTTATAAAAATTATGTAACATCACATGACAAATTAATTAACACAAAAAGTAGTTTACATTATGTGACTTAATTGACTAATGAAAATATTAATTATAAATTTTATGAATTATTTATTATATTAACAATGATTTTTGATAATTTAATGTTTAGAAAATTATAATTTATAATTTAATAAATTATACGAAATAATAATCTACATATTGTTTTTAACTATATATTGCATTACATTAAAATTACATTAAATAATTTAATAAAATAATAATCTTTCTTTTTTTTTAAAAAAAATATTAACTTTTTAACAGAAGAAAACAAGGTTGCGATCTGAGGGGGTAGAGGTAGGCAACCCTGGTTACTAACTATACATTAAATATTAATTAATTTATATTTTAAATATAATTTATTTTTTTGAATTGTTCAATATTCTTGTCATTACATTAGTGTAATTTAATATAAACTAAAGTACATATACTGTACTTGTAGTACACAAAATACAGTAAATATAATTAAAATTTAATTGTCATTAAACATTAATTGTCAAATTTTGTTTAAAGAAAATATACGAAATGAATTTGCTATAAAATATTTAAAAAAAAGTTTTATAGTTAATTCTAGAAAATAAAATTATTATAACTAAAATAATTTTGAAGAATACACAATTAAAATTGATACAATAATATTGAATTAATACTAACTATTATAAAAGTTGTAATTTTATAAATTTATTTTATAAAATATAGCAAATGTGATGTTTAAAATTTTATTTAAATTTTTATTATTATAATTAAAAATCCAATATAATTTTTTTTTAAATCGATGTATTATTTCTTAATAATATAAGACACAATGTCACAAACAGGTAATCACAAATTGGCTTTTTTTATTGTTGGCATTAGTAAACATTGGTTTTCTATTATTTATAAATCAAAAATCAAACAAATATAGTGATGAACTTAATCAATGTCCACAAATAAGTCAATCTATGGATGAAATGACATTTGAACACAACATCACTGGTTATCCACAACTAATTGTACCAAATATTGTTCACTACGTGTTGTTCACAATCCATGAGATAGAGTTCGCGCACTTTATATCCATATTATCAGTACTGAAGAATCAAAGACCAGAAATCATTTACATTCACTGCGATTGTCATCAAATCAGTGGTCAATACTTCCAACGGGTTCTCAAAGTTGCCGATAAAGTCAACACTAAAGTAATTGTCATATATGTAGACAAACCGACAGAAAAATTTGGTAAAAAATTAAATATTAAATGGATTGAATGGCACGCATCGGATATTATGAGAATTAAATTATTGATAGAATTTGGGGGCATTTATTTGGGTAGAGATATGTCGTACAATCATTGGATGTTTTTCGCAAATATGAAATGACTATAAATTGGGATTTAAAACAAGCTTTTGGAAGTCAAACATTAATTGCTTACAAAAACACACGGGTTTTGAAACTAATGATGAATTCATATTATAAATATGACTCAAATAAATGGTATTTTATTGACAAAACCACCAAAACTTATCTCTGGAAACAACCGGAACTAATTCATCGAGTTTTGGGCCTATTTGGTGCCAACGGAGCAGTAGATTGTCCCAAAGTTTTCAGAATCTACTACAAGAACTGGAAGACGGAGTATTACGCCATTCATTTGCTTATAAGAGGAAATCAAATCAACAAAATTGCTAAAAATTGGTGTTTTAAAGGCAATTACCCTCCGGTCATGAAATTTGATGAACAAAATGTTCGTCAATTGAATGTAACTTTTGGGTGAAATGACTAATGAGTTGTTTGACTTTGAGATTAATTAAAGTATCAAATGATAAATTATCATACATTTGATCAATAAATAATTTACTAATTGCTTAATAAATAATTTATATATTACTGGTCAATAGTATGCCTCGTGTGACCGATAGTATCAGTCTTTTATCTGAATCACAACATTAGTCCAGTTCTCTAATCGTTGGGAAAGATACTCTTCTTGTCTTTAAACTCTTTATAATAAATTATAATATTATTAATAGTAGTATTTATCGGTAAACTACTTATGCGGTAAACTATTTAAGTGACTGTTTTGTATACACAGTATGTATGCTTTTCTAACATTTTAAAGTGATTTTTGTTGAAATGCCGATAAATTAGTCGCAATATGTTTGCAATTTGTGGTCATTTTTTTGAGAAAACAATTGTCAACTCTTCAGAGGTTACTATCACAGAGTTATCCAATTAATTGTTTAGTCAGTAAATAATTACATTTTTAACATTCAAACCAATGATGATAATTGATAAATACAGTATTTAACTATAAATTTAGTTTTTATATTTTTTTGGTTAGTTTCTAATTAACAAAAAAAAAGTTTTTATTATATAATTTTAATCTCAGTTAATCTCAATTTAATTTACATTACTATTGACAATATATATGTTTTTTTTATTCAATTCAAACATCCGTTATAAATACTAATTTTAAATCTATATTTTAATTAATTAGTTATTTATTATAATAGTTGTCCATTAAATACTATTTTATAATTTCTGTTTGAAATGTAGATTAATGTCATTTTAATTATAAAACTAAATATTAATGTTTAATATTATTAGACAAAGAAAAATGAGTCATTATATGGATATAATATGTATGGTATGTATGTATGATTCAAATGCATTGCTTTAAAGTGGGCTAACATTGTGTACAATAATATTGTGTATAAATAAATATATTGTGTATTGAATTCATTGGAAAACGATATTCAATCAAAACATCAGACGATTAATAGTATTAATAATTCATTGATTTCTGTATTGAAAATCATTTATTGTTTTTTGTTTGCTTTGAATCAATCAATCAATCAATCATTTTGTTGATCACTCGGAGATTTGACCACTAGTTTGACTGACCAAATGTCTAACCGTTACCGAAACGAATGTCCCGAAGGCTGCAAAGTATTTGTCGGTAATTTGAATCGAAATACAAGTCGTGATGATATCCGTCACGCGTTCAGCCGTTTCGGTGACGTCACAAACGTCTGGTTGGCCACTAATCCGCCGGGATTTGGTTTTGTTATGTATGACCACCGAGACGGGGCTCGTTTGGCTGTTGAACGTATGAACAATTCACGATTTGATGGTCGCTTTTTGACCGTTGAGTTGGCCACTGGTGCGAAACGAAGACACCGAAGTCGGAGCCGATCGCCAGCACAGAGACGTCACTTTCAAACTGATGGCAAAAGGTCTTCACGTGTAAACTCCAGAGAGCGCGTCGCTGGCGGTGATCGTCGCGTATCATCCAGTAGTGACCGTTTTGGTCGCTATCGTCGTGATCGCCGATATTCGAACTCAAGCTCGAGTTGTGGCAGTTTGTCTCCTACTGACCGCCGATCGTCCAAAAGATCATCGAAACGATTGCAAGCGAATAGTTCCGAATCGAGTGATGATAATAAACGTCAGCCAAAGTCGAGATCCAATCGATTGTAATGATGAAAGAAGTGGTGGATTCATCTCTTTTATTGTCTCTTTGAGTTAGTTTTATTCAGTTTTGTTTATTTCATATTTTTTTGTTAGTAATTATCTACACATTGTTTTGACTAAACTTTTTTTGTGTCTAGTTTTTTTAAAAAATATAAAAAAATTAAAAATATATGATATATGATATTAATTTATAGATTTCATATTATAACTAAAATATATTGTATTAACATTTGTGTATTAACTCTGTTAACTGTATATCAATATCTAACTCAATACTGTATGTTATTTTTCATTGACTTTTATAATATTTAGCAAATTTTGATATTAATGCGACTATAAATATATTTTAGTTTTTCATTTACCAGTAATTTTGTTAAGACTTGTTACCAATTATAGTAATTATAATATTATTTTCCTAAAAAATAAATTATATAAATGCTGTTTGAGTTAAATTTTCTGAGCATTTTTTTATTGATAAGATATTTAAACATTTATAATAATTCATACATTTATAAACATTGTTATTACCAAACATTTTATCTATTGTTGTAATATAGAGTATAGTAAATATATATAAATACAGTATTATAATTGTAAAATTGATATAAAATAAAATTAATATATTTATAATTAATATTTGTGAATTTAATTGAAGTTTATAATATTTTTTACAAATATACAGTAAGTAATTATAATTTGTTTACTGTATAATATATTAATAAAAAAAAATTATATACATTTTAAAATATTTATATTAATATTTCTAGATTCTCATAAATGTATAAATATTTCGAAACATAATTATTAAATTATTATTATTATTATAAAATAGAAAAACAATTAAATACTATATCTAATTATTAAAGCATCTAATTTAAGTTATTTAATATTTCTATTTTTATATATACTGGATATGTTCTTATTAATTATGCATAGAATTATATCACAAACAAACATTTAGCAATTTTTTTAACTATAACTAATTTTTTTTAATAATTTTCTACATTTTCATATTTTATGTTTTTGTAACAATTTTTTGTGTCTAAATAGTTGTCTGAATAACTTTTTAGTAATTTTTAGTCAATTTCTTTTGTAATTTTTTAGTGAATAAATTTTTAAAAAACTATTATATATAGATACTGTACTTAAATTAAATGCTCTAATAATTATTAAAAAGAACTTAACAATAATAATATAAAATAAAAATAATGATAAAATCTGTAATTCAATATATGATATAATATGATATCATTTATTAAAAGCTAAGCCAACATAAAATCCGTGAGATGTATCTGAAGAATGGTATGTTTGACGGCGTTAAACACGAGTCGTATGTTTTCAGTATCGGTGGCACACGTGAAGTGACTATAGATCTCTTTGTCTGCAAATTGATTCAAATTGTTGTACTCATTGAGTATGAATTCGCCGGCCGTCTGGGCATTCTTGACCGGACCGTCGTATTCGGGAAAGTAATCGACGAGATGTGAGTATTGGATCTTCTCTTCGAACAAATCTTTTTTGTTGAGAAACAGTATGACTGAAGATTTGAAGAAATACTCGCATGTGATGATCACTTGGAACAGCTTTTGTGATTCTTCCATACGATTTTGGACACAGTTTTGTTGACACTCGTACAGTGTCTGGTCGTACTCATTGAGTGCCGCCAAGAATATGATTGATGTGACGCTTTCGAAACAGTGGATCCATTTGCGGCGCTCTGATCGCTGACCACCGACATCAACGACACGAAAGCGAACGACATTCAAGTCGAAAGTGTATTCATTGATACCAGTGGTCGGTATACGGACACGGAGTATGTCCTCTCGGGTGGGAATATAATCGGGTGATGAGAGTCTGTCAACTGAGTCAAAGTAATACTTTGCCGAATCGCTTAATTGATACTCATTTTTCCGGTTATAACACGTCTGAATCCCAAAGTCCAGCCATAACTCTCTGATGGCTTTCACCACTTCGGGCGACAGTTTGGACACACGATTGCTATTATAGTCAACATTAATTGTCATCAAATAGTTTGCGTTCATAACGTTGATGTCGTTATCATATTTGATGTCTAAATCACTCATAGCATTGATAATGGTCTGTATGGCGACTATTATGTTATGGTAGACATAATCAATGAATCCTCTCTTTTCTAATTCATTATAATCTCTGTTATGAATGATTCGCATTTGTTTAACAAAAGTACTTTTACCGGACTCTCCCGTTCCCAACAATAGTAGTTTGAGTTCATGTCTGGCAGACTTTTCGTCTCTTTTTAATCGCTGTTCAATCATTTTATTGATTTTTTTCTGTTCATTGTTTGAACCCAAGTTTTGACCACAATTTTTAAAGCAATCCATTATTCTTATATATGTAATATATTTTTTTTAAATTAGAATAAAATTATGATAAATGATCTTGCTTATTTATCTATATAAATATATTATTATTACCATTATTATTATTATTAACTAATTATATAAAATTCATTTTTTATATTTCACAAAATTTCGATTGTATTTTATATTTTTATTAAACAAATATTAATTTTTAATAAACACCGATAAAAAAAATAATATCTAACAAGATAGATTTATAATTTATAATTATTTTTACTTTTTTCAGTCAGTGATTAATTTATTACGTATATTAAACATAATGCATAATTATTTTATTATATAAAATGGTGATTAAATACCAATTAAATGATTTTCACAATCAATCTAAATGTTGGTGTCGCACAAGTATTGTATTATTATTTATAACAGTTAATAAAAAATAATTTTAAATTAAATAATTTTTTATAACTATAATTTAATAAATCTAGTGATTTACAAAGTAATGTAATGTTTATTTTGCACAATTTATCAAAAATAGACAAAAAATATATAAATCTAATAAATTATTAGACATTTTAGTTTTTAATGTAAATGGTTATAACTGAAAGTCAAGAAAATTACATTAATAGCAAAAATATAAAGTTTTATTAACAATACAAGTGTTGTTGTCTTAACAATAAAATAGTTTTATATTTACTGATAAAAACAATTCAATCAAATGTATAAAAGTGTAATATAATTATCATATATTTTTATATCAAAATAGAAATAAAAATAGTCTATCGTTTATAATGTAGTGGTATAACTAATACTTTATTTAATAATCTATATGTAATAATCATATAATAATAATCAAATAATTTTATTGTTATGAGTAGGGTTAATAAATTTATTTTCCAATTTAATTTTACCATAATTTACATTAACAAATTACATAAACATTACAACACTAACAACCATAGTTATGAATATATTAAATATAAGACTTTGAAAACTAAGTGATAATGATATAACAATTACAATAAAAAAATCAAAAGAATTAAATTACTGTAATTTTATTATCAAATATTTTATATTTTAACTATAATACAAGTTTTTATATTTAAAAAAATCAATCTTATATATATACAATACTTGTTAAATTAAAAATCATTTATACTAAATCAATTAATCAGTAGATATTTATTTACTTTGTATAATTACATTGAGAGAGAGAGAGAGAGAGAGAGAGAGAGAGAGAGAGAGAGAGAGAGTACAAAATAAAAACTAAAGAATAATCATGAATTTAAATATATAATAATATAATGCAATGCAATATTGTATTAAATTGAATCATATGACTGAACATCTAAATACTGTATAATTAAATATTATATATTTAGAAAATTATTTTAGTAAAGTACAGTATAATTGTTATAAAAAATAAACAAAAATTAATAAGCATTTTTTAATTATATCGTAAACATTTAATATTATCAAAATTATGATTATTGTATTACAAAAATTTAATAAACAACATAATACAGATTTTTTCATGAATTTAATTATAAAGTCTGATACCGGTATATTAGTATATTATAAATTTTAAAACTTAAAATAAAAGGAAATTTTAAAACAATAAAATACATATAAATAGCTTTATATTATACAGTATTATACTGTATAACTAAAATAATAATTTTTAAATTATTAAGAATAATATTGATAATATATTAATAATAATTTTAGATCTAGATTTAGAAACATTAATAGTTATTTTTGTATGAGCAAATTATAAAATAACTGAAAAATAAAATAAAATTTATTTATTTATAAATACAATAAATATTAAAATATAAAATGATATATAAATGCGATGATCACTTGGGATGTTTATCTCGATATTGATTGACCATCGATGGTAACACATTGACGTTGGTGTCAGTAATTCGGAAGAACTGAAATCGTTTTATGGCAAAGTGTCGCCGACAGCGACAATAACTGTCAACATCGCGACACCAGTCATAGTCGCCCACCTGTTGGTTACAATTCGGACAAAGCAATTGGCCAGTGATATCGTTAGCGATATTTTTAAGCATAGATATGGCGATCCATTGGGTCAGTTCAACATAAATATCTGAACAATGAATACTGAGATCATCCGTTCCGCCCGCAGTTAAAATCTGTGACCGACACACCAATACAGAGCCGCATGTTTTGCACGATATAATCGGTTCCAGTTTGAAGTTGGGATCCATGTCTTCAATGAATCCAATGATTCTTAAATAATGAAGAAATATTTTTATCAGGCGTTGTTGGAAATCCTTCTCATTCAACAACTTCATGAATGTCAACGCTTTTCTAATAGTCATACTATTGGTGAGCGATAGACCACCAAATGATGGCAACGGAAGAGCAGTTTTCACTCTATCGATGAGACGATCAAAGATATACTGTCGGATACATGTGTTATCAGCTCTGATAGTATGTCCCGTGTATTGCCATAAGTTCAGTTGAAGCCGAAATTGATTCAAATTAACATCTGATTTACAGTCCATTAGTGTGGCAACTGCTCCGTCGGTCGAAAGATTGTATCGTTTCATAAGAAAAGCGACACAAATGGCTGCACTCCATGTCTGGCCGTCGGGACAACAGATCAATAGATTTTCTTCAAAAGTTTGCGCCTCTCGTATGTATTGATGAACGTAACCAAAGTATGTGATAATCTGTTCAAACGGTTGCCAATTGAGAGTCAAACGCATGTAATAAATGCCAGAAAAATGAGGTAAATCTTTGTCGTCTTCCGGACATAAATAGATGATGCGCTCAATGTTATAGTTCTTGAGCTCCAACTCATCCAATGCAGCCCTACTATCACTCAAATACAAATGCTTTTCAATATATTTTAGCTGTTTGTTTGACACAATGGTCACTATAGGTCTTAAAAACATTTTTTTTTTGTTTTTTGAAGAGTCTATCAATTAATTTCTTGACACTCAACTGTCATTTAATTTAATATAATACTATAGATTATGAGTTAAATTAAAAAATTTGTTATTTTCACGCGCATTCAAATTATCATTATCTTATTGAAAATAATTGAAAATGATGATAATTAAAAATATTATTATTGTTTCATTTATTTAAGATTCATATATTTATTATAATATAAAATAATTTTTTAATTTTATTTGTATATAATATGTTTATTTTATAAATGATTAATATAGAAATTTTCTTTACTTATTTTTCATGTCTTTATTTATATATTAATTTAATATTGTTTGAATATTATTTGATATTGTATTATTATAATAAAATTATTTTATTAAATTCAATTTTATTTTAATATTGATATTAGTAATTTGAGTCACAAACTGAATTATACAGTATAATTTATACTGTAGTTATCATTATATAATATTATAGCTAAATATTATTTTATTTCATTTTATCTATAGTATCTATAATATGCATAATACACATTTTTTTGCATTTATTAAAAAATATCTTAAATATGAATTTATGTTAATATCCTATTACCGGTAATACTTATTGCATATTTTTGATACATTACTGTATATTGCAATATAAGTATTTTTTTAACAATTATTTAAAAAATAACAAATATTTTTTGTCATTTTATTTTATATTGTTTATTTTATATCCCTCACAAATTTTGATTTATTGTAAATTATGTAAATAAATTTTGATGACAAGTTGTTTATTTATAAAAATTTAAATCATAATAATAAATGTCTTCAAATTGCTATTATAGCCTTGAATAGTTATTAATTTAATAAATTGAAAAATGTTTCATGTTTTTGTATATATAAATTAAATTATTCAAATTTGTATTAAAATTTTTCTTATTCATATAATTTTCAAAAATACAGTATATATTCAATATTATATATATATAAATAGATGATAAAATATTATATATACGGTGTAGCAGTTTTAAGATGAGATCTAACTTAGATCTAATATTTTAAATATATAAACAAGAAATAAACAACAATTTGTCGGAAAATAAATGTTTATAAATGTCTATTTCGTATCTCAATTGAGAAACATATGGCACACATAGGAATTTTACGCCACAGTTATGTGTAGTTTAAAATTATTGATGTCTACTATACTGTATTGTATATAATGTATTTGCTATTATTATACTCTGATAATACAGTATAAATGAAAACAAAATTAATTATTATTATTATAATTGCAATAAATTTCAAGTTTGTGTAAACTTTTAAATTTTTGTTGTACGAGCTATCATACTGTATGTGATTATTATACATAGCAATGTCAGCTGGAGTTACCAATGATTATAAATATAATGTCTATTATTAATGACAGTGAAATAATAATAATAATAATAACGTAATATTAACAATAAAAATGTGTGTTAATGGTGTTAATAATGAGTTAAACAAAAATTTTTCACAAAATTCTATACTTTGATTGTAAACTACTATTTATTAATAAAATAAACAGTTTTATTGGATATTTGTGGGCGAAAACTATTGTTATATACTGTATAATATGCTCTCATAAATTCCTATCAAAACTCATTAAAGGGCTCTTAAAACAAGTATTTGGGATAAATCAAGAGCTCATAAACACATACCTTATAATCATTTACTGTATATTGCATTTCATTTGTTTGTGTTGTGTTTGAAGTGTAAAACATGAAAATAAAAACAACAAAAATATTTTATCGTATAATCTTTCCTCAATCATAACAACCATTGCCGGGGCTTTACATTTGCTTTAAGGCTTAATACCAACAAATATTTCATAGATTTATAACTGTATGTACAGTATATCATATTATAATACAGGCATATACTGTACAAGTTATGTGTTTCACTTTTGATGTGTACACTTTTTTTAAGCACTTAAAAAACATTAATAATAATAATGATATTAATTATTGCTATAGTCAAGTGAAATAAATTTCAATTTACTGTATAAATGAAATTTCTCTCTCTTATCAATAATTGTTGAGATTTTAAATATCAGTGTACAGTATATGTTATTTTATAAGTTGTGTTAACCATAAGTCATATGTGATATAATTAACAAATTCTTGATTATTCTGTGTGTAAATTCTGTATAATGAAAATATTAAAACAACATATTTATTGTTATACTATTTATAATACTTTTATATACTTTTATTATTATACTGTTTATATACTAAATCAAATTAATCAATTTACAAAATATATTTAAACTAATTTAGTGTATTAAAAAAAGTTGTTTTATAAAATATTAATAATTTACAATAAAAGTTTATCATTTATACATTTTACATATCAATTTAACATTTATAAAATTTCTTTGAATATATTATATAACAATTAATTGTTAATTTTATTGGCAAACTATTGAACTAAAGTATCTATAGATGTATTGTATCAGAAAATGCGGTGAAGACTTTTCACTGGAAAAGGAACAGAAAAAAATCAACCAAAGAATCAATGAGACCATCAAAAGGGATAAGCGAGAGGCCAGGCGTGAAATTAAACTACTATTACTGGGAACGGGAGAGTCGGGTAAAAGTACTTTTGTTAAACAAATGCGAATCATTCATAATAGCGATTATAATGAATGCGAACGAAAAAGTTATATTCAATACGTGTATCACAACATTGTTATCGCTATTCAAACCATTATTAAAGCAATGAATACATTGAATATAAAATATGAATACAATTACAACATAACAAACTCGGAATTTATTGATAATATTTATGTCGACTATAATGCACAGCACAGGGTTGTAATGACCGACCAATTGGTGACAGCCATTAAGGAACTGTGGTTCGACTCGGGTATCCAAAAGTGTTTTGTCCGACGAAATGAGTACCAATTAAGTGATTCGGCTAAATATTACTTCGACTCTATTGACCGACTTTCCACACCGGACTACATTCCCACCCGTGAGGACATACTACGTGTCCGTATACCGACCACCGGAATCAATGAATACATGTTTGAGATCAGTAGCATAAGGTTTCGGGTGGTCGACGTGGGTGGACAACGATCGGAGCGCCGCAAATGGATCCACTGTTTCGAAAGCGTCACATCAATCATATTCTTGGCGGCACTCAATGAGTACGACCAGACACTGTACGAGTGTCAGCAAAACTGTGTCCAAAATCGTATGGAAGAATCGCAGGCACTCTTCCATACCATCATATCTTGCGAATGGTTTGCCGAGTCGTCGATCATACTGTTCCTCAATAAGAAAGACTTGTTCGAAGAGAAGATCCAGAGTTCGCATCTCATCGACTACTTTCCCGAATACGACGGACCGATCAGAAATGCACGCAAAGCGCGTGAGTTCGTACTCAAGATGTATGTGTCTCTCAACACCGATAAAGACATATTCAGTCACTACACGTGCGTTACGGACACAGAAAATATGCGATTTATCATTGAGTCAGTCAAACACGCGATACTTAATCGACATATCATTGACTTCAATATGGCTTAACTTTTTAGCATTTATTAGAAAAATAAAAAATTAATAATTAAATACATTATAGAAAATTATTATTACATTTTTAAAATTTAAATTCTATTGAATGTTGCAATTTTAAATTTTATTATTTATTTTTTAATTAAATAAGTTAATTTATTTATATATTTAATATTATGCTTGATACTTTTTATTATATAATTAGGAATATTAATTAGTACAATTTTTAGATGATAATAATAAACTATATTCATGTAAATAAATAGCTTTTTAAAAATCATCGCTAAAAAAATTATTTGTACAGTCATTGAAAAGATTTATTTAATTGTAATATAAAATTAAATTTAGCGCCATGGTCATATTTCTATAATATAAATTTAGTATTAATTTACACACATGTACATTATTACTTATGGGCTATTCATAAATTACGTAATTATTATTTTTTAACTTGGTTAGTGTATTTAAAAAAAATTTAATGAAAAAAAATGTATTAAATTTTAATAACTTTAACACTTTAACGATTTATTTTGATTTTATAACTTTTAAACTAATAATTTAATAAATATTTAGATAATTTAGAAAATTGAATAATTTCTAATATATTGTATAAAATTGTTTTAACCGCTAGTTTTGTATAGTATGGGTCAATATGTATGGCCACACCCACCACTACCTGTCCAATGATGGGCACCAATGCTTTATAACGAGTTAAGTGCCCATCGATTGGATGCTCACTAATAGTAGTAATACTAAAACCAATGCATATATTATATGATAAACTTATCGATGCCTTTGTAGTGCTCTGTATATAATTGAATGGCTTTTATAGTAAACAGTTATTAAGTGACTCATTATATTTGGGGTTTGTTTTTAAAAACACTTATAATCAGTGCATTCAATACATAAACTTTATTATCACGTGACTGACCTCCCGGTGCTCTCACTATCTCTCGGCTCGCGCTACACAACACCCGTTACCGCAGATGATGAACGCAAACTCGTCAATGATGTATGTGTTGGGCACCAGTAATGCCATATCGGAGTCACAGTCGCTGAAGCAACAGATCGATGGTCTGAATGCAGACAACGAACAGCTGAGGAGGAAGTTGTCGGCGAAGAACACTGAATGCGATAAATTGAAGCAACAAATCAAAGAAATCAAATTAGAGTGCGACAGATATAAACAAATTATGATGCAATTGAATGACACTATTGTCAACCAAAATGGACAGACAGGTGAGATACCGGTGCCAACTATCATATCATATATCATACATCAATGTTGTCTTCACTTATTGACATACCATTAGATATTACCGACAAAGGGTTTATACCAATGACTAGTGATAACAGATATATGAAAGACTATTATATTGATATCGATATAAATGTCATCAATTGAAGTGATATTTTATATGTTTTTCTCATGTTATAAATGATATCATATTTATGATTAGTTAATCTAATTATGATTAGATCCACGACATTGTATTAGTAGTACTGTAGTACTGGTGATCTATCGATGAAAACAATGTTGTCTTAATATTATGATATTATTGGTTGTCATCTATTTGTTGGCATATATTTAACAATTAATACAATAATTTGACCAAAAAATATAGTAATATATTGTAAACAATATTCATTAATAAATAGTATATGATATTACTCTTAGACTACAATTTTCTGTTAACACTATTGTATTGATAATTGACAGGAAAGGGTCGCAAATATCAGCAAACAGTACAGCCGTGTCAGTCCTGTTACGCGGCCGACAAGCCGTATATCTGCGATTGGCAAAACTGTGGCAAACGGTTCCGCAAGAAACCCCATCTGGATATCCATAAGAATGTGCACACCGGTCGCCGATTTCCATGCGATTGGCCTAATTGTGGCAAAAGTTTTGTCCGCAAATATAACCTCATTGAGCACCGGAAGCTGCACTCCAGTGTCAATCCTAATGTCTGCGAGTTTCCAAATTGCGGCAAATTTTTCTCAAGTAATTTATTTGAATTATATTTTTAATTAATTAGTTTAATCATAACTACCGTAATATTACAATATTTAATGATCTCTTTATATTGTTTTTCAGGCAAATACAGTCTAATGAGACATCAGAGTGTTCAACACAGCGCTCAATAAAACAAAACCATAAAAAAACAAAAATGAATTTAAATATCATTTAAATCATTCATCTGTTTATTAGACTTATTCAACCATTATATCAAATATTAATTTATTTCATAATCAGTTCAAAAGTCTAACCAATAATTCATTTTTTGTAGACTATATTATAAATATAATTATAATATACTATATATTGATAATATTATTTTTAATCATCTATTATTATTATAAATCTTCCTTATAATTATTAATTAATTTATCAATATAGTTGTGAAAACAAATTTTTAATTAATATATGCTAAATAATGTGAAATATTTATTGTGTACATTATTGATTTAGCATATTTGAGCAAAGATTGATTATAATAATTGTAAGATTACTCATAAATTATATAAATATATAGAGAAAAATGATACTTAATTATATAATTCCAATATATTTGATATGAATTTATAAATATATTATATTCATTGTATTTTTTCTCATATTTAGACATTTGAAATTTTTGTTTTTTTTAAATAATTTTTTTGATCTATTAATTATACCGATAATGTTAAAGGCGTTAATAACTGGATATTTATCGGTAAAGTTTATATATTAAAAAAAAAATCCTATATCTTGTTCCTCACCAATCATTAGGTGATTAAACAATAATTTTCCAAATGTTTGGCCAATATTTAGATCAAATTGTATAGCAATATAATTTAAAATTGTAGTAAATATTTTAATTTTGTACGACAATATTATAATTATAAATATTATATTGTATTGACAATTTGATTATTATTTAATTACCGTAACATTTATTTTTTATTAATATAATTGTGATTAGATTATCTGAATTTCTGTAATGTACTAATTTTATGATTAATTAGTATATAAACTGTAAATATTTATTATATAATTTTCTCATTTACAATACGATAATATACAGTATTAATTTAATGTTATTATGTTTAATTTATAATAATTATAAAATAATTACATTTTCATCGATAATCATTTTTATGTTATTCATTAATGTAAACTTTAATACAGTATCTAATCAATTAAAAAACAAATTATTTGCATAAATTGAATGTTTCATAAAAAATTGTATATGTCTTATAGGCTATAACTTATTGCATTTTATTTAATTTTATAAATATATAAAGCAGTTTACAATTTTTAATAGTCAAACAAATTACTATAACCTTGATAATCATGTTTTTTCGATAATGAATAATATTCATTGAATATATTAGTTATGAAATACGTTATAAATGATAAATAATTTGACAAATTTCACCATGCTTATTAACTTGAAATTATAATAATGTTTTGCCTGCTTTCTATGATTATTTGCATTGAATTATTTTAATTAAATAGTATTAAAAACAATGTACTGTAAAATGTAATATGCTATAATTATATAATAATAATGAGCAAATATGTACATTAATGCCATTATTTACTAAATATGCTTATAATTTTTTTTTAAATTTTTTTTATAAAAGGTTTAGTAATTTTTAACATGGTTATTTAATAAATTTTATTGACAAGTATTTCTAACATACATCTAAAACAATAAATATAAAGTGCATAGTATTGTATTAAATTAATTATTCTAATATTACTATTATTATACCGTAGAGTAATAGTGATAATGAAATACAGTATATACTGTACTGTAGTATTAATTAAACAAAATGTATAATCAATGTATTTCAGCTGATAATTATACAGTACTGTACATAAAAAAATTTTGTACTCTATTGTACTAAAGACACTAAATTCAGCAAATATTTAGTTTATATTTATATAAAAGTCATTAATTGATAAACAAAGATATTGTAAACTTAAAGGACATTATTTTTGAAACATTATAACAAAATTCAATATACATTTCAATATGTATTGTACACAAGTGAATATTTGTTTATATGGTTGGCCGATTACATTTTAATGAATAAATTAATTTTCATTAAAATATCACACAGTAGTAGTAGTAGTACTAGTTTTCAATTACATCAATACATTTAATGTTTTGAAATATTTATAAACTGTAATACTGTATATTAAAATATATTGTTAGTTATTTAATTATAATTAAAAAAGTTATAATTAAAAAATAAATTATATTTAAAAAAAGTAATTCTCTTGTTTTGTTCACAGATGACACTAAATAATATATATATATATTACAGTCAGACTCTGTATAAATTCAATTTTGTATAGAAATAAATAATAATAAATTTTAATAAAATATACATACAGTGTGTGTAAAATGACAACATTAATAATTTTAAATATTTAAAAACATTTTTCATATTTCACTCAATTTGTTAATAAAGAGTATAAATATCCACTATTTATAAGAATAATAATTATCACAAAATACATACAGAAATAGTTATATTAAAAATTATTTATTTTTTTAATGACTTGACAGCACTTGTATGCACTTGTGTTGCTGTTGTGTTGTGTTGTGATTATGTATGACTGTCCACAACAAACCTGTACTTTAATTATTAAAAACAATATAATTATATTTTAATACAATATTTATGGCTTTTATTTATTGATCAAAACTCTGTGTGTTTTTTAAATATTAGTTTTTATAAATCATTTGTTTGAAGGAAAAAAAATACAACAAAAATACTTGATTTTTAATTTTTTAACTCATAAATCAATTAATAATTTTATTGAAAAAATAAAAATATTTTTTGTTATATTGAAAAAGTATTGATTGAATTTATAGTTTTTTTGTTGTCATATCATATATATTGTGAAATGTTATGTAAATATTAATAATTAATAAAAATTTTATCGATTGCTAAATAACTGCCGCAGAAAAAAAGTTGTCCATTGATTTGTTTGTGTCAAACAATATTAGTTACCGATAAGTGACCGAAAAAGATGGTGATATCGTGGTTAACGTCGTCGATAGCGTCGGCGGTGGGAACGCCGGTCGAGTCGGTGTACCTAATGATGTGTCTGTTGTTGTCCTATCCGATAGCCGTCATCTATAATCAGCTGTTGGTCGACGCCTCCCGACAGACAAAACTCTTGTATTACTTGATCTCTGGTATGACATTAGTGTTGATCAACAACGGCCTCAATATAGTCCACTCGTTGGCCGTCTGTCTCCAGTGTTACGCCACTATCCGTTGGTGTCCCATACGGACAGCGTTGGTCATCAATGTAGTCGTACCGATGGTCTATTTATTGTACGGTTGTCATATCACTCAGATCGGGTCCATTTATACGATCGGATGGACATTACCTCAATGTGTGCTAACCCTGCGGCTCATTGCCGTCACTTTTGACGTCTATGATGGCCAACGAAACGCCGCAACGTTGAAAAAGTCGGACAATAATCATAAACAGGTATTAAATTCAATGATAATATTGTCATCAATTATTATATATAATATTAATTCAAATAATGATTTATCGATAACTGCTTTATCTTAAGTGCACTTTCATTGACTCCACGTCTACATCAAAATGATTTATTAGTTACTATTAGTTAATAATTGTTAATTAATTGTTATGTTTAATACTGTATTTATTAATACTCTTATAACTACTATAGTATTTATAATGTACTTCATATTTATACAATATTGTATATATCGTATAAATTTTGTTTATAATAATTAGTTATTATCATGATATATAACATACAAATTATGTAAATTTACGATAATTATTGACATATAAACAAATTTTTATCTACTAATATGTTTTAAGATAGAAATATAAACATTTAAGTTTATACACATTAAAATAATCAGATTATTTTATATGTCATATATCTTTTAAACAATTTTCATTTATACAAAAATTAATTAATATTTATTGTATTTATTGAATAGGAAAATGATGTGATATTACTAAATTTGGACACAGCTATACCAACAGTGCCGACATTAATTGAATTTTTAAGTCACTGTTACTTTCCGTACACTATTTTGGTCGGACCATTGATATCATACAACAAATATATGTCTTACATAAAAAGCCAAGAATCTCATATATCACACAGTTATGTACCAGCATTGGGACGATTGGCTGCCGGTCTCGTCTATCTGTATGTCTATGTGATTGGATGTGTTTATTGGCCTCAGGAATACCTACTGACCCATGAGTTCGAAGGCTCTGATTTTATGTGGAAGATAACTGCCGTAGCAATTGTATGCAAAATAGGAATGACTAAATACTTGGCCTCTTGGCTTATATCGGAGGGCTCATGTATACTATCGGGAATTTCATGGGACGGCAAGTCCTATTATACCTGTGCAAACATATACGTCTGGAAATTCGAGACGACACCGACTTTCGATGGTGTCATTAAGTCATTCAATTTGTCGACAAACAGTTTTGCAGCCAAATATTTGTTTAAGAGGTTTAAGTTTTTGGGCAATCGGATGGCCAGTCAGTCTCTGACACTAATATTCCTGGCCATATGGCACGGACTTAGTACAGGCTATTATGTGACTTTTCTAATGGAGTTTCTGATTATGAAAATGGAAATGGATGTATTGGCTAAAGTGGCCAAAAAACGGAACAAATCGCCGAAATTAGATTCTTTACTCAATTCATATTTCGTCAAAATGTTTATATGGATAGTATTCCGCATTTACACTATTTATCTGTTAGGCTATAGTTTTATGCCATTCATGCATCTCCAGTATCCCACATGGTATCACATTTATAGTCAGGTATATTGGTACGGACATGTGATAGTAGGCACATGGATTATCATCAGTGCATTTGTTGTTTGATTTAGTATTTAAAACTTTATGATCAAATGAGAAATTAGTTAATGGACAAAAAGAAATTATGAATTAATTTAGTTAAATACAAATTTTATAATTAATTAATTTATTGTTAAGTAATTTTTAAATATTTTTATATATACACACAAATTGAAAGTTATTTTAACGAACAACTGGCAAACACATTATGAATTTATTAATTTTATTGTTATTGTTATGTTGTTTTTTACAAATAGTCTTATTTATCAAATTATTATCGTAATTGAAATTTTTATGCTATACTTGATCTCTTACATGGAAAACAAACAAAATTTTGTTTTAAAAAATTTTTAGCGTTTAATTAGCAAATTATCGGATTTTGAATTTATCGCAAAATATTTATTTATATCAATCTTTTTATAATATATGATGTATTATATAACATATAAAAATTGTGGTTTTAAATTTGCATGAGATCTAACATTTCAAATGTTTATCACATAACACACACACACACACACACACACACACACATAATATACAGTATAATTATTAGCACATATTTTAAATATATTAAAAATAGATTTGCAAAATAATTATTTTTGTCAATTGAAAAAAATTGTTTATTGTTTTTGTTTTTTTACTTAAGAACAAAATTTAGACAAATTATACATTTTGTTATTAACGCCAAATTACAACAACAACAAAATATGATAATATTTTATTATTATTATTATATGCAGAGATTTAAATAAAATTAGTATTAAAATGAAAATGTTTGAGTAATTTTCTCGATACTAACTTTTAATGTTTTGAAATATTATTATTATTATTATCGTTATTGTTATTGATATCATCAAACATAAGATTAATATCCGATTTATATTTTTGGATAATAGCTGTACGTTTGAGTTTTAACGCAGCCGTCAACAAACCATTATCGGTAGTCCACTCGTCGGCACATAATTTCAATTTGGTCGGCAATTCCCGTTTGGACAGACCGTTATCGAGACCATACTCTCGTATTGAGTCCAACACCGAGCGCTCGACTCGATTATTGTCGCACAACTGGTCAAAACTAAAAGCACTTAACGATAACTTTTTAGATACCCCTTGCAGTGCATTGGTATTTGGTATGACAAGTGCTATGAGATAATCGTGAGTCGATATGCCGTAAACACAAATGTTTTCAATGAGAGGACAACTCTTGACCGCCGACTCTATCTTTCCCAATGAATAGTACTCTCCGTTTTGTAGTTTTAACAAATCCTTTCTGCGGTCTATTATTTTGAAATATCCGTTGCCGTCCACCTGATCGTTGATATGCATAAAAAATATATAATGATTTATATGATCACAAAAATGTTGGTCAAACATATACATACCTCTCCAATATCTCCCGTATAATACCATTTTTCTCCGTTTTCGTAGCAAAATGCTTCGTTTGTTTCCTTATCCATCATATAATATCCCGACACCACTGAGTCGCCATTGATCACAATTTCACCCCTCGGGTTAGGTTTATCACGTACTGAATATCCGCCGTCTGTCCAATCAACGAGTCGTACCCTAAAACCTGACATCGGAGGACCCGTGTGGCCGAGTGTCAAATCAAGCATTCCTCTGGCATGCGATGCACCGCAAACTTCGGTACCTCCGTAGCCTTGGATGAGTGTGAGATCAAATATTAAAGACATTAGTCTTTCGGTTTCATAGGATACCTATGGATTAAACAAAAATAAATTTATATATATTTTGATATCTAAAAAATTGTTAAGACCTACCGGTGCCCCTCCAACTAACATAATTTCAACATTTGAACCCAACTTTTGCTTAGCTTTACGACAAAGAAAATGATTTGTGAGGAAAGTTGTGTAACCCTTTGCTCTCCATTTAGTTTTATAATCGAGTAATGTTTTAAACATTCCTTTTGCTAATGGTTTTCCCTCCATCTGTTCGGTAACTGTCCGTCTAATTCTGTCCAAAACGAGAGGAACCGCCAAAAATATAGTCGGTTTCAATAGTTGGAGATCAGGTGTCTCTCCCGGCACCAGACCTGGCGCTCCTTCGAACAGTGTTAGTGCTGAGGCATATCCCATACGAATACCGCTTCCGAAAAATATCAGTTCAGCCGTAAACTCAAACATATGTCCCAACGGTAGATATGCGATGTAACAGTGCCTTTGAATTCTTGATAATTCAGTTTTAAAAATACAAATTGTTGATTTTGCCTGTGCTATGAGCTGCCCGTGCGTAACAATTGCACCTGTAGTTGTATTTTTTGTTTTGTTTATTATATTAATTGACTTATAAATATAAGAACTATCTAAATGAGTCTTACCTTTTGGAGTACCAGTTGTTCCTGAAGTGTACATAATTAGTGCTAAATCGTCTCTTTTGTTAAGTGAGACTTCGGGTAATACAATATCCGATTTTTTACCGGTAGTCTCGACACGCTTTAGAGACATAATGTCGACAGTGCCGTCACCAATGTTCATACCATCCATGTCAATGATCTTCTGGACACTCGGCGTCTGTGTCAATACTGACCGCAATTTGATGAGCTGTTGTTTGGTTGTAATGGCGTACTTCACTTGGGTCTTAAAAACACAATTATTTATATTATTTTTTTATATATTTATAAATTAAAATATATAAAAAATATTTTATTATTTTATTGTAATTTATATATATTGTTAACAAATACCTGATTGATTCCATGAATAATGCCATCGATACCTAACTGTGCAAACAAAGTGGTGACAACACCTCCCAATTTGAAGACAGCAAAAGCGCATAACATCCACTCGAGCCGTGTTTCGGCAAATATGAGCACTTTATCGCCGGCACTCACGCCTACCAATTGTAGACCTTTGGCTATATTGTCGACACGTTTTATGACATCTCCATACGTGAACCAGTCGTAAAAATATTTGCCGCCTTCGCTAACTTTAACGCCTGATATCACATAGTTTTTGCCATTAGTTTTTGCAGCCGTTTCCAGAAGACTATCGACTGATTCCACTTCAAAGGCCTCGAGTTTCGGATCAGTAGTTATGCGTCTCCACGGACTGTAGGGGTCGAGTGGATCCTCATGTATGGCTTTTTCCTCATCAGATTGGCTGAGTCTGATCCATGGCTTTTGTAGATAATAATAAATTGGTAAAGTTGTATATGTGTATACTGTTATCACTGAATCTATAATTTTAACTAATATATTAGATATTAACTGATTAAACATTTTTTATTATAGAAAATTATATACTTGAAAGTAATTTATAAAAATTACTAAAATTATTATACAACAAATTATGATTAATAAAAATAAAATTTTATAATTATTAAAAAACAACTATTCAATAAGAAATAAAAATATAGTTTAACTAAAATAGTAAATATCTTTTTATAAGTAACTAACTATGAATAGATAATCTGATATTATATTTAAATATAAATATATTTCAAATATTCAAACAATAATTATTACAACATATTAGCTATATTTAAATTTTTCAACAAATAACCCATAATCTTAAATAGGTAAATATTAAATAACATACAGTATTATGAAATAATACTGATAATAGATTTTTTTTTTAAATAATGTTATATTCAATTATTCAATATAAATTGCTATATTATTTATAAAAATATAAAGTATTTAGTAATTTTAAAAATAATTAATATTAGTAAATTAAAATACTTAAAAGTATAAATTTATTGATTGATTAATTATAGATATTAATTAATTTTATCTAATAATGTACAGTAATTTATTTAGCATACAGTGTTATTTGCATGCTAATTTTAACTGTCACTTTAATAATATAAATTTTAGGGATATTACAGAGGAAATAATCAAGGTGTTTTGTTGTAAATAATATATTTATGATATATACTGTAATTATTATGTTTACTATATATAAAATTTATATATATATATATATATATATATATATATATATATATATATATATATATATATATATATATATATATATATGCAGTAAAGTTATTTAAACTTACAAATTTAGAAATGAATATAAAACTATGTTTTTAGCTAATTTTGTTAGTTTTTTATTTGCTAAAATAGCCTCTGGGTATCTAAACATCAGATAGAAATATGAATATTTCCTCAATTTGAATTATTAATCCTAAAATTATTCAATTTAGTATAAGACTTGATAATATCATAATATAGTTAATATACTAATATAAATAAATAAAAATTCTTAATTTAAAAATAGTGTAAAATAAGAAAATATTCATTAAATAATTAGTTGCAATTTATTTTAATTTATATTTAAAATAAAAAAAATTGCAATCAATATACACAAACAACATTTTGACAAACAAAATATAGCATATTTCTATAGACAAAATATCACAGTTTACTGTATATAATATTGTTAATTTATTATACAATCATATACTGTAATATCAAATTACATTTGTTAAAATATCATTGACTTGTAGACCGTAGTTGTAAATAATATTTATATTATTGTATGATTGTTATAATATGGACTAAAGTAGGTTAGCATACCAGTAATGGGCGTTATTATCAATTTGATCATCTATGCAATCAATGATTCAAATTTATATATCATTTTTTCTATAAAAAAAACTTTTTTAATATAGTGTAGTCGATCAAAAAAAATGTTGACCAATAATAAAATTAGTAACAATAATGTTTCGGTACAACCTATCTAAATTGTTTATAATTAACTATTTAGTTATTCAATTTAATTATAGCAATTCACAAAGTAATGTACATTGAAAATTGTTTCAAAAAAATTAAATATTTGATAAATAATAATTATTATTATTTTTTAATTTTAAGTAATACAACAGCGCTTTGTAATAGAACCGGGCGATCAAACAGTAGTGGCCGGTCGTAGTGTAACTCTGACCTGTCGGGTGGCCAATAAAGTCGGCACAATTCAGTGTAATGTCTTGGACTGAGATATCTTAATATTTTTGTAATTATTTGAATTAAAATGTAATTTCAATGTTATTTCATTTGCAAATTCAAACGATAGGGACAAGAGATGGTTTTGGTTTAGGCATTGAACGCAATTTGAGTGGTTTTTCCAGATATACTATGATTGGCAAAGATGATGAAGGCTTGCAATTAATAATTGTTTTGTAAACTTATTTATTGTTTATAATTGTAAAACATATTTATAGGCGATTATTCACTTGAAATTACTTCGGTATCAATTGAAGACGACGCTATTTTTCAATGTCAAGTCAGTGGAAGCACTGACAATAAAGTTCCGGGAATTAGATCCCGAAGCGCAGTACTGACTGTGCTGGTGCCACCCAATCCGCCAATTATAGTACAGGTCCAGGCACAGGGAGATTTGCTGCATACTACTGAAGGTACTCTAATTGAACTCAATTGTGAAGCCAATGGCGGTAAACCAGCACCAGAAGTATATATATATTGTTTGATAAGTATTTAAAACAATTTTTAAAAAAATTTAAAACAATAGTTAAATTGGTTTTACTCGACGGGAGAGCCAGTGTCGACCAAAAATGTCACTTATTGGACACAGACTCTATCGGACGGAAAACGATTTAATGCACAATCAAAGTGGTTGTTCATCGCCAGCAAAGAGTATGACAATCGGACAGTTGTCTGTCGGGCAGAGAGCACAGCTGTCAGTGAACAGTTGGATGCGTCCATACGTTTTGATGTGAAATATGCACCGGAAATACAGATTCAATTGTTGGAACCAATAGGTCAGACAAAAGTCGGCGATACTATAATACTTAGCTGTGAGGCGAAAGCCAGTCCCAACGTATTATTGTATAAATGGTTCAAAAACGACGAAATTATTGTCGGCGATCACGAAACACAACTAACACTGTCCGCAGTGGACAGACATATGAACGGTGCTGTAGTTGTCTGTCAAGTTAGCAATTCGGTGGGCAGTAATAAAGTGTCCCATACTCTGGACATATCGTACGGACCTATATTGAAGGCACCGCCTGATTATGTTTACGGTGTAGACTTGGGTCGCGATGTGAGACTTAAATGTGATGTCGAAGGAAATCCTAAACCCGATATCACGTGGAAAATGAAGGATAAACATAAAGTGTTGGCCACCGAAGCGGAACTAGTGGTTAAAGATGTGACCGATTCCAAGGCTGGCAAATATATATGTAGGGCTGCCGTCAAAGGCTTTTCTGAAATAACATCCGTTTCCATAATTCAAATAAATGGTGTGTTTGTTCTTACAGTACATCTTAAGTACAAAACTAATTTTATTATAACTATTTTATTAACTAATTATTAAAAGGATCGCCACGTATTCACGATCCATATATACATTATGGACTGTTGGGTGAGACAGTAAATATCGGGTGCTATATTGAATCAATGCCTAAGCCGAGTCAAATTGTTTGGTATCATAATAGACAAGTATTAATTTTTATATGTTATTATTTTTTTAAATAATAATATTAATGTTTGATGTTTAATATTATATTCTTAAATGTATATATTATATTATAAATTTATAATTAATGAATTTTATATATATATATATTATTTGTTAGAAAGTAACTATTGATACTAATCGTGGTATTAATATCAATGACAATCGTATACCCGGAGAGTCGACTATTTTATCTACTGTTGTCATATATAATGCAAAATTGGTAATATTTTCAACTAAATTACTACAATTTAGATTTCGATACTTATGTTGACTTTTATTACATTATTGATAATTTTAGTCGGATTTTGGTGAATACAACTGTTCGGTTAAGAATAAGTTTGGAATCGACACTCAAACTATACTTTTAGTTGAAAAAAGTTTGTTAACACAAAATATATTAATAAAATTAAATTTTAAAAAAATATTTTTAAATTATCTTTAGTTAGCTTTACATCTTTGGTTACATATGTGTCGCTATTATTGACAGCATTGGCTGTGATTGTATTGTTGACTATATTTGTGATACTATACCTGAGACGACTAAAACGTAAAGAGTTTGACGAAAAATTATCGCATAATTCCAGTGAATGGACTGACGTTAGCAGCGGATCAGTGGATGACTCAGATATGTCGACAGATGGGTCGGTCAGTGATGACACCGAAGCCAGTGTTGGCGTTCAAATGAAATCCTTGAGCAGTACTGAAGCCGTACATCACAGTCGTCGAAGTCAAAGAAGCCGTACGACACCCGATGTATTGCTTGATTATGATATCAACTATCAGTTTAAACAATATATCTAATCATTTATTTTGTTTGTCTAAATTTATCTATTATTTAAATATTCACAATAAAGTATCATCTGATTTAATTTTAACTAAATGTTTTAAGAATTAATATTATGATAATTAATGTTTTTTAAATCAATTATTCAAAATTCACATAATATCAGCATTAATACAATATATATTAAGTATTTACAGTATATCGTACATAACATATTAATTAAATAATGCATTATTCAAATTATATTTTTTATGATTTAATTATATATAAAAAATCTATAATAATTATCATATATTACAGTATAGTGTTTACTGTCCATATTATATAAATTTAATTTATTAATAATAACTGTATCGTTGTATTGTATAAACATTATATAATACAAATAAGTAAAACATGATTGAATTTGAATGAAAATCATATTATATTTTTTTTATTTAATAATTATTATTTGTTTAGTTGATTTTAAATTTGTAGCAATTAGTATTAAAATTTCGTTTATTAAAAATAATTCAAAATTCGTATTGTATGTAAAATTCTTATCTTAAATGTAATAAAAATACAACAATTAATATAAAGATATTTATAAGTATTTAATGAATATTGAATTAGCATTTTATTTGGTTTGATTACAGCATTTGTACTAATATTTTAACATTTTAATTGTACGGTAATTCCGTTTTGTTGTCTTTTTATATACAATGTCATTAATATTATATTTATATATTGTTTTTTTTATATAATATAAAAACAATAATTTTCAAAATATAATTTATAATAAAATAAATATTATACAGCATATACTGTATATAAAATCATGAATTATGATAAAAATTTTAATAACGATCTTAAATAGTAATATAAAAAATTATTTTTATATATTTTTAGAGAGTTATAATTAAAATATTATCCAGATGTGACAAATTGTTTAAAAATTACAGTTAATAAAAGTGACCAAGTTAAAATAATAAATTATATAATATTGCTATTAAGTAATTAAACTTGCAAAGTTAATAAATAACTTTTAAATATACAGTAACTCTGATATTACAATAAGTTAAATACTTGTATTAATACTTATCAATCAACAATAGTTTAAATTTGACAGCAAATACATATGTAGTTTAGTGTATTTAGTATATATACGTACATTTAATTAATTTATCAACATCAAATTATTTGATATTGAAAAATTACTTATAATTGTTACATTTAAATATTATATTAACAAAATGATATGTCAACTTAGATTCATAATTATAAATTATCTTTAACATAAGCAAAGTTATAATTATTATCATTTACAAAATTATTATTACAAATCGTAATTTACAATTATTATTTATTTATATAATTTTTTTATAAAAAAAAAATATTCATCACATCAATGTTGACGAAAATTTTTAGTAATTGTTTATTTTTAAAAAATACATTTAGTAAGAATAATCATTAAAAATGTATTATATTGTAATTATTTTCATATCAATTATTAAGGGCAAATTGAAACTTCTAATAAATAACCTTCAAAATTATTTTTTGCATTTTGTATACATTAAAAAAAGTTAATACCTGTATCAATTTATATTTTTTTGTGTTCATGTTTTTTATGTCAGTTATATAATTGTCAGTTGTATTATAATATTATTAACTTAAATTAATATGAAAAATATTCACAATATTATCAAAGTTCCTAAATTATAAAATTGTTAAAATCTAAAAAATTTAGTTAAAAATCATATTTGTAGATAAAATAGAAAGTAATAGTTGAGACTATTGTTAATTATGAATTGTGATACTAATAATAATAATAAGTTTAATATTATAGATAGTTATGCAGTAAATGTGCAAAATATTAATTTTAATTATAAGCCATCTGTAAATGTGTTAAATAAATTTTCTTTAAAATTAATTAAAGGTAAAGAAGTTTATAATAATCTTTTGTTATAAATCTACAAAACAATATATTTAATATTGTCTTAATTTAACTAATTTAATAATTTTTAAATTATCTATAAATAATGTAAATATAGTGATAATTTATAATTTTTTATATATAATAACTATAATAGCTATTAAAAAATAGTTATGAATATTATCTAGTTAGAAATTGTTAAATTTTCGATATTGTTTCATTTTATTAATAATAAAATTGTTTGAAAAACAATTTACAAATTTCATTAGTTTATACAAATATATAGATTATTTAAAAAATTATAGTATTTATATACTCTGATATTATTTTAGGCCAAATATTTGCATTGTTGGGATGCAATGGTTCGGGTAAAACAACATTAATTAAACTAATATTAGGTCGACTCAAACCACAATCCGGTAATATATTTATATTTGGGTGCAAACCATATGACAAACAATTGGATATTCCCGGTCCGGGTGTGGGATATATGCCACAAGAAATAGCACTTTTTAATGAGTTTACTATCAAACAAATGTTTCATTATTATGGACTCATATATCAAATAAATAGTAAAACTCTTGACAATCGTATTAATGAATTAAAATCATTGTTACAATTGGCACCTCTGGACCAAAATGTCAACAGTTTGAGTGGTGGACAACAAAGATTAGTATCACTGGCCATAACACTAATGCATTCACCAAAACTATTACTATTGGATGAGCCAACAGTCGGTGTCGACTCAATACTCAGATATCGTATTTGGGAATACTTGGAGCAAATATGCCATCAAAATGGTTAATAGATTTAATTATTAAAATACCTTATTTTTCTTATTTATTTTTTATATAAAAAGATACAACAGTTATAATAACGACTCACTATACCGATGAGGCCAGACATGCGGATTCAGTTGCTTTTATATATAATAGCTATTGTTTGGCACACGAATCGCCTAAAAAATTAATAGAAATGTATCGGTGCTCAACACTCGATGATGTCTATTGGATGTTATGTAAAAAATATATAGATAAAAGTGATGATTATAAAAACAATAATATAACTGAACCATTAATAAATATCAGCAATACTAACAAAAATAGTATAGAAAACAATCAAATAGTTGCTAAAAGTGAGTTCAACTTTCAACGTATTAAAGCACTGGTATTAAGAAATCTAATTGAAACTAAAGGCCGTCCAGCGATATACCTATTTTATTATATACTACCATTGATTGTTATATTTATAGCAAATGCATCATTTGGTGAACCATATAATATACCCATTGCTATCGTCAACAATGATATTACTGATGATAACACCATTTCCGCACAATTTACTCAATCATTGAATAATCAAACCTTTTATATAAATTATTACAATTCCAATACATTGGCCTATAATTCATTGATTTTGGGAAGAAATCATTTATCGATTTTCATTGGCGAAGGATTTAGTGATCAATTGAAAAGTCAAATAATTGATAACAAGAATATGATTGACGACGACTCCAATTCATCGACAATTAAATTGTCAATCGATATGAGTAATCCTGTGATTGGATATTACGGACAGTTTTATTTATTTGACTCTATCATTGGTGTGATCCGTAAATTTAGTCAAACTATAGGTCAAAATCCAATGGCATATTCACTGCCAATTGATGTCCATTTTCAGAAATCGTCTAATATAACATATAACAGCTTTATTGTACCCGCTTTTATAGTGGCCACCACTCAGAGTCATACCGCACTGGTCATCGGGTTTTTAATGAATCTAATTTATGATCGTCAATACGGATATTTGGATCGCTATATGAGTGCCGGTATAAAGCCTATGGAGGTATTCATAACACAATCGCTAATAGCATTGTTTCATATTTTAATACAATCGCTAATATATGTCATCACTGTATTTGATGTTTTTAATTATCCACTCTATGGTACATATTTGGATGCATACATATTAACCGCATTGAGTGCTGTTGAGGGCATGACTTTTGGCACAACAGTTATGCTATACTTTGACGATATATACAAAATATTTGTAAGTTTGAACTTTTAAATTTTGTTTAAATAATAAATTATAAAATAACTATTTATTTTTTAATTAGATTATATTAATTAGTACACTATTTTCACAATCTATAATATCGGGTTGTTTTTGGCCAACCGAGTCATTGCCTAATTATCTACAATACATGCAATACATTATACCCCAAAACGCAGCCATAATATCCATACGAAATGTTGTATATAATGGTTGGTCTGTATTCACACACTTTCAAACTTTTTATGGATGTCTAGTACTTATAATTTATAGTATAATTTTCACAATTTGTAATTACTATTTATTCAAAAACATATAAGAAATACTATTAAGAAAAATTGTAAATATATGCTCTAATTGTTGTTTATCTTATAATAATTATTTATGTTATATATTGTATATTTTATTTGAATGTAATTAAATTAATTTTTGATAATATTCAGCATAATAAAAAATTATTATAACTAAATAAATATATTTATTTTTCAATATATGATATGTTTTAGATAAATAGCATAGAAACAAATGTATGATATATTACTATATTATTACGATTGATAATTTTAGATAATAATAATCTTTAATGGAAATTGTTTTTAAAAATATCTATAAATATTATACAATATAATATTAATATTAATATTAACGATTATTTTTTTAATGCATGATGAAATAAGTTTTTTTTGTTATTGCTAAAAAACATTTTTACAGTGCATTTTATCTATTAAATTGTTTCTGTAAAGTACTGTAATAATCATTATAACTGTGAAATACAGTAATAATAATAAAATTTTATTAATAATTCAATTTAATTAACCAATGAATCAATGATTATAATGAATGAATTGATCACTAAAATTGATTTATTCTATGTGTTTGACGACTCTAGAGGTACTAATATGTTGTTTGTTACCAATACAGACAAAGTATATGGAATGGGAGCTAACACTTGGGGACAGTTGGGTTTTGGACACCAGAATTATGTGTGCGAACCGCAAGAAATCATTGAATTGTCGGATAAAAAAATTCAAGAGTTTATTAGTGGTAAATATTTTGTTGTTTGTCACTGCAGTGATCAAACTATTTACAGCTTTGGTTATAATAAATGGGGTATTTTGGGAATACCAACCACTGCTGGTCCACAACTTTATCAAAGGCCTCGTAAAATACAAATCGATGGCAAAGATTTTGTTGCAAAACAAGTAAGTTGTGGTCGATATCATACACTAGTGCTGACCACAGATAATGAGGTGTACGGTTGGGGCCGTAATAATTGGGGACAGATTGGCACAACAGATATTAATAATAATAATAATAGTTTAAAGACTAACAATCAAGACATAACAGTCCCCGAGAAAGTGCTTTTCACTGATAATGATATCATAAAATCGATTCATTGTTACGACATTTGTTCGTTTGCATTGGCAATGGATGGACAGGTATATAGTTGGGGTTTCAATCGTCTAAATAGATTAGGCTTGAATGACACGGATTACACTATATTTAGACCGAAAAAATTGATTAACATATATAATGATATTGAAATGTTGTGTATGGGTGGGGGTCGATATTATTTTAAGGGTAAAAATGATCTAGTTTATTATTATGGCACACTTGTACACAATGAAAATATTTATAAACCACATTCAAAGATAATGGTGTTTCCCAATAATTATATGAACCCCAATGTTATTAAAGTTATTTCATATAAAGGCGATTATATAACACATTTATGTGAAGTAAACGGTAAATTATATGATGTTATCAATAATAAACAAATTGATACCAACTGTCAAAATATTATGGATTATTGCATCAATCAATTAGGGATCACATATAAAACTTATCATTTTATTTATATTCAACAAATGGATTTATTTCAACAACTGTTTGATAAACATTTACAAATAATAACTATTGTTGTTAATGATCTGACAAATTTGATAACAATTTATGATAATAATAATATAAATATAAAGAAAATTGTAATGAAATTAATTAATATAATTGTTTCTATTGTTAAATATTTTGACAAAATAGTCGATATGTTAAATGAATTAATGGAAAATTATAAAGCATTTGAATTAAATGATAATATGAGACAATTTATTATAAAAACAATCGATAAAATTAAAAAAGAGTCGGAAAACGTTATCGACAATGGTTTGAATAAAAAATATTTAAAAATTGAATTATAACATTATTTTGAATATGTTTTAATTATAGATTTACTAACCAATTCATATAAACGTTGTTACAATAGTTTAAAATTAGTTGGTCGGGGAAGCTTTGGAAATGTACACAAAGTTAGTAATAATTTATCAAAAGAGATAACAGCTCTTAAAATAATGGAAATTAAAAGTAATTATTATAATTATTTTCTAATTACTTATAATAATAATAAGTTATGACAAATATTATTATTAAATTTAAAAATATATACATATATTATATTAATAGGTGAAGAAAATGTGATACAAGAAACTGAAAAATGTAGTAAATATTAATGAGTATTATTATTATTAATTGTTGAAAAAAATATATATAAACTTAGGTAAAGAAAATTTAATGCAAGAAATTGAAAAATGTAGTAAATTTTTCTCTGAGTTTGTCGTCGAAACCTTATATGTTTGGGACTATAAAAATACAATTTATATTCAAATGGAGTTTTGTTCACTGAATCTGAAAACTGTTATTGATTTAAAAGGACAGGTATTTGATAGAAAAAATGATAAACCAATGGATTATTTAGAATATTACATAACGTGTCAACTATTCAAAGAGCTATTAGAATGTGTCAAATATTTGCATGAATTGAATCCACCAGTAATTCATTGCGATCTCAAACCCGATAACATATTGATTGCCAATAATGTAATTAACGGTCGATTTGTTAAGTTGGGTGACTTGGGATTGATTAAGGTTTTGGAAAATTCAATGCAAACACAAAGCAAATGTGTCGGTACATCAAAATATATGGCACCAGAAGTTTATAATAAGAAATATTCCACAAAATCCGATGTCTATAGTATCGGTCAAATCGCTCAAACATTATTTGACACCGATATCAATGAGTTAGTAATGATTCAAAATAATAATAAATATTTACAATAAATTCATACATAATTTTTTTTTCGTTAATTTTAGTCCAAAAACTAAATATGAATCCTACGATTGGTCTGAAAAGTATTGTAATATTATATCCATATTTTGCAAAACTTTGTTTCCCGTTTATGATGAGCGACCTACCTGTGCGCAAATAATTACACAATACAAGGATTGGGCTATCGATTCAAACTATGTTATCCAAAGGAAAGACTTTCAAACCAAACTAACAGAAATTAAAGCAAAGGAATGGCAGATAAGAGAAAAGGACAGAAAAACAGATAACAAATTTTGGCTGTTTTTTCATTTGTATGTTTCTATTAAAACAAAAATAGATATAAAAAAAATGTATTAAACAGAAATCAATTATTAATATATCAGTCATAGAAATATTTAAATATAATGATTATTATTTGTTGTTATTGAATACACTGATTGAATATATTCATCTGATTTATTACTATTCAAAAACTAATAGTTTTTTTCCAATTTTTTTTATTAAAGATTATTTAAATTTTCCAAAATAATTAAAATTAATTATCTAATATTAATTTTATCGTTTAATATTTGTATTAAAATAATAAATATAGCGATTTTTAAAATTTAATACAAGATTTTATTTTTATCATTTTAAACATCTTTTATATAATTTTGTAAAAATTAATTATAAATAAGTTTGCTTTATCATAATACATTATATGTCTATTTAATATTTATATTTTATGTAATTATATGTCATTAAAAATAAATTAAATATACATTTGTTTGAAATGTTGATTTCATTTTTATATTAGTATTTTAATTTCATATTTGATGGGATAAACCATTTAGTTTATGATTTGCGTATATAACTAATGCTAAACATAGAGATTTATTTTTGTATCAAATATTGAGAAAAAAAAATAATATTTAGGAAACCGTGTTATTTATGATATATTTATAAATATGAAATACAATAATTATTCTTACAGTAAATACTATCAGATAAAACTTGTATTGTTTGATGTATTTATAGTAATATTTAAATTTATTTTACCGTAAAATTATATTGTTTATAAAAATTGCTTTCCCAAATGTTTTAATAAAAAATAAATTATGAGTTTTTTTCAGTAAATATAATGTTTTACTAATGAGATCTCTATATTAATAATCATAATTAGGAAATAGTATATAATTTGATTAATTTATACAAAATAATAATAATAACCATAATTTCAATGATTTTGGTGATACAATTAAATTCAACTATATTTACAAATTTTTAAAAATTATTATTCATATAAGAAAAACAAATCTGAAAAAACATAATACAGATACTAAAGATAATATTAAAAAGAAATTAAATAAATGATATTTTGATTGCAATTAAACAAATGAAAATTTAAGTTAAAATAAAACTTAAATGTTATCGATGTGTTTGTAAAATGCTATTTATACACATAAATGGTTTGACACAAAAATTATAAAATAATAGTTTGTTAAATAACTAAATTAATTAAATGCCTCTCATTTCTGTGTGACATAAGTAGTTGACTTATTATTATTAGTATTATTATTATTATTAGTATTATTATTATTATTAGGAGAAGGAGGAGGCCTTGACTCTTGTGATCGTCGACTACCTCTACTACCTCTACCCCCTCTACTGCCTCTTCCTCGACCAGATGTTTTAGCTGGTGCTGTTGTTAAAGTGGTACCGGTATTAGTTGGTGGTGCAGCTGCTGTCGAAGTTATCGGAGCTGTCGCAGGTATACGTTGACTGTCCTCAGGCACGTGCGGTGGTCTGCTGTGTTGTAACAAATTTTGGATCATAAAAGCGCCATTCGGTCCGCCGGCCACACCGGCATTGGGGCCAAAGTAGCCATAGTTTTGGCCATATGGCGGTGGATAAGGCGACGGCTGTAATGGCATCATATGTGGTGGTGGTTGTGGATGACCAGTAATTGGTTGTCCAGGTGCTGGCTGTCTATAGTATGGATTTGCTGCAGGATGTCCCGGATAATTATAAGGAGGCATATGTGGTCGATTTGTGGCACCGGGTTGTGTCCAATGAGGTCCGCTAAGTGGCCTATAATTTGGTGGTGTTTGACCAGATATTGCTGGACTGGTTACGGGGGCTGATGTGCGCGGTGGCTGTGATGGACCAGTTGTGTTTGGTGGTGCACTACTAATTGGTTGTCTAACATGTGGAGATGCAAATGGAGGTGCTTCATGAGCTGTAGAAACAGGCGCTGGTGGTCGAGCGTAATATGGATGAGCAGCTTCTGCAACTTGTGGATAAAAATGACCTGGAAAACCATGTGTGGCTGATCCAGGTGGTCTTTGTTCGTTAAGATGAGGTGGAGGATGGGCAGCATGTGGGGGATGAGCAGCATGTGGAGGATGGCCAGCATATGGTGGCATTGGGCCAACATTTGGTGGAATATTATGTCCCAAATATGGTCTTTCCATTCGATGATCTATAACACCTTTAGGCGTTTGTAATGAATGTCCAATAGGAGGTCGTGTATAGTCATGTATTGGATGTCTCGGTGGATAACCACTGGGGTTTGAGTCTAATGTCATAATTCTCGGTGGACTCGACTGTTGAATATAGGGTTCGTTGACAGACGCGGGTTTCAATGGTGGTGGCCGTGAGGCTGAGTATGCTTCCATCGGTGGCACTGAATAATAGTCTAAATTATTTGGATTCTTGTTATAGTTGCCATCAATGGGAACAGTATTTGGTGGATAACTATTTTGTAATTGTGTAATATTTGGTGACACCATATGTGATACTATAGCAGTTGTTGCTGAATTGGGCACTACTGGTGTTGACAAATAATGACTATCTTTGTTAACTAATAGAGGCGGTGGTGGCGGTAATGATACAACATTAGCGTTCACTTGATTGTCAACAACAGTAGACATGATTGTCTCACTAAGAATTGTTTTATTATTACTATCACCTAACAGTTCACTACATTTATCATTAACTTTAATCATTGATTTTTCATTTTCTTGAATAACATCTTTAGATTTTTTACTGTTTTTCGATAATTTTTTAGCATTAAAATCACTTTCATCTTTAAATTCTTCCTCATCTTCTTCTTCGTCTACCTCTTCATCGGATTCTTCTTTCAGATTTGCCAAACCTTTTGCCTTTGAAAGTCGTGGTTTTCCTTTCATAGTTAATTGTTGGTCAGTATTATCTTTAGATGATTTTTGAGGCAAAACTTTATCTTTTGGTTTAATTTCGTCTTCACTTTCATCTTCATTGTCCTCGTTTTCCTCGTCTACTTCTTCGTCTTCTTCCTCTTCATCATCACTTTCTGCCCAAAGTTTTTTCAATTTCCTCTCAGCTTTGGAGGTCTTCGACTCTTTTGGTTGTCCCCATTCCTCTTCACTGCTTTCAGAATCGAATTTTGTTTTCTTCTTAGTGTTGGCCGGTTTATAATACTTGTTATCGCTTTCGTCACTTTCTGAAGTCTCCTCCTTATAACAAACCCTTTTTCTGGCCGCCGATCGAGCTTTTGAACGACCGCCCGGTCGATAGCTGCCATCACTATCATCACTGCTAACAACAAACGCATCTCTTCTATAACCTCTTCGGCCAATATTTTTCTGCCGACTTTTATTTTTGGATTTACTCTTTGATTTACTGCTAGAATATCTCGTTGAACGCCGTCGAGGCTTATAATCGGAAGCATCAGACATGTCGTCGTCAGTTTCTTCGTCATCAACAAACTCTTCATCTGACGCTTCTAATTCTGTAGCGTCAGAGTCATCACCTTTAAAGTCCTCATCGCCGTAGTCATCATCTTCAGTAGTGTCTGACAAATCATTAAGACCTCGATGTCGTTTACGAGCAGCTGCTGATGAATCTCTTCTTCGTTTTTTATTCTTTTTTGAGCCACTTTTAGATTTAGTTTTTTCATCAGATTCTTCTTTCTGATGTTCTTCCTCATCGTCGTCTTCTTCTTCTTCTTCTTCAACATCATTCTTAACAATTGTCTTTTGCTCGTCAGTCATATCATTACCGGCCTTTTCTTCAACAGCTGTTGTTTGTTCGTCAGCTTTTGGTTCTCCAGTTTTTTCTTCAATTGGAGTCAAACTAAAGTCAAGTTCTTCTCCCTTATTACTGGCGATTATATTAGACATGTCTTTGCCTTTGCTTTGCATAACACCAGTAGCTTCTGTGTCGACATCATCGACATCATCGACATCATCGACATCGAAGTCACCATCAATTTCCAATTCAATCGCCGACTTTATTAATTCGTCAAACTCTTGAAATTTATAGTTAATATTTTTGCGATTCCTATTACGGCGCGATTTGATGGCCGCATATTTGTCCACTTCGTCTTCTGACTCATCTGACCAAAGAGCTCTTCCAATATCGTCTTCACGATCGCTATCCTCATCATCGTCAACATCATCACTATTTTCTTCATCATCTTCATCGTCACTGTTGTATATTCGTCGACGATTTTTACTCTTCTTTTTATTACTACTTTTGTCATCAATTTCGTCATTTTCATTAACATTATCATCATTTTCTCCATCATTAATCAAATCGTCGGTCTGTTCCGTTTCATTCTTTAAATTTCTTGGACCCGAATTCTTCAATATGTTATCTACACTAATGGCCACATATTTAAGTCGTTGTCTGCGTAGTTCTTCTCTTTCTTTTTTCACCCAATGAACAGATATTGTGGCCAATTCTTCGTGTAATTTTTGACACAACATTTTCTGCAACAAATAAAAAAATATTATTTAAATCATAATTACAAAACATTAACAAAAAAGTAATCAATTGTATGGCTCACGTGTTCACACGGTGGACAATACCAGTCGCCGTCTGGTATCATAAGTAATGGCGGACGAAGACATGCCGTATGAAATCCTTCGTCACATTTATCACATAAAAGTATCTGTGTTTTCATGATATAATAAAATTCATTAAATATGATAATTTTAATATAAAATAATATGGAGGACATACCCATTCCGGGTGATCATATTTCCCGCACCGACCACACGGTTTGTCATCATTTTCGACTTCTGATTCACTGCTTGGCTCGTTATCGTCAGGACTGACCGAACGGACTGTAATTATAACAACAAAAAACATTTACAAAATACTGAAAAATATATTTTAAAAAATGAATTTTCAAACCTTTTTTGACAGTCCGAGCGCGTCGTACAACAACAGGTTCGGCGTCGGGATCGAACTCTTCGCACGCAAACTCGTCTTCATTGTCTTCAAACTTTAGTACTTCTTCTTCTTCGTCTTCGTGCTCTTCTTCATCTTCTTGAGACTCATCAGATTTGTTTGAAGAGTCGCTCTCTTCCCACGGCCGCGAATTGGGGCCGTGTTTTCGTTTCCTTTTACGACCTCTTCTTTTCTTGTGTTTCTTATCTTCCGAGGCATCCGAATCATCGTCATCATCATCTTCTTCTTCTTCTTCTTCAATGTGATCTTCATCGCTCTAAAAGAAAAAAAAATCAATTTTAAATCACAACAAAACAATATATATATATATATATTTGTTTAAGAAATTATTAGAATATAATAATTGTTATCTTTCTTACAGAAGAGGAAGTATCGAGACATCCCTTCTTCTATTAAAGAAGACATAAAAATTAAGAGAAAAATATATATATTAATGAATTTGTTTCGAAAGTCAAGACAAATCATATATCATAAAAATTGTGTCAAATTTTTTTAAATAAACTACTTTTAAATGTTTAAATAACTAGTAATATAAAGAAACCATTTGAATAATCTTTACCTCAATTATCTTTTTAGATCTTTTTTTGTTGGGTCCCGTATTAGCTAACTGTTCTTCTCTGAGTGCACTCAATTGTGCCGTTCGTTTTTTGGCCAATTCCTCGATCTTTTGCTGTTCGCGCTTCACTTGTTCCGACATTTGTTGCGCCTTCTTCTCTTGCAGAGCTGCTATTCGACGACTGGCCCTCTTGTTTAGCATTGGTTCTTCAAAATCGTTATCTCTTTCTCTACTTTCGGTCTTTTCCGACGATTGACTTCTCTTTCTTCTCCTACCAGTTGCTGATCTCGTTGTCGTTGTTGTAGTAATCTTCGTAGTATTAGATTTGTGTGCAGAAGTGGTCGACGCTCCTCTACCTCGACCTCTACCACGTCCTCTACTGAGTCCGCGACCCCTTATTCTTCCTCTACCTCTGAATGTTGAGGTCGTCTCTTCTCTATCGTCAGAAGTTCTGCAAACTTCGTCAACTAAAAAGTCGCACAAAACCGAAACTGTCTGTTCAATTGAAAGCAATGTCATGTCAGTTATAGCACCGGATGATGAGTGGCCGCCGCCTGTCGTTAATAAAGATTTGTTTAGTGAAGAGAGACGTTTAGTAGCCGTTGATTGCACTGAAACTGCACACAAATTGTCTGACACTTTGCCGATAATGTCGTCCATCACAAGCTTAACATCACAATCCAATTGAGATTTTAGTCTATCAATATCTACATCTAATTTATAACTATTATTATTATTATTATTATTATTATTATTATTATTATTATTATTATTATTATTATTATTATTAAAATAAGAATCTGTTTCTCTATTTTTATCATTTTTCTTATTACTTAAACAAACATTATGTCCATCAAAGCCATTCATTTTAAGTTCACTTAAATTGTCTGTAAAAATAGAGGACTTCTCTGTGATGGACAACAGTTGTTTGGTTTCGTTAACAGTATTTAATTTTAACTCACAATTCACAGTATTTTCGTTTAGTTGATTTGATGAACATTTTGTGTCCAATTTTGTCATCAAATTTGGTTTAATATTAAGTTCAGTTGTCGGCAAACCATTTTCGACAATACGTTTGCCATTGTTGTTGTTATCATTATCATCACTTCTACTGACTTTACATTTATTATCATTATCTGTCAGTTCCTGTTTAACACCAAACACATAACTTTCATGAAGTGTATCATTGATTTGGTCATCAATTGGTTCTTTCTTTATCTCAGTTTTAAGCTCATTCTTGGACTCACAAAAACTCGACTCAATTTCATCACACATTTCACTACACATTTCTTGACATATTTTCATTACATCGTCAACGATGTCATCGTTTTTAATATTTAACATAATCTTTGTTTTTATCTTTTGCTTCTGTTCTAACTCGATGTCTAATAAATCGACTGAATTAGAGTTGGACTCCTGTTTCAGACAACTCGACAATTTGCTGTTGAGATTACTATTGTCATCATTTGTGTCGCTCAACGAAGAAGTCTCTTCTTTAGGTGACCCAATAGTATTGTTTGCTTCGAGATTTGTAATCAATTCTTCTAATTGTTTCTTATTTCTGATGAAAGATAAAACATAAAACAGATTAAGTTATAATTCGTAATTTTGTTATCAAATATAATAAAGTGATTATTACTGGCAAACCAAAGACCAAGACTCTTCATCTTCAGCCTCTTCCTTATAGATCCTAAAGTTGTAGTCTAAGTCTAATTGATACCAATACATGAAACCATTGATGTCGCGTCCAATCGGTAATAACCTCAGCGATGCCGCGTCATTGGCATTAACCTCAAGTTTAAACTTAGAGTTGTAGTCAAATTGAGCCTCAAGTAAGCGCTGAAGAATTAATTGTAGATAATATCGATAAACAATTAAATAAATTCAAACAATAGTTATACAATAAGTGTCGATAAATTGTTTGTTAAAATACCTTTAATAACTCCAATTTGATGGACAGTTTGCTATTCTTGTAGCCATACCTTTCCAGTTCCCAGGAGTCGACGTTTGAATACTCGGCACAAAACTTGACTAAAGCCCGTTCCCACTTATCTTTGTTAATATATTTTCGTCGTTTCCTCAACAACTTGATGTGCAGCTCAACCAACTCTTCGTTAACTACGAGTAAATCAAAAGATCAAAAATTAACAGATAGTTAGTTAGTGTATGTTTTTGATGACATCACATACGGTGATCATTGTCTTCAATCATATCTTTCAAGTGCTGTATGTTGTATGTGATACCCAATGGTTCGCCAAACTTGTGAAAGAAGGAACAAATGACTGCAAAGTTGCCATCATTTTCGCACTGATTGTTGGCAACCAATTGCTGATCGACCGGTTCATCCAACATAGAGGCGGCCATTGTTTGTCTGTGTTGAATATACTTCGGCTAATTGCTTGATACCGGTGTTGTTATATAAACAACGAGATGACCACTAAATGGTCACTAAATTGCGACACCGATTGGCTGATATATTACTACAAAAATATGTAATCAATTAGTTTTTTTTGTTGTTGAAATCAACTTAAAATTTAATTATTTTTTAAATAACAAAACAAAACACTCAATCAAATTATGTTTCAATTATATTCAATAAAATCATTTAAAAAAAATTATATCATAATTACTATTTAAAACATTCAAAAAAAAACTATTGACTTTTTTTGGCATCAATTACATGATATAATATATAGTTAAATATATAATTAATAATTATTTGTTATATTTTAATTAAATATTAAAATAAAATATAAGATATATTTAAATAAATAAATTTAAAAAAATAAATAAAACATACACAAAATTATAATTGATTTGAACAGTTAGCCAAAAAAAATGACAGCTATCGGTGCGATGACTGCCGTCCTTAAGGAGTTGAGTGACGACCGATCGTGAGGCCCGTCGATGTGATGGCCGGTCGACAACACACAACACGGCCTGTCATTTGTAGGACACGGCGTTTGAGTTCATATTTATTTGATTTTTCTATTGCTTTACATATAGTTATAATGCAGTTGTCATTCAAAATAATACTAAATATTTATATCAATAGTAGTAATAATAATAATAATATAAGTGTTGCGAAAACCCCATTGAATACAACACACATAATATTGTTATATAAAACTCAATGTATTTTCAATGTGAATGTGTGTTATGTTATGTTTATCTATGCACTGGTAGTAGTAGTAGTACTGTATTAGTAATATTAGTGGTGATGTTAGTGCCATACATACTCTATGGGCACCAGTAGCTTATAAAAATGGCGACAGCGCCCTGTCTATATAATCTACCAGTGCTAGTGTGTGTACTGTCTATTAAAAACACAACAATACATGTATATAAAATAACCCCCTATTGACTATATCAATGATATAACTACCAGTGCCCATAATATGACAGCACATAAGACTTTTGCAGTGTTTTTTCATATAATTTATTACACCGACCGACTCTCTCCTACAATATTATAGTATATTTTTCATAAAAAGCACTGTTATGTGTGTGTGTGTGTATAATCGGTTAATAATAATCAACAAAAAATATCATACAATAAATAAGTTTTATGGCAATCGTTATAATGATTTTTATTATATTCATTATTACACTATGAATGATACCTATAATAACAATTATTATTATTATTGTAACAATTATTGTTTTTTTTTATATAATTTGATAAATTTCTAATGAAAATATATCAATTTTTAAATGATTTTTATGAAATTATATATCATATATTAATAGTTATGTAAATTATTTTTTGAATATATTGATTTAATTAAATAGAATTAAATGTTCATGGTACATTTTTTTTTAAAAAATCTCTAAAATAATAAACATAGAAAATCTTTCTAATCTATTGATAAGTTAAATCCGGGTAATTGTTGATAGTCGGTGTTAAAATTGAAAAAAATGTTACACAAACACAAAAAAAAATGTCGTCTAAATAAGATTAGAACCTGGGACCTCAATGTTGTCCATTTAGTTGATTATATTTTCCCTCCAATACTAATAACCTAATGCTATTTATCACAGATATATACCGGTATTTTGTCACCGAATAAAATAAAAAATATTTACCGACAAAATATTGTTTAGATTATTCATTAGTATATTTTGATTATTACAGTAACTATAAATTACTTATTTAAAAATACTTGTAAATTAAGATATTTATCGACAATAACTTTATTTAAAAATTAAATTATCTAACTATATATACAATTGATTTTTATTTAATTATAAGGCATTGATCAATGAGTTGACTATATTTTAAAATAATAAATTTTATGATTTTAAACAAAAGAAAAATTATTGTTTGACTATATGTTAAGCGATTGCCGGTTGAGGACCGGTATGTTTGCCGTCACTGCCGCTACCGATTTGTTTCGAATCGTCTTTATCTTTGGATTTCTGGTCAGAAATTATACCGTCCTTTTCGTATAGGATCTCTCTTTCCGTTTTAGGTGGCAGTGCTGGCGGTGACACAAAAGTTCTAATGATTGGCTCTTTCGGTGGCATCCAATTCGGCACAATCTTTGCATGCAATCGCCATTTACCGTACAAATTAGCCAAATGTTTCTCAAACACCACGTACTCCAATACGTCTTTGACTACCGCTTCGCTTCCGTGCATCAGAATACCGAAGCGGTCATAGATGGCCAGTATCTGTCGGGTATGTAATCGTACAGTGATTTGTGCAAACAGATTATTCTTGGACAACACGTCCAGTGTCCTGACGTGAGCCACAGTTGGCTTCTCAATACTGTTAATGAATTGCCACCGAATTGTTTTCAGGTCTGCCTTGTGTGTCATCTGCGGGAACGCGTGTTCTGTCACAAAGTCGTGCAATTGATCCCACTCTTTATCGGCTAACGCCCGGTGGGCCTTCACGTAGAGATCGAGAGCATTCTCGGCAAAGGTCGGTAAGTCGAGTTCGTCCTCATAGGTTCGGACCTTACGTATGGCTAACATAGATTTGCCCTTTTTGGTCAACTGATCCATACGCTGTTTGGCACCCTTTTTGTAGAAGGATAGAGAAAAACATATAAACAGCAATTAGATGATTGACCAACTTATTGATGGCCGCAATTTATCGGCCAATAAAAACCACTCAACTGTTGCCGATATTATTGATGCCTTGCCGTCGCCTTCAGGCGGCACATACGGGTCAAGTATACCGTTTGTACTGGTGATTGTCAGTTCGCGTTCATTGTACATCCGAGGCGGTGCCACACCTTTCTCCTTGAGTCGCGACCGGATCTCTTCGGGTGACAGTTTGTCTTCGAGTCTCATTTCGTTGAAATCGGGTAATTCAATCTTGATCACTTTCCTACTACGTGCCTTTTTCCACGCGCCTTCGGGACCGATGTTCCACGGCTTGATGCCGCGCGCGTAACGCACCGATATGGCGCCGGCCAGTGTCTGACCTCTGGCCACACGCAATAAGTGGCCGCACGTGATGTTCATATTGTAATTTTAAAAAAATATATATTTTTTCACTAATTGTTTTTTATAACTTTACTAAACATTAAATATGTATTCAAATGATTGATAGAAAATATATTAAAACACAAAAAATAATTGTAAACACATTTGTGTTGTATTTTAAAAACGTGTGGCAATTGATATCATTTACTATACAAATGAATTACGTTTACAGTATTATACAGTAATATGTTTTCAAAAATAGGAATATTCTGTTTATTTATTAAAGTTTTGACAATTGATAGACAAAAGTGTTTTTAATGTTTATTTGTAAAAATAATTATTTTATTATTATTATAAAACAAACTTTTACTTTAATTAAAAATTAGATTGTTAGTAATATATTATATTTACTCTATTGTTAATTGCAATTTGCAATATACTGTATATATATGATTTTACAATTATCACTACAAATACTAAATATAAATACTGTATTATAAATTTTTGAACATTACATTTTTGAATACTTTAAATTTGTTTTTTTATTTGTTAAGTGAATGTTGGGCCCAATGGTCAACCAAATAATTAAGATAATTTAAATAGATAATTATTATTTTTGTAAGTTTGAAATGTCACAAAATATTGATTGTTTTATTTTAAATTATAATGTGAAATAATAACTTATAAAATAAAATAATGAATTTAATTAAATAGTAGGCTTATATAAGTACATGTGGAACAGCCGTCAGACCACTAAAGCCTGCTTGTTGTTGTTGTTGCTGCTGTTGTTGGTTACCTCCTAATCCTGCTTGTTGTTGCTGTTGCTGCTGTTGAGCTGCCAGTCCACTACCATAACCACCCAGCAGTGTATGTGGAACTGAATATAAGTTATGCAATAGACCACCACTATAGCCGGCTTGTTGTTGTTGCTGCTGCTGTTGGAGACCAGCGCCTAATCCATAACCACCCGCGAGACCCGCAGCTGCTTGTTGTTGCTGTTGTTGTTGTTGTTGGGCTGCAAGTCCGCCGCCATATAAACCTATAGGTACAGCACCATATAAGCCATATGGTACATGGCTTAAACCTCCAGCTAGTGCAGCTTGTTGTTGTTGTTGCTGCTGTTGACCTCCTAACCCTGCTTGTTGTTGCTGCTGCTGTTGTTGTTGGGCTGTAAGTCCACCGCCATATAAACCTATAGGTGCAGTATTATATAAGCTATATGGTCCATGGCCCAAACCTGCGGCTAGTGCGGCTTGTTGTTGTTGCTGCTGCTGCTGCTGACCTAATCCTGCTTGTTGTTGCTGTTGCTGCTGTTGTTGGGCAGACAATCCAGCTCCATATATACCTATAGGCACAGCACTATATAAGCCATATGGTCCATGGCTTAAACCTCCAGCTAGTGCAGCTTGTTGTTGTTGTTGTTGTTGCTGCTGCTGACCTCCTAATCCTGCTTGTTGTTGTTGCTGCTGTTGTTGTTGTTGGGCTGTAAGTCCAGCACCATATAAACCTAAACCTATAGGTATAGCACCATATAAGCCATGGCCCAAACCTGCGGCTAGTGCGGCTTGTTGTTGTTGTTGCTGCTGCTGCTGACCTAATCCTGCTTGTTGTTGCTGTTGCTGCTGCTGTTGGGCAGACAGTCCAGCACCATATAAACCTATAGGTACAGCACCATATAAGCCATATGGTACATGGCTTAAGCCTCCAGCTAGTGCAGCTTGTTGTTGTTGTTGTTGCTGCTGCTGCTGACCTCCTAATCCTGCTTGTTGTTGTTGTTGCTGTTGTTGTTGAGCAGACAGCCCAGCACCATATAAACCTATAGGTACAGCACCATATAAGCCATATGGTCCATGACTTAAACCTCCGGCTACTGAAGCTTGTTGTTGTTGCTGTTGTTGTTGACCTCCCAATCCTGCTTGTTGTTGCTGCTGTTGTTGGGCGGCTAGTCCAGCAGCATATAATCCATAGTGTCCAAGACCACCTAAACCAGCGGCTACTTGTTGTTGTTGCTGCTGTTGTGCACCATATCCTCCAATACCACCAATTCCTGCCTGTTGTTGCTGTTGTTGTTGTTGAGCAGCCAGTCCAACACCATGCAAACCAATACCATAAATACCATATGGATATCCAATACCTCCAAAATGACCACCATGGGCAGCTTGTTGTTGTTGTTGCTGCTGTTGCTGTGCACCATATCCACCAATTCCTGCCTGTTGTTGTTGCTGTTGTTGTTGTTGAGCTGCCAGTCCAGCACCGTGCAATCCGATCCCATAAATACCATATGGATAACCAATACCACCAAAATGACCACCATGAGCAGCTTGTTGTTGTTGTTGTTGCTGTCCTGCGCCATATCCATATCCGTATCCACCGAGACCTACGATACCAATACATGATCCATAAACACAATAGAGTATAGTTTATATTAAATATAGAGAGCATAGAAATTAGCATAAGATATAACATCTGGAAAACTATATACCGTATGGATGTGCGAGAGCTGCTTGTTGTTGCTGTTGTTGTTGTTGTGCCCCAAGTCCTCCATATCCACCAATTCCTGTTTGTTGTTGTTGCTGCTGTTGTTGTTGGGCAGCTAATCCTGTACCATACAATCCAGCATTATACAAGCCATAGTGTCCCAGACCATAAATACCATATGGATATCCAATACCCCCAAAATGACCACCATGGGCAGCTTGTTGTTGTTGCTGCTGCTGCTGCTGTGCACCAAATCCCCCAATACCACCAATTCCTGCCTGTTGCTGTTGTTGTTGTTGTGCAGCCAGTCCAGCACCGTATCCGTGACCATAAATTCCGAGACCTAAGTTATAATTACAAAAGCATATATAAAATTCATATATAATATAAAGAAGATTAAGATAAAGTATCACAAATATTAAAAACCATAAATACCGTATCTGTGGGCCAGAGATGCTTGTTGTTGCTGTTGTTGCTGTTGAGCGCCAATTCCTCCAAAACCACCACTTCCTGCCTGTTGTTGTTGCTGTTGTTGTAAAGCGCCGGCGAAACCATCTAAGCCTCCATGTCCAGCGTGTTGCTGCTGTTGTTGCTGCTGTAGGGCCCCACCGAACCCACCCAAACCTCCATTCTCTTGTTGCTGCTGTTGTTGACCACCAAAACCTCCATGTTCTGCTTGTTGTTGTTGTTGTTGACCACTGTGACCAAAACCAATAACATCAGTGGAAAATACATTTAACAAAAGTACTAAAATCAATTTTAAACCAATTTTAGGCAACATTTTGTATATTTTATTTAAAAAATTTTATAATAATATTTTATGGCTACTTTGTCCCAGAAGTTGACGACTAACTATGACTATGAAAAAGAAACGGTAGGTTTGATTCGCAAAACACAATACCATAAGGTTCTTCATATGTATTAAATTTCATTTTGTATTTTCGTAATGTTTAACGGATATGACCAACAAGTGATGTCGACAAATGTTTTAATTGATTTTTACGTTTTTTTAGTTAGCAATCTGACTAATGTATAAATTAATTAATTAATTTTTTTTATTATCTTAAATATATTTGACTATAATTATTGATGAATTCTCTATTATATAAAGATATTTTTAGATAATTTCTAACATTAAATTTAATTTTTATGTGTTAGTTGAGTAACTGTCAGTTAGGACTTAACTTGAGATTCTGTGAAGTTTCAAAATGTGAATGTAAAATAGTTATTACATTTACATAATATGGCATTACCAGATTCAAATTCAAAATTGATATTTATATACAAATATAATTTAACAATAATTTGAATTGTCTTTTTTGTTAATTATAAGAGAATTGGTTTATTTGACATTCTTACAAATACTCTATACTTATTAATACTAATTTTTTCAAAACAATTATTATTTTTTAATTATTTTTATTAGATTTTACATATTCGGCAATGTTATCATTTTTGCAAACATTTCATTGATGGAAGGATCTTATATACACATATTTATTGTCGAATTTTTAATTTATTAAAGATATTTTAATAACTATTAATTAATTAATTAAATTTATTTATAACAGTTATTGGTTATGTAACCTTAACATCTTACTTTTTGTTTAAACCTATATTTAAGTATAAAATTTAATTTCTTTTTAACAATTTTAAGTATTTTAGTCTAAGTTAAATGTTAGTTTAATTTGATTATTGTATTGTAGCTTAATTAAAAATTATTAGTGTTTTTTAAATATTAAAATATAATTATATTATATTTTAAGTTAATTTTTTGGGAGCTACATTTTTAAATAAAACTATTAAAAATTAACCTTGATCTTTAGCGCAAAAAAATTGCTAATAGATAATTATTATATTATACAAGTCAAAATTTGAATATTAAGTTGATTTTAATGTGGGACACAGTTTTATGACTACTAAACTACAATATTTGTATTAATAAATTAAATTAAAAAAAATTTAAAGTTAACATTTTAAAATATTTATTTGATTCGTCAATAGATATTTAAAACTAATTTACATTTATTTATAATTTTTTAAATATGATTTTTCCCTTTATAAATATATCTATATATTTTAAGTGTTCCACATATTTGACTATACAGTACTATACTATATGATAGTATAAAACTATTATTTTAAATCACATAACTAGTTATAACTTGATTTAACAGTACAGTACTTTATATTTTATTTATTTATTATATTATATAACTTAAACATTATTAAGTAATGAAAGGGATAATTTAAAAATTTAGATTTTACTAATTAATGATTTATTAAACTAATAATAATATTTTAAATAATTAATTACACTATCTTAATTTATGAGTTTTATTTTTAATTTAAAAAAATATGTTAAACTGTTTTATATTTTACCTTATTAGATTTTCCTATAACCCAAAAAGGTTTTTTAATTATTTTTAATTATTAAATTATTGATATTATAACAATTATTATTAGCTAGCTAGTATCTAATAAAATATACAATATTAATAGAGTTAAAGTATTATAAAAATTTAATTAAATCGGATACAATATAATTCTAAAATTTACCAAAAAAATATAGAAAAATAAAAAAAGGTTTTAATTTTAAACAACTTTCTATATATTTTTAATTTTATTAGTAAAAAACAAAAAAAAAACATATAATGAATCAAATTTGATAGATATTTGTTTCTTTATATTATAATTAATTTTTTGAACTCATTTTTTTCTATCTAAAAACTTGTTTATTTGAAAATAATTTACTTTTCTTAATAAATATTTATCATATTAAAGAAAATTTGTTTACAAAAAAGTTTCTAAAGTAAAATTTTTAAATTTTATTTAACTCAATATTTGATAATTATTACTGCATTTTTAAAAATAAATTTTATTTATCGATACTAAATTAATTAATTAGTAAAGTTATAATATATGTAATTTAACTTTTATTATATTATATAGTTAATGTTTTTTTATTTATATAATTTAAAATTTATAAAAATATAAATACTAACTAAATTAAAACTAACTAACATTATGAAAATTTATATTATATAATTTTATATAACAAATATTATAATAAAGTAATATTTAAAAATATATGTTATGTTATATTATTGAAAACTACAATTCATGTGATTCACTGATGGGTTCACACCCTCTGTAGCCTTATTTCAACAAAACAACAGTTATAGTCAATAAACTTTATCTAGATTTTCACAAAACAAAATATAATATATTTTTTTGTATTATTAAGATTAATATTATTAAAAATTTAATATAATAAAAACTAATGTGTTATAGTTTGACAAACAATTTAAACTAAAAAAAAATCAGATTGATTGTGAATGTGATTTATCATATGTGTGCCATCATTTTTAATACCCCTTTTGCCTTAATTTTACCAACAATGGCATCCCTGTGCTCCTCACAAACATGTAGAGAGAGAGAGAGAGAGAGAGAAAGTAAATTAAATTGAATTAATTATATTATTGAATATTAAGTTAAAGTTAATATAAAATTAAAACAGAATAACACCCAAAGCTATGTTCAACAAAAAAGATGTAATGACCGACTTTGACCTCATAAGCCAATGGGAGAGTTAGTCAGAGAGAGAGAGAGAGAGAGAGAGAGAGAGAGAGCACCAGTAGCTTATCAGACCAACTTTGGGCTGTTTATATACAGTTATATATTTTGATAACTAGGTTTCAAACTTTCTCTCTCTCTCTCTCTCTCTCTCTCCAAAATATAAGAATTATATAACAAAATAAAACTTACTTTTTACAGGAAATTATGTAAAATAAATTAGTTTAGTAAGAAAAAAACAAGTATTGATATGACTATTCGCATTATACACACATCAAAACAGTACACCTCCATAAGCTCCCATAAGATTGGCCATTGAGTTGTCCGATCAGTCAGTGATTACATTTTCGGAGTTTGCCATTTCATTAAGTAGTTTTCAACATATATTTGTGTCGCATAGTTAGGTCATCCCAAAAAAGTGAAGATAGAAAAACGCCATTTCCATTATAAACAGTGTTTTATTTAGTTTAATTGTCACAACAATACTAATAAGTGATATTATTATTTTTTTATTGATAAGTGAATCATCTATTAAACAAAAATTTACTTTAAGACCTTTAAACTTTAAATAGACTTTTTAAAAATAGTGCACAAAATAAATGTTTTGTATAAATGTTGTAAATTAATTATATATTTGGTAAGATTTCAAGATTACATATTCAAGTAATTAAACTTATATTTGTAATAATTAAATTTTGTATTATATTAATTAATTAATTAATAAAAGTTCGTCAACGTTAACAAATCATGATAAACATATCGGAAACGTTAGCCACACTGGCCAACAGTTCACCACTGGCCAAAACATCAGTAGAGCACTTGCACACGTGTGGCCAGAGATTATTAGATGGTGGTATTGAACAATTGGGCTGGATGTTTTATCTAATATCACCAAACAAATCATTATTTAATACACCACACGAAGTGCCCAATTATGAAGTTCAGGTAAAAATATTTAGTAATTTTAATTTAATTCATCTAAAAAAATATATGAAAATTTTTGCTTAAAAAATCTGCACACATATTAATATGCCCTCCTGTAATAAAATCATCTTGCTAAGTTTGTCTCTTATCGTCTGGGTAAAATTGTTGGTAAATTTGTGCTTGTTAGTTATCATCCAATATTTTATCTAGGTTGTTTAGGTTATAAATCTAATTATAACAAAATTTATTAGTTATTTTTCTTAATGCTCTTATGTTTGTTTGTTTAATAATATATATATCGATATTTGTTTATAATTATCAATAATTATTGTAGATTTCATTAAATCTTAGATTTTAACAATAAATGTTTTAAATAACTTTATTAATTTTATTCTATTTAATTAATTTGTTTAATAATAATTTTAAATATTTAAAACACAATAATATTTAAATATAAAAAGTCTTTATAATTAAGCATATTTAAAAAAACATTTATAAAAAATTAATCTTAAAACATAACTTTTTTATTTTTAATCTGTATGTAAGATATTATTCTTTATACAAATTTAAACTTTTTTTTTAGTTGAAATAAATTAAGACTGATTTTAATAATAATTATTTTATTGTAATTAATAATAATTAATTTTAATCTCACTTTTTCGGTTTACATCCGACAACAACAACACTAAAAAAACAAAAAGATTTTTCCAATATTTACTCTATTTATGGTTATCGAGCAAATCATACGGTTTTTTCAACGCAAACGTGCGTCAAGAGTGACGGATATACTCATCAATTTAGGCGCCGGACTCTTGTTTGTCGTCGCGAGGTTTGTTGACAAAAAAAATCCTAATTTATATAATTGCTATTATTTTATTTAAAAATTATTTTTAATCATAAAATATAGAGTTTTACTATTGGGCACTGTTTTGAGTATATTTTACTTTTTATACGACAACTATCGTATCGTTGATCTGCCGCCGACCTGTATATCGACGTGGTTTTTGTCACTATTGCTCATTGAGTTTGTCTATTATTGGGTTCATCGATCACTACACGAGATCAACATATTCTGGGCCAGTCATCAGTTTCATCACAACGCCGTAGACATAGATGTGTCCACCACATTGAGGGACACCCTAATAGATCTCGTTATTTATGAAGTAATATAAAAAAACTTAATTAATAATTAAAATTAATCGTTTGTTTTCCATTTATATAGTTTTTTCCAATACCGTTAGCCCTAATTATACCGCCACCCATACTACTGGTACACATGCAGTTTTCACTCATCTATCAGGTATGGCTTCACACAGAGATAGTCAGCCATTTGGGACCACTTGAGTACATCATTAATACTCCTCGTCAGCACCGGGTTCATCACGGAAAGAACCCGTACTGTATTGATAAAAACTATGGGGCACTCATCATGATATGGGACCGTGTATTTGGCACCTATCAGGCCGAGGAAGAAAAAATAGCTTTTGGCACCACTGCTGAACCATATAAGACATTTGATTCAACAACTCTTCAGTTTTACTATTATTATGACAGTGTTTGGACCAAATTCAAGCAAATGCAAGGCTTCGGCAATAAAATGAAGGCATTATTTTATGGTCCGGGATGGGCACCGGGTCAGTACTAATCTAATTACAATTACTAAAATACAACACAATAATGTAATAATAATAATAATAATAATATTTTTCATACATTAAGGCAAACCACGGTGTGGTTTACTATCAGACATACCTGATGTGGACCCCTTTGCCCCACTGGAGCGCTATGACCCTCCCATAGCTACGTGGAAATTATTATATTGTATGGTTCACGGCTTTTTGGTGGCATTAGGTTTCTATGTAGTCACTGATCACCCGTTGATCCGGTACTCGCATATCAATTTAATGATACTCTTTATCTATATTATACTAACATTGACCGCTTTTGGTACAATATTTGATGGAAGGTTAGATTAATTTATTAAACCAAAAATAATAGATACCAAAGCTAACCAATAATTTTTTTATTGATAAGACCAATGGCTCCAATTGTCGAAACGGGTCGTTGTATACTATTTTTCCTGTTCGACACATACATTGTCAGCTCATGGATGGATAGTTCGCTTTCACCACAATTTCGCGGACTCACTGAATCTGTGTTCATAATTATCCGAATTTTACACTTCATGTCTATTGTTCTCTGGCTAATGGTTTGGCTGAACAGTACAAACAAACGATGCAAAGAAACCCACGACAAGATGTCACTCATGAAAGAAGACAAGTATATCGATAGCTATACGTTGGAGAAGAATAGTCCGACACAGAGAGGTCTTGTCATCCGTCGTATGGTTTTCCTTAGCGCAGGATTTTTCTCTTTCTTTGCGATGTTTTTTGTATTTTCTCTTCGTTATGATGAGTGCACACACTTTCTAACCCTAAATAAAGTCGATTTATAAATATTAATGAAAAATAAGAAAAAAAATGTTCACAATATTATCGGTGAAAAAGATTTCCAATTATTTCTTTATAAAAAAAATCCAAGAAATTACTAATTTGTTTAATAAATTGAATTATTTTACATTATATATACACACAGTATAATGAAATTGTTTTATAAATAATTCATTAATATTTTGTTTTGTTTTGTTATATACTATTCATATTCATTGACCTTTTGTTTTATAATTTTTATAATTTTTCATTTGCTAAGTATTTTTTAAAAATATATTGTTTATTAATTATATTAGAGTTTATTATTAAATGGATAAATACTTTATTTTACGATTGTTATATTTTTAAAAATATTTTTTTTATATCAGTGATAATATTATTTGGATATAAGATTTCTATTAACATTTTTATAATAATAATTTTATTATTATTAATTAATTTAAATGCTAAAAAATTTAAAAATAAAGAAATTACTAATATTTCAACTAAATTTAATATAAATAAAATAAAAAATTTATAAATTATAAATAATATAATATTTTATTATTATATAGACTATGTATTTATTATTGGAGTAATTTGTAGTTATTTTGTACACACATTATAATTTAAGTAAAAAACTTAGTTTAGTTGAAAACACTAACAAGTATTGTAAGTATTGTTAGTTTATATAAATTTAATACATTATAATTTTATTTAAAAAAAACATTTTATTGAGTCATTGATATAAAGTAATACGAGAGGAATAATGCGTGCAAATTGTTTATATAAATTGAATTTGTATTTTTTAATATTGAAATTTTTAAATATGATAAACAAAATTAAAATAATAACTATTACAGAACTGCCCATATTTTATTTAATTTTGTTTATCATATAATTGTTTAGTTTAAAAAAATTCAATATTAAAAAAATACAAATCATATAAACAATTTGCATACATTATTCCTCTCGTATTGCTTGATATCAATCTCTCAATAAATTGTTTTTAATTAAATTATAATGTATTATATGAATTTACAATATGTAAATTGTTGATTTTTCTATTATATTTTTTTAATTAATTTTTATTAAATTGCTTAAATTATTAAACCAGCAAATAATATACTTATTTTAATGATCAATCAAATCTATATAAAAATAAAACTATACAATTATAAAGTTTTTAATCATTAAATTTCAATGACACCCCAAACCATATGTTTACTTATAGACATTTATCAGACAATAATAGTCATTATTAATCTAAAATTTCAATGAGAAAATATTTCATAGTTTTGTTATACAGTAAGATTGAAAACATTTTATTTTGAATATTTAGTAATTTACTAAATATTGTTTTATATTTAATATCTACCGAAAAAAAATTCAATTTGAAAGTAAGTAAAATTATTAATATAATATAAAATTTTTAATTTTTATTAATAGTTTATTTTATATTTAAAAACAAAATATAATTTTTTATTACTTAGTATGAAAAAAATAATCGTTAAAGATTTATTTCTACATTGTATATACAGTATATACAATAAACTATTTGTATAAGATATTATGTTTACTTGTAATTAAATAATTAAATATATTTATATTTAATAGAATTATAGTATATATTTCTATTTTGTATAAAATATTAAAATTTTGAAAGAAATTTATTAATCTAGAATCAAAAAAAAAAATAATTTTGTTGTTAAAACACACAATCGTTTTTTACTGATTATTAATTTGTTAAACTTTTCATTTAATAATAAGTTAGTTTATTAAAGGTTAAAAAACTAATTGTAAATATTAACAAATATCAACATTACATTACATTTTTAAATTATAAAAAAATTGTCATTAACATTTGCATTGAACTTCTAATTAATAAATACAATATTTATTGTTAATGATTATAATTAAGTTCATAGACATTATTAAATATCACAGATAATGAATAATAATTTTGTATTTTAGCATTTTTTTTGAGGCAATAATTAAACTTGTGTTTATTTGTAAATGTATATCTAATATGTATGTAGAAATGTATGTATATATGTATGTATGTGTTTGTGTCTGTATTTTTAAAAACCATTGAAATTGAAAGTAAAAAAAATCTTAATTTGCTTTGGGCTGACCTCAAACCTAACAATATTAGGTCACCGGCATTCACGTAGCCTACATGTGCCTTATAAGTGGATATGCATGAAAGTGTATATAACTTTTATTATCTTTATTAATATACAAAAAAAATATGTATAGCTATTGTTACACTAACTGTAATATACAGTATTTAAAAAACTTTTATTTTTTTTACTTAATATTACAAAAACCATAAGGAAAAATGTGAATATTTATTGTTGTGATTTAGATTTAGATTAATATATATATATTAGTTTTTTATATGGTTATCAATCCTAAATTGAATATCATTTTGAAAATAAAATTTAACTTGATAATTTAATTTTATTTAAAAATAACTAAATAGTTAGCATGTAACTTTTTTTCTATAGATATAATTAATTATTGATAACATTCAAACATATATTAATAAACAACATTTTGAGCGTAATTTGTGTTCAAAAATAGTATGATTTTTGTCTCTACCCGTACTGTACTGTATGTGTCATACAAAGTGTTATCAAATATTTAACAACAAATTAATAGTATTAATAGTACTCTATATATGATATAATACTGTATAGAAAAATCCGGCAAAAAATATCCATTGATTTTACTGTACATACAGTTTATGGTATTATTATTATTATTATTATTATTATTATTATTATTATTACTATTACTATAGTATTGTTATTATGATTATTATATTATTATTTCATTTTTAAATACATTGTGTATCATATGTTTTGTCAGTTTTTTGTTGTTGTTTTTTGTTGTCAGATAAAAAACATTATTATCATTATTAGTAGTAATAATAATTAATTGTCAAATGATTTTTTTGTATTTCATTTATTAATAACAAAATTTGTGTCCAAAACTGTTTTGAATGACAATATGATTAAAATTAATTAATATCTTATAATAATATTAATTATTGACTCCTATTATTGGTATGTGTTTTGATGGTGTGTTTGATGTAATTAATAATAATAATAACAAACATATAAATAAATAATAATTTTTAATAATTAAAACATATTTATTGAGAGAGAAAAAACAAAATATTAATTTAGACAATAAAGTGTATTATAATTTGTTATATTAAACGTTTGATACAATTATATGATAATACAATACATAAGCAAATGTATTGATGGCAACCCATCGTAATTGAAATATTAATATTATAATTACATATATATTTGCGTAATCCATATAATAACATATATAAAGTAAATATCATATATTATATTATATGATTCATTTATTTTGAAATTATAATTAAATAATAATAATATTAACAATTTATTATTTTATAATTTTTTTTGTTATCAATATTTTTTAGTATATACAGTATAGTACATAAATATATTATTATTATTATATTAATAATACTATATGATAATTTGTTTTATTAAAATAATTAATATATAAAAAAAACATAATATACAGTATCTTATATATATATACTCATCTCTAAAATTATTAATAATAATATGTTTAAATTAATTTATTAATATTTAATTTTTCAATTATAATATGTTATTATAAGTATTATGTTATCTCATTTGATAAATTAAATCATATACTGTAAACTAACAGTGTATATAATATTGAATTATTTTTGTTTTAAATTATGTGTTGCAATAATTAATTTACAACAAAAAATAAATTTTTAATTACGTTCATAACAGTAGTAGTAATAATATTTTGAAGTATAAAATAATAATATAAATATTTTTTAAAAAATTTGTGAACATAAATACCAAATTGAAATTAAATTAGAAATTTAGCAAAAAAATCGATTTGAAAACTTAAATAATTTATTAATTTTGATATTTGATATCATTTAAAAATAATTTAATATTATATAATATTAATAAATTTGTGGTTTTTTTTAATTGTAAGCCTATACCTAAAAGGGTTGATTAGTTATGTTGTGGACATACAGTCAGGCGGACGTCCAGAAGATGCTATTCAACGTATGGTCATACCTACGGGTGGTGACAATCATCATCCATAACCTATACGTCATACCCATCTACCTGTTCATAAATTGGACACTACTGGTTCCTCTCTATTATCTCAATATTCACAAGTATATGATTGTTGAGAACTATCTCTACAATTGGTGTCTATATGTTGTCAGCTCCTGGAGCTATGGCGCTGGTCTAGCCATACATGAGTTTGGCGATGACTTGTATCGTCTTAAAGGTAATTATCATAATAATAATGATTAGAAATTTCCATTTTATGTGGTTATCTATTTTAATAACTAATAATTTTTAAAAATATTTAATTATTGTAAATATCTAATGTTTTTAATTTTATGTCAGATTTTTAAAATATATTTTTTGTTTCATTTTCATTAATTGAAAAGTGTTAACTTTGTTAATAGTATTAAAATATACCTGTGTGTAAATATTAAAATAACGGTATATATATATATATATATATATAAATATTATATATATATATATATAAAATCACATTGTTATTGAGGGAAAGTCCTTCATAAAGTTTTTTAATTATTAATTCTGATTGTTTCAACAATATTTGTTTTAAGTACTGGATTTTACGTTGAAATATATTTTTTTTGAGTAATTATTTTGATGAGTTTTAACATCAATTACTAGTTTAACGAGTTTCTAAATAATAATGAAAAATTAAGCCATTCAATTATTTAAACTATCTAATCGTAAAAAGTAATTAATAATACAATTATTAAATTCTCTATAAATTTGCTTAAATATACTGTATTATCCTTTTTATGTATAATTTTGATGATATAAATATTACAAAACTATTGATTCGTTAAATGATTATTTAAAATGAATATATAATAATATACAGTGTTATTAGTATTAATTTGCTTTATGATTAATAACATATATCATATTTGTATATATAAATCATTATATAATATAATAGTAGGTTTCGATCAAATTTATTCCATCGTTTTAATACCAAAAGTTCCTAAAGTTCCCTTGAAATTCCTAAATAATTTTCTTTTGCTACACACCTATTGTACCCTAAACAACATATTTTATTATGATATACGAAAAACAAATATTATATTTAACTGTATTTTAAGTGATATTGATAAATAGTATGACTAAATTTATTGAATTGAAATTTATTTTTAAATATTTAATATTTTTTTGCAAAATATTTAAGTTTTGATACTATTTATATTAAATATATATATATTTCCTTTCTAACGATTAAGGGATGGAAAATAAAATATTTTCCCGACAATTTGGAGGGATTTTATTATGGAACTTCCCTCCCTGGAAAAGTTGCTCGAACTCTAAATATAATTAAACTATAACTTTAGACTATAAATAATCCCTTATGTATGCGTTATATTATTTCTAAAATAAAAATTAATTATAATAAATGCTATTTTTTTAGCAAAAATACAGTTACATTTTTTGACAAATATAGTATACTGTAGATAATATTAATAGTATTGATTGATAAATAAATCTCAAGGATTTTATTGCATTATTTTTCTTTTTGTAAACATATGTTTGTAGAAAGAAAATGTATTGAAATAAAATGTTAAATAAACTGAAAATGTTTTTTCTAATATAATGTAAAAACCAAATGATGTATCAGTCTATTGATTTGTTGTTGTTTTTTGATAACATAATTGTTATATATTTTATTTTTACATTGTGTTTTATCAGATAGTATTTCAAATCGGATGGAAATAAAAAACTTTTATTATTGTATATCTATTATTGTCTTCCGATTTGTTTTTTTTTTAGTTTTATCATTTGATTTGTTGACTGTATTAATAACTTTCAATAATAATGTCAATATATATAATGTATTTGTTTTTTTAAACGATAGTCAACTACTATCTGTCATTAAAAGCCCGAGATTTTTGTTTGAAATTATATTTTGTAAGCATTTCTTTATACATTATTTATCAAAAGTTAAGTTTATAAATACATATTTTAGATAATTATTAATTCACATAGATTTTTGTTTTTGTTAGTAAAATCGTATGATTTGTGGACTTTTGAATTTATAAGTAATAATAATAATAATAATAGATAAATAAAATAAATTATTTTTAGTTACTTTGTTTTRTAATTTATTATGAATAAATATTATTACAGTACTGTATGTTACAGTATTTGCACTTTACTTATACAGTAAAATTGAACATTAATTGCAAATTGTTTTCACATTATTTACATAATGTTATGTTTTATCCAATAATTTTATTGTTTATTTTCATTTTACTAATAAAGTAGTAGTCATTATTAGAGACACCAAATTATGTGTAGCGGTTATATACAGTAAAGATTTTCAAATAAGACTCTCTGACGTAATAAAAAGTAATACTAGTAAAAAATTCATACAAATACAACATTACATATATTTATAATAATTGTAGTCCTCATAGTATAGATATAAAATTGTATTACATGTTGTCATTTATTGTACTAATAGTATGACAATCATTTGATTTATTATAGGTCTTTACGGTTTAAGTGTGTGCATAGCATTAATAGTGTATTCTTATTAGGTCACTCTTAGACAACGTTATCATATTTATTGTTAAATAGAAATAAATATGATAACGTTGTCTAAGAGTGACCTAATAAAAATACACTATTATAGATACAAAAATTAGATGCACATATCACATGATACAAATCAACTTTTTTGCACTACTCCTAAACTACGTTATCATATATACTGTTTAAACTAAGAGCGCATTTTTCAAACAATAATTTCAGTTTAAATTATTTTATAATATATTTGTTTTATTATATTTGTTTATATATATTGTATTTTATATATTAATACTGAAAATACATTAAAATAATTAAAACTTATTGTAATTATTATTTAAAATGAAATTATTGTTTGAAAAATGCGCTCTTAGTTTAAACAGTATATATGATAACGTAGTTTAGGAGTAGTGCAAAAAAGTTGATTTGTATCATGTGATATGTGCATCTAATTTTTGTATCTATAATATTAATGCTATGCACACACTTAAACCGTAAAGACCTATAATGAATCAAATGATTGTCATACTATTAGTACAATAAATGACAACATGTAATACAATTTTATATCTATATATTTATATCTCGATATATATGAATGTACGATACATAACATGATTACATGACGTAATAATCGAGAGTCGTTATTCAACCACAGGACTGTATATATACATATATATTTCAAAAAATAAACACATTTAACTACATTTTTTATTATTAATAAAAATTATACATTTATTTCGAAATTAATAAATTAAAAGTATATAAAACATTAATTTTATACAAAAATTATTAATTTTTCAAATATTTACAAAAATGTCATACTGTGTGATAACAGTGACCTGAGATTAATTCAAAGATATTATTAAAATTGAAATGAATTTATATAATGTAACATAAATTTATATATACTTTTTAAGGTATTAATATTATAAATTATATTTGAGACATTTATTATGATATAATATATTAAAATTGTTTTAAGACAAACAATGAGTGTCTTAAAATTAATTATTAAAAATATGTAAAAAATTAATTATCATTTTTAAAAATATGTAACACTTATTTTAATGTCTATAGTAATTATATGATTATTTTATTTTATTTTTTGATAACTGAACTAACTAATAACGTTTTTGAATTAATTACTACAGTATAATAAATTAGCAAATTTATAGTAATTACATTAATTGAATTATAAAAATAATTGATAAAAGAAATATAAAAATAACATTTTTTATATATTATTTCAAATTGATTTAATTTATTGATTCAATAATAGAAATTATTGGCTTATTAAAGCATGAAAAAATTTTTAATATAAAAGTGATAATATTCAATATAATATTTACTAAAAACTTGCAAAATATTTATTTAAATATATATTTATAATTCAGAAAACATGTATTTTTCACAAAATCTCAAAAATACTATAACTATATTTTTGTCAAATATAACAATCAATATAACAAATTTAGTAATTATTTTTACATATTTTTGTAAATGATTTATTTTTAGATAAAATGCTAAATATTTAATTAAATATTTTTCATACTTTACTGTATTATTGATTAATAACATTAATATTATTATTATATATGATTATCGATAACCAGAGGAAAAGTCACGTTTACTGGTGATCGCCAACCATCAGTCAACGGCCGACGTGCCGCTAATAATGCAATCATTCACATCCCGGAGCCAACGGATACTGTTATGGATAATGGATGTGGCATTCAAATGGACCAACTTTGGTGTCGTTTCCATAACCCATGGCGACTATTTTCTGAACACAAAAAGCTATCAAACGGGAGACATATACCGACACACAATCACTAAATACAGTCAATTCAAAGATCTCATTATCTTATTTCCAGAAGGTATTACCCAAATATCTACCAGTATTTGAGTTTCTAAATGAAAACAATTACTATTTTTCAGGTGGTTTTCGTTATAAGCGTTTGAATTCATCGAACAAATACGCGGAAAAACATAATTATCCGCTACTATCGCACGTCACATATCCCCGATTTGGCGCCTATAGCGAGCTCATGGAGTCAGATGTTGGTGTCACTCATGTAGTTGATCTAACCATAGGCTACGAAGATCTACAAAATCCGCAGACAATACTTGATATCGCACGCGGACACAAAAAATCTTACGTTTTATTTAATTATCGTATATTTGACATCCGAAAGAATCCGGAGATCCGTACGGAACAGTGGCTCAATCAGATTTGGCGGGAAAAAGAGGAACTCCTTTTTAAATACTATACCGACAAACAGTCTGTGTTACAAACATTACAAAAATTCAATATTGTAACTCTGAGTTGGATCAAAATAATAGCCATTCACGGGTTTTATCTATCATTTTGGTTGGCTTTCTATGTATTATACAAAGCAACCAAATATTATATGTTTTGATTAATATTTTGTGAAACCAAACTTAAACCAAATCTATTCTCTCATTTAATATTCCTGTAATTGATTTAGTGATTACACTGTAGGTATTTATCCCCTAATTGTACTTATTTTTGTTTAATTGATGTATTGTTTAATATTTATTAAGGTTTAAAACCGAAAAATTATTTATAACAATACATTAATTACATTTTAAAAATTAAGTTACAGATAAATATTGAGACTATTAGTGACAGTCCTTGATATAAAGTTTAAAACGTTTTGACTAAATTACATCTAATGTTATATTATCACTGATTTATGAGTTTATATTGAGTTTTTGATTTATTTAATTTATATAATATTTTTATTTGTACGACACATGTTTGCTATACATTACATTGACTAATTTTTTATAAATTTTTTTAATTATATTTTTAAGAATATAATAGACCACTATTGAATGTTTTATTAATAAATTTATTTAATGAATTTAATTTATATTAAACATGAGATTAATTTGTTTTTTGGTTTAATTAACATTCAAAAGTTGTCTAAATCAATAGTTTTTATATATATACTGTATGTTATATAATTTATCTCATTTATTGTCAATTAATTGAGCAGTGATCAATAAAATTTGTGTTAAATATATATAATTTATATCTTAAAACTATATGCATATAAAAATTTACTAATAGTACACATATTTTACTCATCATTGCAGATAATGTATTTGTCTATTAAATTGTACTCAATTTTAACTATAATGTAAAGTTATGTACATATATATTATATATACCGGTATTTAATATACAGTATATCAATATTTTTTTTGTGACAGTATGTGACAATTTAAACAAATTACAAATATTTTTGTGATCTAAATATTTAATATTTATATTTAGTTTGATATTTATAATAACAAACAAATTAGAGAACTATTTTGTCAATACATTATATTTTAGATATTTTGTTAATTAAAGTCATTTATAATTTTGTTGTAATATTCGCGTATAATATTAATTTTGTTGTAATAGTAATAATAATAACAATAATTTCAATGAATTACATAAGTATAATAATAAAAATAAAAATATTCATTATTTATACATATATTGAAACATAATTTTTAAAATCAAGAATATTATGACACAATCTGTTATTCAATTTCAGTGACTCCTCATGAATCTGATGACCAGTATATTGATKCCCAGTAATGCAACGCCAATAGCTATGCCGACCACCATAAATAACATTTGACCCAAAACAACATTTTTATTGGCCTCACTATTGTCATCATCAATACCGCATAGTTTATTAAAATCCTCGTAAAACCATTTGGTATTTTGTGATTCAAAAGTTTCAAACGGTTTTCCCAAATTCAGTTTATATGGTATACGGTTAAGTGTGTCGTTAAAATAGTAAATGTCGACAAAGTATTTGTCGGCTACCTGTGCACTGTTAGGTCGCTCATGTAATTCAAATATAATGGATGCACCGTAGGCCGGTATCATATTGTTATATAGATTTAGTAATTGTAAGAGAGGTACGACTATCGTGTCGTGAGTTGAATACACATACAATTTAAATGGTTTTTTAACACTACTCTCGTTATGTTTGCTATCGATTACGAGTTTCATGTTATTGATGAGCGTCTGAATGAGATTTCCGATCCTAATTCTCAATATAAACTCCCGGTTCCAATCATAGACATAACTTCCTACTGAAAACACACGCAACACATCCAGAACCTGCGTTTGATTATATGGCGCATCAGTTGTGGTAAAGTTAGGCCAAATGCGATCCCTTTCCCATTCAATATTGAGTGTATCGTAAAATTGTTGTCCTCTATAGAGACTTGTTATCGATTCGTTGAACAATATCTTCAGATACTGACTGATTGTATTTGAGTTGTAATCCGTAAATATTTTCATCACATCCTCGGAATCGCTGATAATTTGATGTTCTTTTGTCGCCTTCGGACACTTCTTATGAGGAACAAGTAGTGTGTCGTCATCTTTGGGCATAAATGTCTCGATAGGAAACGGTAGCCACATTTTGGCCAATACTGGATTACCCGTTTGAGCCCAGTTCCATATGCCACGGGTTTCTGGATAGAGACCGGCCAACAAACACTGTACACTTTCGATACACCTGTGCTCTATCGAACTCCGGGCATACACTTCGCGGGGTGAATAGTCGTCACCCAAATACAGGTCATACCATTGCCGTAAATATTCGCCAATTTTATACATCCGATATTTGCCTGCATTGGTCAACGCACCGTAACCTTCGGGCCAGTACTTTGAGTCCCGAAACGGGTCAGTAGTGGGAAACGAGTCCTTAAGTGCTGTCCGTTCTCCATGTCTGTGCACTATCTGTACAAGTCTTAGTGTTTCTATATTGTGATCAATCCAATCGGGAACTGTCTGAGCTTGTAATAGACCGGCCGTCAAAACTATTGTAGCAATTGTTGTCATCACAATCATAATGAATGATAATATTGTGTAAATTTTTTGATAACAACTTTGCAATCAATTTCAAATTATTTTAAATACTAAGTATTTTTGTGTCAACAATTTTTTATAGTTAAAAACATAATTATAAAATATTAACTTAAATTAACTAAAAATACTTTTATAATATTTTTTATTATACATTTTATTTAAGTATATTTTGAGTTGTACAGTATATAAAAAATTTATTGACACACAAAAAAATAAATAAATTCAATATTAACGCACATTAGTTATCTAATCATTGTAAGTGCCATCAATTTAAGTGATTATTATAATAATTATTATTATTACAAGTAATCTCAAAATTGCTATACATTAGTATTATTAGTATAGGCAACATATAAATTTATTATTTAATTGCATTCAAATTTAGTTCATTAACTAAACACATGTTTTAAAACATAAATACGATAAACTTTACAACACAATAATAAACTTTTAAAAATTTTTATAAAATTACTTAATAGTAGGTTATATTTTGATAGATTGATATACTGTGAAATATTTTTAAAATTTAATTAATTAGTAACACTATTTTGACAATCATTAAGTATTGACAAAAAATAGTTTTTTGTTAACTCTATAATAATTATAGTTGATTTCCTGTATGTTATCCAATATTTATTGATCAAATAGTTATATATTTTTAAAAATGTTGTAACATTTCTAAAATATTTTGTGAACATTAATATTATTTTGTAATATCTATTTTATATTCACTATTTATATCTAAATAATTGCTTAACATTTGTGATGCATGACTAAAATTTTATAATGATAATATGATTAGCATTTAATTTTGATATAATATCTAATATATTTTTTGTTATTTTATTTTAATTCATTTATAATTAAAAAAATAACCTTCTTAACAATGTTAAATAAATTTTATGCTTATTTCTATTATGTAAATGTATATAATAACAATATTACTCAAAGATAAAGATATAATAAAAACAAACTAAATTTATAAATATTAGTTTTTATAATTGTATAAATAAATGAGTAAATTTATGTAATATTTAAAAATAAAATGTATTTATAACTTATAAGATTATATACAAATATATATATATATATAAAGTATATCTGTATAATATTAATAGATATTATATGCAATTCTTTTTTGTTTTATTTGAATTCAATTTAACTTATTATTATTAACACAATTTCGGAATCTAATTGAAGGTTGTTTGTTATACAGTATATATTTATTACTAATTAATATATATTGTATATTAGTATTGCATTTGATTGACATTATAATGTAATTATAAATTATAATTATAAATCAAATATAACGTTATGTGAGTTTATATACTGACTAACAAATGTATCATTAAATAAACTAAACTAAAGAAAAATCTACAAATAATTCATTAATTTCTGATAAATAAATCTTTAATAAAATATTTTATAAAACACAATAATTGCTTTTTAAAAAAATAGTTTTATTCATATACACAAAAATTTTATAAATTGTTAGATGACTATATAATTGAATATAAAATATTTTTAAAAATTATACAATATATATATACAATTTGTAAAAACTATTATTTAATAAAATAAAGTTTGTCGTCGTAGATATACTTTTCGTGATTCACAAAATTTTTGCACTCTTTCTTAAAATTTTCATAAATCAAATGTTTGGTTGACTCGAGAAACTCTGTTAGCGGACAATCATATTTGTTGCCACAATTACCCAACTGGACCGGTGTTGGCGACTCGGCAAACGTGTCCCGCAAATAATAGATACGAATAAAATACTGGTCGTCGACAAGATTAGAGTTGTGATGCAATTCAAATAGTAGTGTTGACCCGAAAAGTGGTAAATCATTGTCAAAGATGCTCAATGCGTGCATAAGTGTGGCCAACATTGAGTCGTGTGTCGAATATATGTAGACTTTCTTATCGTTGGTTTCTTTCAATACTGATTTAAAGTTTTTCTTTAACTCTTTAACCAAACCGCCGGCTCTCAAACGTTTAATTATAGTACTGTTCCAATCGATTCTGTAATTAAAATAATAATAATTATTATTATTATAGTTATAATATTAATAGTTAAGCTAAATGTATAGCAGACACACACACACACACACACCTGTATGCCATTCGATGAATGTCCAGCAATTGGTCAACAATTTGTTGCTGTTCCTCACGTGACCACACATGAGACCAGTAGTAGCCGTTAAGCATTTCAATTTGTAAGGCAGTGTGTAATTGACCGCACTTTTTGACCGAATCTATTGGATAGCCTACAATTTCGGACAGTTTAGCGAATAGTTGGGTACGATTTTTCAGATATTCTTGGATTTCAGGTGCTCTGTATGTCTTTTCGCGTTCCATGTAAACGATCGGACAGTGCTTTTCCTGACGCAAAACAATGTCGTCCTTCTTTGGCATAAAGGTTTCGATTGGTATGGGCTGCCAGTCCTGACCCAACTGTGCTTCGCTACCGTTATTCCACTGCCAGTCAGCGGTTCGCGGTGGGTAAGCACCCGCCAGTAATGTCGACACACTTTCTATGCATCGATGCGATAGAGAGCTGCGGGCGTAGACCTCTCGTGGCGAGTATGCGTCGCCTAAATATTCGCTGTACTCCCGGCGTATGAATTGGCCGACTCTATACATACGATACTTGCCTTTAGTGTTCAGATGGCCGATACCTTCCTTCCAGTATTTCGGGTCTTTATAGGGATCGTTAGGCGGAAAACTGATGGGCGCTCGATCTCCATGTCTGTGGACTATTTGCAAAAGTTTTAGAGTTGATATATCATGATTTGGCCAAATCGGTGATATTGTATAGCAATGATAAACATAAAACATTAATAATATAAGTGATATTTTTAAGCAACAGTTTTCCATTATATTATGAAGTGTTGTCTAACTAATTATAAAATAATTCACTAAAGTTTTAAATAATTTTTTTAAACAATTTATTTGGCCATTTATATCATAATTTAAAATATAAATAAATTTATATTTATATCTAAAATTATGAACTAATTTTTTTGCGACAATTATTTTCACCATTTGTTGGTTTCAAGGATTACATAACAACACATCGACAGTGTGTCGGTAATTGTCGTATTTTTTTATTAAATATACAAATATAAACTTATGATCTTTTTTATAGATAATATAAATTTATATTTATGTATATGGTATTTATATTTGTTTAGCCATTGAATTTGTTGTCAAATTTAATTTTATAAAAAAATTAAATTAATGTTTAACAACAAAATAATTGCAAACATTTTATTTGTTAAAAAATACTAGCCATACAACAACATCTAATATATCATACAATCTATAAATAGATAGGAAATCCTAAACATTAACTCTGGGATACATGTTATGTAAATATTACTCGAGGAAAGAGATATATTGATATATTATATATACTGTAGAGACATACCTGTTCTCAAAAAATAAAATAAATATAACCTTTAAAATAATTGGTAAATAACTCATATATAATACTGTATATCACAATAAACTTGTATATTAGTGCTAAATATAAAATATTTTAAATCAAATCAAATTTTGATTCAACATACAATTTTAATTAAAAGAAAATAATAATTGTCATAATATTTTTGAAATTTGTTTCTTAAGTGAATAATCTCATTATATCACAAAATTAAGTTTAAATTATAATCTAGCAATGAATTTGCATAATTACATTATAAAGTTTTATAATAAAATTATCAAATCAATACCTTAATATAATTTTAAACTTTACGTTTTTTATTTGAAATGTACAATTTTTATTAATTAACATTAAAACTTATAATTCATAATTATATTATAATTTATAAATATTAATTCAAATTTCTCCTAAATAGATGACTATCTCTTAGAGATTTTTATGCATTTTCATAGAATTTTGAGTATTATATTATTGAAAATTTTTAGATACTGTACTATGATATCAATATTTATTAATATAAATTAAATGTTATACTTTATATCACTAAAATATTAAGTTAACTATGCGTTTAATATTTATTGTATTTATAGCATAACAAATAAAAAATAATGTTCAATAATCAAAATTACAAATAACATAATGATTTACTCTATGATATTTAGAGTCAAACAAATATACAAAACTTAAAATTATCTGTTATAACATATAAACTAATATATATAAGATATAATATATATATATATATATATATATTGGCAAACTATTGTAATAAAATTAAACTTTTGTATTCATAAATTTGATTTTCAATTACTGCTAAATTCAATCACTTAAATGCAAATTTAATTATAGATTTAACAGATTCTAATGGAAATATAAATATAATAATTAATGTTAATTTTAAATAAATGTTTGTTATATATTTATGCAATACATTAGCAACTTATTATTATTATTAATAAAATCCCAATAATCAATAATTGTTGTAATGTACAAAATGTATGAAAATATATATTCAGTATAGTATATAATTTATATACCGAATACAAACTTTATATTATAAAGTAGATTAAAATTGTCTAAATACAGACAACTTGTATAATATTGATTAATATTGAATTGTGAGACTCTCTATAATATAGACTCTCTATTATAGAGTCTATATAATACTGTAATACTACACAAATATATATAAATATAAAGAATAATTTAATTAATCAATATATTAATATAATAATACTGTACTGTATGTCAAACTAAATAATATTGTATTTTATAGTACTGTATATAAAAAGACAATGTATTTGTGTATTATTTATTTATCACTTTATTCATTGTGTTGTTGTCCACACATTCATGTGATCTGTAGTCGGCTTTAATGATTGTACAGACAATTCAATTGGACTGTAAATTACTAAACAAAGATAATATATATAAATGATATCATTTTAATAAATTTAATAAATATTAATAATAATATAACTTATTTAATATGATTTTTTTATTCAAACTATTTTATAGAATTATCTGTAAGTTTCAGTGAAATATTTGCCAATTTAGAGATAAATTTGAAAATATTGTCACATTTTATAGATTTAATTAGACAATAGAGAGCACTGTTATGTTTATAGAGGGGAACGACATGTCTAAGCTATTGACTTACTGTATGTGAAACCAAATTCAAATAGTTATTATTAGACTGTATTTTATATCTCATATTACTGTTTGAAAAGTATATTATGTCTATTGATAACAGCCGTTGTTGTCGTTGTCATCGTTGGTGGTGTCAAATGATTTGGTGATACTATTGAATGATATGATTAATTGATGAACAAGTGATGGGTTTGAATTCATCGACCATCACTTCAACGAAACCAATGGTTAAACCTAAACGTATTAACACTAGAAGTGTGACAAACAAAGTTAAAAACAATGAAGACCTGTCTTCTTCAGCCAGCGATGCCATTAATGGTTGTGATCATCACAAGACTACTATTACTAGTAGTAGTAGTAATACTGATAACAAATCTTTGGTTATAAATGAAGAGTTAACTCATGAGTTAACTAATAGTCAAACGGATGACAACGACAATGAGCTGTCCAGCGGTGAACTGTCTGTTAGACAACAATACCCGAGAGGAGGAATCAAACGAAAAAGATTGAATTGGAAGAAAAAGTCGAAGAAGAATAAAGACATACAATATGACTGTCTGTTTTCCAATTGTAGCCTCAAGTTTGACAATTGCGAAGAACTACGAGAACACCGACTGATTCACGCAAAGGCTATTCTGGTCAACACTGATGATAATAACGAAGATGAAGACACTGGTGATAGTGTTAAACAATGACACCAATTATGATGATATAACTAACTGTCTGTCTATTACTATACATTGAATGACAATAATGTAATATTTACTCTAAATTGTCGGGTTTTGAATGTTTAAAATCAATTTAATATTATAATTATTAATACAATTAGTATTTTTTAACGTAATATGCATTTATTAATTGATTTTATAATTTACAATTTTTAACAAATTTTATTAATTAATTTTGTTATATTTTTTTATTTGATTAAAGTTTTAATTTTTGTTATTTATTTTTAATTGATTAAATTTATAATGTCATATACACCAACATTTTTAAGGTAATAATCATCAAATCATTATCACTTGTACTAATTCAATGATTTATTATATAATACAGTATATCATTTCATTTGTATCTATTGTATAAAAATATTTTCAATAAATTTATTATCATCTATATAATTATTTCTATTTTAACGTATATTTATGTATATACAGCTTAACGTTAGTTTGATTTAATATTAGTTAAATAAATTACATTATTTGTATTAATACTGTATAAGTTAAAAGTTATTAAAGTATTTGGCGCTTAATATTAATATTTGATTTTAGTTATCAATAAAACAAATAAAACATTGGCTATCAATGTGTGTGTTGTGTGTGTGTGTGTGTGTGTGTGTGTGTGAGAGAGAGAGAGAGAGAGAGAGAGAGAGAGAGAGAGAGAGAGAGAGAGAGAGAGAGAGAGAGAGAGAGAGAGAGAGAGAGAGAGAGAGAGAGAGAGAGAGAGAGAGAGAGAGAGAGAGAGAGAGAGAGAGAGAGAGGAGAGAGAGAGAGAGAGAGAGAGAGAGAGGACTGGTATTTACAATAAGTATATGAAATTTGTGACACATTTGTAGTGTTGTGTTGTTTTGTAATGATATGAATGATAAGCCAAAGACATTGTTATTGTTTTTGTTTTGTTATTAAATATATTGTTATTATATTATATAAGATATTAATAGTTATCTAATTAGTTGACCGCAAATGTAGTAAAACAATGGCGTCTTCTTCGTCAACAGCGGACAGTTGTTTTACCCGCGATTTTCTCCGTAAGAATCCATTGATCAAAGAGGTAACCATCGATGAACTGATTAACAATGGTTTCGAAGATAAAGAGCTACTCTTACTCATCAACATCGACACAGACTTGGAAACGTTGAACATAGCATTGGCTCAGAAGATATTACTAAAAAAGATTTTGATTGAACTGAAGAAATCAGAGGAAACCGATTTTGAAGTGAGTCTCCAGCAGAAGATAGCTCAAGACATCAGTGACACAAAAGCCAATATAAGTCTCGTTAAGACTGAACCAATTGACACTTCTATCGTCGCGAGTGCCGTAAAGTCGGAACCGATTGATAGTCCATCGGGAAGTAGTTTTGTTGTTAAGAAGGAACCAATTGATCAATTGTTTAACAACTTATTTGAACAATGCAAATCTGTCAGTACTACCAATACATCATCACCACTGCATCCAGTGATAACATCATTGTCTTCAGTAATGACAACATCACTGTCTTCTGCTATAACATTACCACTGTCTTCAACGACAACAACATCACTCTCTTCTGTAATGACAACACCACAACTACCTCCAGTGATAACGACGACAATAACAACAGCTACAGTAAACACTAATAGTGACTTCAATAGTATTGTTGAGACTAATTCAAGCAAAAGAAAATCATTAGTGACATCTCCATCAGCCACACTGTTATCACCCATTCCAACAACTAGTCATCAAAGTAGAGAATTGAAGAGATCCATTGATGAAACACTTTATAATGTTACTCAACCTTGTATTATGATATCACCCATTCCTTCTAATAGTCATCAATCAGATGTATCACCGAAACCATCTACGAGTAGATTATCAACTAATAGTTTATCTTTGCAAATGCCAAAGCCAGAAGTAACGTCAACGCCTGCCATAAATAGACAACTGGTTCGCCGAAATCGGCCACCAATTGGTCCCAAATGTAGAATCGATGAAATTAGAGAACGATATGAAAGAACGAAAAAATTATTGGACAAATGTGATGTCTGTATCGGAACCCGATATGTGCTCAGGAGTTCACTTATTGATCAAACATTTGCGCCAAAAAATATTGACAAAAATACAGCAGAAGAAACTCACGCATTGATAATAGACAAACGTTCAGAAAGTGATTCAATTGATGACAACTCTCAGGAATTCAATAGCAATCAATCGAGTGACGACACTTTGCCCGCCGATAGCATTGAAGACAATAATGTATCGACAAATGATATGTCGATGACCACCATTACTGATGAATCTCAGACTGAGAGTCAAATAGATGAAGAAGAAGTTGAAGAGATGAATAATGGGTACAACTCGACGTCAACAATGAGATCGGGTGGCAAACGACGCAAAAGAAAGACATCGTTAACATCATCTCAGAGTTCGTCAAAGAATATGAAGACAATAAAAAATATTCAAGAGATTAAATATGACTGTCTGTTCTCAAAATGTAACAAAAAGTTTAGCCATTTTGAAGAACTTCGTAATCATCGACTGACACATATCATTGCCAACGATAAGGACATTAAAGACAAATGATTTGAGAAAAACGGTATTTTTAGTGATAGACCTGTGCCTTATCAATGACTTACAAAAGTTATATAATATTTATCTACAAAACTTAACTAATTGTTGAACAATATGTGTTTGATTGTTGTGTGCAATGATATTAATGGCCGTAATATAAGCTCAGTTGGCTTTTTAACGGTATTTTCTATATACAATACAATTTATATACTCATAAACTTATCATTATTTAATTTTAAATACAAAAAAAAATATTTGACTTTAAAAACAAATTAACAAAAATGTTATTTACAACGAATACAATATAATCATTATTATTATTATCGAAAATTTCGGTAAATGTTAAATTGATTAACTTTTGTAAAAAAAATTAATTTAATTAATTAAAACATTTCATATTATCGTAATTTACATATATTTTTATAATTATAATAACGTTACTTATGTCTGTTAATTAGTTATCAATTAAATTTATTTTCAATTTTAAGTTTGAAAACATTTGGCGCAAAACATAACAGTTTGTCACATAAGTAGACAAACCTCTCAACACATGTATAATAATTTAGTCAACACTTTCATACTATTAATAGTAATATTAGTATTAAATTAATTTAATATCATATCAACTAAAATGTGTTTTTTAGGTTATCATCAAATTTGAAATCAATTGCAATAATTATATATTTTTCTTTTCAATCAATTTATTGTAAATGTGTTGATAATGTCGTTGAATTCAACAGACAATTGTTTTACTACAACTTTCTTCAAAAAAAGTCAATTGATTACAGACAACACCATTAAAGTCTTATTAGACAACGGTTTTGATAGCAAAGAGCTGTTACTGTTGTTAGACGTCGATAAAGATATCAATGATCTCAACATTAATTTGGCACAAAAATCGGCGTTAAAGAAGATATTAACCGTTTTGAAGGCAACCGATGGACAGTGTTTTGAAAAGAGTTTGGTCCGAAAGATTGCCAATGATATCAACGACGCGTCGACGAAAACAGTGGTTAAATTTGAGATAATTGTTTTAGACGACACCGAAATTAATGACAAACATTTGCAATCACCGACTGAACCGTCGGCAGAGAATCAAATGACTGATTTTGATCACAATTTACAATCGACAGAAACAACAGTTGACCAAAACGTAAACGATTTGATTACTTCAGAGAAGTCGTCCACTAATGGACAGAGTAGTTGTCAAACTCTACCGATTAGCGAGCAGTCGACCAATTGTCGATCGATTGATGACATAACCACAAGTGGTATATCGACAGCTTCGTCATCGACGTCAACAACGACATCACTATTCGACAGTCAATTGTTGACTAATACCAGACACTTAACTTCCACTCCATTTTCATCCACAAAAACTTGTCTTCCAATTGATTGTAATTATAATAATAATAATAATAATAATAATAATAATAATAATAAGTCAGACGAGAGACGTGTAAATTCTTTCAAATGTCGATTCAAGAATTGCTACGAAATGTTTGCCACACATAAAGAGTTGTCAAAACATAGAGATCATAAGCACAGGACTGATGAAAGCTCTGCGAAGAAGAAGAAGAATGTCGAGGAATTAGATATTAATTTACCGAACTATTCGCCAGAAACAGTGGTTAAAGAAAACCAGTACCGATGCGATCGACCAGATTGTGGCAAACTATTTAAAACTGAGGTAACACTCAAAAAACACTGGAAATACTATTGTAAATCAAAGTCAGCCAAAAGCCATGATTTACCAAAACTGACTGCAATACCGATTGAAAAGCAATATAAATGTGATGTTAATGGTTGTGGAAAATCATTTAATTTAAATTTTGAACTTAAAGTACATAATAATCAAAAACATGCCTCCAATACAACCAACATTTTGACAGATGTCACTCCCGATGTTGAGGCCAATCGTACTGTTGAAAAGATATCTAAAACTTTTCCAATTAATCCATACAATAAAAAGCCGCACATTTGTGTCTTCTGCGGTCAAAAGTTCTCTCAATTATCTGATCTCTCGTCTCATAAGCTCAACGACATCAGAGACAGACAATACTCTTGTCAAACATTACACCAATTAAATACTAGTCATAAAAAACAAAGTAAACGCAATTAAATTTAGATTTGTTTGAATTTAAAAAAAAATTATTTTTCAACAAAATGTTTAATTTAAATTTCAATTTAAAAATGTTTTTTTAAGTGTTTTCAAATATTTTGTGTGATTTTTATGCAATATTTTTTATATTACCGTAAATATATTTTTTAGTAATCAATCAACATTTTTGTTTAAAACTGATAGATATTATAATTGTTTTTTAAAACCAAATATAAATACGATAATCATTTTTTACTATTAAATTAATTAAAAAAGAATTAATTATTTATTTAATGTCGATTACAACGTTTGGTGACCAGTGGCCTGTTGTACGGCGATGGCATCGGTGTTGTACTCGTGTATGACCTAAAAAATACATCATTTGTAAAGAAAATATCAAATCCGTGGCCGGGCTTTGAATAAGAAGTGACGTCCTCTTCTGGGTTGAGATCCTCTTCCCGTTCCAATTCTCCATAATTAATGGTACTCTTATGCGGTTCAGTTGTTTTTGTCATCTTTAGTGTTGATCTTATAGTAGTCGATGATATTGTTTGAGTTGTTGGTACAGTTGTGTTAAAAATGATGCCAATTGTATGTAATTTTCTTGTTGGTGCAGATGTATATGAATTTTGAAATTTTTCAATTGTTTTGCCACCGATGACAGTGGGATTGATATGTGTCTTGTATATTAATAGATTGTTAGTTATTAATATCATTTTTCTCAAACTTACCGATGTTGTGGTCGATAGTGTTTTGCTGGAAGTGCTCGTCGACAACAATTTAGTTATTCTTAAACTTGGTCTCTGTGTCGTTGGTGTGTATTGTATAGAAGTTATGGTCTGTTTTTTAGAGGATATACTAATATGAGGTATAGTTGTAGTCTTCGAAACTATTTTGGGTGTCAAAGATCTTGTTGTCGTTGTTGATGATATGAAAGAAGTGGTATAATTATTAGTTTTTTTCATATGCATCTCAATAAACATTGTCTTATTATGCCCTTTGCTATCATTCAATTGTTTTGTCGTAACTTCTTTATGTGGATATTTTCCATTGATATTTTCATGTCTTATAGTGGATCCGCTAGTCTGCAGATCGTCTCGTCGACGGCATTGACATTTTGTATGATTGGAAAACCTAATTGTCTCAATGTGTCTAAGAAATTGCTATCAGATAACTATCCCTCTAAGAAAATGTAACATATTTTACTTACCGTTCCGTAATGCCATCATCTGTTTTAACCAATGTATAAAAACCAATGTCGACCTCCTGTTCCTCACTGGCTCTACAAGTTTGTCTCGGATTGGGACAACAGGCAAACAGATCACTACACCGATACAGTATGGTAGCCCGGGGCAAATATATCTTATTATTAGTATCGTTAACATATACTACAGTAGGCTTCGGTAGATCGCAACGACCATTGATTGCTATCTCGACTAATGTATTCTTTACTCTATTGTGTAGTAATACATGGGAATCGATGTCTGATATATTTAGCGATTGAAATGTCTTAATAAGACAATTGATTAAAATTATTATTATATATTTAATATTTATTAAATTCATTTAATCAATAAACTATATATAAAATTATATTTATTATTTATATAATGTAAATGTGATTGTAAATTAAACATTTAAAAAATATTGCTAAAATCATATTCATATTTTGTTTTTACAACTAATTTTGAAAATCTTAAAAAATGAAAATAATTAAAATTATAATTACATTTTTTGTCAGTTAAGTTCAATGCCATAAATATATTTGATTTTTTTAATCAATATAATCTTATTAATTAATTGTATATATAAATATATAGTTTTATACAGAGGCTATTGACTATGGTTAATTCTATTTATAAACTTTTATTAATTATAAAGTGTAGATAAAATTAAAAAAGTCTATTTTTTGATAAACTATTACTATATTTGATAAATAAGTTTTAATTGTAAATTAAATAAATGTTTAATTATAAATAAACATTATTATTTTTCTATTTTCAATACTTTTGTTGATCGTATTTTAATAATTATTTTAAAAATAATAATAATAAAAAATATTTTTACTAAAAATAAAAAATACTAAAATTAAATGATGTCCTTCACAATGATATTCCCCAATCTATTCAAAAAATAAAAATAATTTTGCAAACATTTTCAAACAAAACTTTTAATTTTCTCAACATTAGTCTAAGATATACTGTGAATAGAAATATCATAATAAGAAATAAATATATATTTATTTAATATAAATTAATGTTATAAAGAAAAACAATTGAATATAATTTTTTTCATAATTAAATTTTACGCATAGCCTTCACATTTTCGTTATCTAATAATAATCTTATAAATTAAATGCAAATCTAATTATATGTTTGCCATAAGTTAACTACCGGTGCGAGTACTGAACTTTCATTAATATTACTATTGATTAGTCTATTGTTTTTAACTTGTTTTTAATTTTAATAATCTACAAATATTAAAATATTTTATATCAAAAATATATTTGACTATAAATTGATGAAAAATTTCTAAAATATAAATATTTACGAAAAACAACAATTTATTTACTTTTATAATTGTATGACTAAAACTTAAATTATAATTTCAACAACAAAAAATTAATTGTAATAAAAATTATATGTAAACACTAATAATATGCAAATGAAATATTTAAAAAATATTTTATTAATAATATATGTATGTGATTTGCTAATTGAATCGATAAGTGCTAACTGTATGAGCGCCCGGAGCCAGACATCCGATGCTGACTGTTATATCAAACATTTGGCCCGAGAAAATGTCATGAGAATGGGTTTGGAGGGTGGATGCGATCAACCACGACAACAGATTGTTTATCCCGACGACTCCACCAAAATATATATGCCTAGAGGTTAGTCATCATATTTTTTGTAATATAAAATATTATTTTTTTAAAATTTATTAATTAATAGTTTTATATTTTACAGTATTTATACTCTAAATATCACTTTAAGAAAATTGTTAAATCCATTATATAATTAGATTAAATACTCTATATTTATCAAAAAAAAACATAAAAATTATTATTATTATTATTACTAAATATTAACGTCAATTTACTAAATAGTTAAATAAAATCATTTTATCAATTTTTTATACAAATTAGTATAAATAGCTATAAATTTTTAAATACTAAACACTAATCAATAATTATATATATATATTTTTGAAAGTGTTATAAATGTTTGAATAAAAAGTTTTTATTAATAGTAATTGAATTTCAAAATAATTGTTTATTAGGAACTTTACTCTTCCGTTGTAACGATCAGTCGGGTTGTTGTCCACAGAAAGAGCACTCATGTCTGCCCCTACAGGAAGAGGAGCTTAGAGTAGCTTTTTATAGCATTGAGTGTATGGGTGGCGATAGTAGGCCGACACCCGAATATGTAACGCTAAAAAACCATACGAAATGTGGATGTCGTCCGCGACCCGATGACAGTCTCGGCTACGATTCACCGCAACGACTTCTCAGTGGTGTATGCGGTGGAAGTCGTCAAATGAAAGCTCAACCCCAACAGTATTCCAATTATGGTGGAGGAGGTGGTAGTGATAGTAGTAATGGTGGATATGCTAGTTATGGTGGATATGGTCAACAGTCTAGTGGATATGGTTCACAATATGCCGGTTCCCAACAGTCATCTAATCCAATGTCATCATCCAGATCGACGAGTCCGTGCGCCAACTCTATGTCCAGCGGACCGATGGTCGACGGACAGGTCATTAGGGGTACTATTCGAGTGATGATCGGTCCCAAAGGATTTATGCCTAACAGACAGCAACAACAGCCCTGTCCTTATGGATAACGATCTATAATTTGAAGTTATCATACAATTATAAACTAACAAAAAATATTAAGCAAACTAATTAAAGATCTAAAATTATTTTTATTAAATTAAATTCAAAAAATTAATTATATATATATTTTTAAAAAATAATAACTACTGTATAAACTATATTTAGCAATAAAAAAATAAAATTACTCATAACATGTAAATCATAAATTGCATTTACATTTGTTAAAAATATTATAATTATATAAATAATTATATAATTAATTTTGTAAAAAAATTAATTATTAAATATATACAAAGTTTTTAAAAATTAAGTAAAAAGTTTTGAGTTTTACACACGTTTTATGTGAAACATTAGTCACGTGTTGGCAATGTTTAGCACAAATTGAATATATTTTTTCATTGATGTAATCATTCAATCATTTCATTGAAAGCATTGATTCAATAATTGATAACACATTTGATCCACAATATTGAGCGCCAATTGAATCAACAATTATTGAATCAATCGGTTTGTTTGGCCAATCAATTGGTGTCCATTGAAAATGTCGAGACGGACGCCAAAGTCGTCGACTGTCTCGTCTGATGTCGAGATGACTGATGTCGACAAAGAAGAAGAAAAGCAAAGAAAACGACTGAAAGAGGCCGAAGATAAGGCTGGAGTTTCGTTTGGATTCTTCGAAGAGTTCTTCAAACTAGATGGCGATCCGACCGCTATGTTGACCAATCCGAGTCTCAATCCACTCGGCAATCCTAACCGTGAATGGTATGCCGATTCAGTCAAGAAAGAAGAACCCGAAGTCAAAGAGGAAAAAAAAGAAAGGTATTATCAATTGTTGCCGACTGTGATGTCCAGTCTCGACAACAGTAGATGTCTTGTTGTCCACCGATTGAATGACTTCAATGTTATTACAGTTTAAATTAAGATTAATTTGTTTTATTACAGTAAATACAGAGGAAAACAATATGTGACCGAAGTTCGCGAAAAAGAGAGACAAAGGATTATTGTAAATAATTTTCGACAATTGAATTGATTATCAATTGATTGTATCGACATTTGAAGTGATAATAATTTATTGATTTTGTTTTGTTGTACAGAAAGCGCAAATAGAAGAGAATCGACAAAAGGCCGAACTTCGGCAGGAGTTATACGACAGTCCGGAGCCAAGTCATGCGTCGAGTCAGATGTCGATCAGTGGCCAATCTAAACGACCGCAAAGCAGATTACGACAATTTTTGTCCACCCAATCGCTTCAGTCGACGGCATCGACTGATATATTAAGTGTTGGTACGGCTAAACCTCCGGCATTTCCGCACACCATCGAAGAGGGCGAAGATATGAGTGAATTGATTAGTCAGTACTTTTCCAGCGATAAACCAAAACGCGCTGCACTGCCGATCACTAAATATGAGGAGACGATATTGAGCGCAATCGACATTAACCGAGTGATTATTATCGAAGGCGCCACAGGTTGCGGTAAGACTACACAAGTTCCGCAATACATTGCCGATCACTGTGCGGGACAGGGATTACCGTTCAATATAGTGGTTACTCAACCGCGACGTATCGCAGCCAAGTCTATCAGTGCCCGTGTGGCTGAAGAAAGAGGCTGGGAATTGGGGACTATTGTTGGATATCAAATTGGTTTGTATTTTATGTGAAAATACCATCAATTTTATTAGATATCATATAATATTTGGTTATTTTTTGTTGATAGGTATGGATAAGTCGAAAGTCAATGAAGACACTCGTTTACTTTACTGTACGACTGGAGTACTTCTTCAACGACTTATAAACACCCGTAAACTCGACAACTATTCGCATATTATTATCGATGAAGTTCACGAACGATCCATTGATACAGATCTGCTATTATTAGTTATTAAACGATTAATGTCTGTTCAAAGTGTATCCGTAAAGATCATATTGATGTCGGCCACGTTTGAAGTGCCAAAACTGATGGACTATTTTACAATTCCTATCTTTAACAATGAGGGTCAACAGATCAACGAGTTTTCGCCGGCACACATCAAGATTATTGAGAGACCACACAAATTGTCAATTTTTTATTTGTCTTCAATCAAAAGTGGTCTAAACATTTTGGATACACCGCAATACCGTGATATCCGTGAATACCAGAGTGCCATTATCGATAAGGACATTCCTTGTGTGTCTTATGAGGCTATGGAGGTCTGTGTTAAGATACTTGAAGAGGGCCTCGAGGGTCTCGATGGTAATTACTTAATTAATATCATATTTCTATTTAGTAATTACTTTTTTTAATCATTAGAGTCGAGTACTAAAGGATCTGTTTTGGTGTTTCTTCCCGGACTCGAGGAAATCACTGAATTAAAGGCTCGACTCGAGGATAAAAAAGATACGTCTAAACCGAGTAAAAATTGGGCCATTTATCCGCTTCACTCATCCATACCACTTGATAAACAAAATGAAATTTTTAAACGTCCGCTGCTCACTGAACGAAAAGTTATATTGGCCACCAATATAGCCGAAAGCTCTATAACTGTGCCCGACGTGACTTATGTTATTGATTTTTGTCTGACCAAAACACTTGTATGTGATATAGAAACTCATTTCCCAGTTCTTCGACTGGAATGGGCATCAAAAGCCAATTTGGATCAAAGGGCCGGTCGTGCTGGACGTGTAAGTACTGGTCGAGTTTACCGTTTAGTCGAAGAACCTTTTTTTAGACGCTTGCCTGACTATAACGAGCCAGAGTTGGTCCGCGCACCACTGGATCTATCGATACTTAGGGTCAAGATGTTAGACATGGGATCACCAAAAGAGCTCTTAGGATTAGCTCTTTCACCACCCGATTTGGCTGATATTTATCAATCGATGCTTCAACTCAAACAAGTGGGCGCTTTTAAAATCATGACTACAGATCGGGAAACAAATCGAGTTTATTATGATGAAGAAGATGGCGATATCACCACATTGGGAGTCATTATATCTAATTTGCCAATCGATATACGACTCGGCAAACTTGTCGTTATGGGACATGTATTCGATTGTCTCGAAGATTGTATTATAATAGCTGCCTGTCTTTCAACTCATGGTACGGTTTACTTACAGTAAATTTTTTAAAATTAACGTTTATTTACAACAAAAAAAACTTTATTTAAAGGTATTTTCCGTAAGGATTTCAATGAAGGACTGAACGCCTATAAATCGCGCCTTTCGTGGGCCGACCGATCATTTAGTGACGCTATTGCGTTGTCTAACGCATACAAAATATTTAAAAAATATTCCGTTGACTTTGAAGGCGACCGGAGCGGCAAATTGGCTGAGAGTTGGTGTCGACAAAACTTTTTGCAATACAAGCGTCTACTCGAAGTTGATTACATGATCGGTGATCTGATCAGTCGTTTAGCTTATTCTAATATCATACCTCCTAACCGACCCAATCGTAAGCGTAATCGACACGAAGACGAATTGATTGTAAAAGTAAGATAATGTTTGGCCACTAATGGTTTGATTGATTTATTGATTACAAAAAAATTGTCATTTTGTTTGTATTTAGGTTGTGATGTGCGCCGCTTTTTATCCCAACTTCTTTACGCGCAATCAGATAGACATCGAAAACATTCCGAAAATGTTGAGCGCGAAGGATCCGCTTAAGACTGTGGCTATTAACGGATTTCCACCCAATGAGGGTCCTCTCTATGCTAACAAAATTCGTCAATTGTTTTCTACTTATTGCTCGAAACGCATTGATCTCAACTTTGAAGACACTAAAGTCTATCTAACATTTTTGGATGACAGACACCCATTGACTGATGCTTTTGATCGACACGTTCCGTCTCATCTTAAGAGAGAACCATCAGAGTTGTCACTTTCAACAATTAAGTCTGAATCGAGACCAAGTTCGTCGATGTCCGACACGGCATCGATGTCCAGTTTGTCATCGAGTTTGACCAGTTTGAATAGGATAAGAATGGGAGACGCCAAAGATACTCTGATTAAGACTTCTGTCTACGTGGCACTGGCTATGAGAGGTTACCGATCGATTCCCAAAGAAGTGTCACGACTTCATCCCAGCAGTCTTTCTGAGCTAATGAAAAAGCTCGAGAGGTATAGAATTAATTGTTTTTTATTTTATTATTAATAATTGATAATATATTGTTTTATTTATCTAAAGAGTTAAAGAGGAATCGATGTCAGAATTCAGGACATTTCGTTCGCATCGCGTAGCAGTACCTCACGTTACGCCACGATATAAGTTGGCTAAACTACCACTGCCGGCGCTCGACTGTTCTGAAATAGACATTAAGATTACCCATATTGAGGATCCGTCTAAATTTTACGCACAATACGATCACGATTTTATTAGAACCCATTTAGAAGATCTATCGTTTATGATTAACTACGAATGCGAGTTCCGAAATTGTCACTCAGAGACCATCAAAATTGGCGACATTGTGATCGCACCCTATTATGATGATCAGGGGGCCCGTATGCAAGGCAGAGGTCGTATCGATAATATTGAATACAAAATGGGCACCAAAGAAGTGGATCGGGTATGTTTTGGACCATTAAACGTGACGTTTCTGGTAGTGATAACTGTTTGTTGTTGTTTTTACACAATTAGATTTCTGTGTTTTATATCGATATGGGATTCAATCTTACGTTTGACGACTTAAAAGAAGTGTCAAGTGTTACGTCACGTAACAGTACATCCTTTACAGGAATACCTCCGCTAGCATTTGAGTGTTCCCTCTCTGAAGTGAGCCCATCAGCTATCAGTTGTTTTGACAATAGATGGTCGAAGAGATCCATTAAATGTTTTAATAGTTTAAAGAAAAAATCAATAACTGGTATGCGATGACTAATTATACTAATAGTACATAATAGTGATTATAAAACTTGAATTTTACCTGTTTTTAGCCCGCATTTATTCAGTGGTCAATCGGGTGGTTAGAATGGAAATATTTGAAGGCAACAAACGGGACGAATCATTCAACGATATATTGGTGTCTATCGGTTTGGCCGAAAAGATAACTGAAACACAACAGTCGCAGCTAAATCACGATCACCGGCGTCGGGCGTGTCTCGACCGAAACAAAACACTCAGTCATTCGCAGGATCCGCTAAAACTCGAAACTTTTGACAAACCGGGTATCTTTGATCCCGACGATGTCATCGAGTTTGATGTCGACAGTGAGCGAAATAATCTATTCCGTGACAGTCACGAAAAGATTGCCATTAAAGGTCCACACAGTCCTCTTGAGGTAATCACTAACTTAATTATATTTTATAATTTTGATTATGTGTTTGATTGAAAATATTATTAAATTAAATTATAATTTAGTGTACTTTTATTGGTGTCAACCGTAAAACTGCTCACAAAACAGTTCACGTCGACAAAGATTCAGTAAATCACATAGTGTTAGAACCCGACTATATGTCCAAAACTGGTCGTCTATTGGTTTCATCATCTATTGGTTTAAGCAATAATACAAACAATATTACTTTACGCGACACAACTCTTATGCCAAACATACGCGGATTTGCGTCACTTGTGGCAATGTTATTTGCACCGCGTGTCCAACTAAGAGCCGATCGGGAACGCAAAGAATATGTCGGCGCTATCTGTGGTCTCGGATATGACAAACGAACTTTTAAAGGCTACGATCCCGACTCTGACGCTGAGGTATTGCCGAAAATATTAAAAATATCTTTTATTAATTGACTAATAATTGTAATATTATTTTATATTTAAAGATTATTTTTGATTCTGATATATCGAGAGACGATGTAATCAAAGTAAATATTATCCGCTATAATATCAGTACACTGTTGGCTAGTCTTCGTTCGCTGCAAGAGTATGTCGCCGGATCTCTGGCCACAACGCAACGCAAAGTCAGACGCAATATCATTCAACTGTTGGACAGACGCCGACGGGTTATCGATTGTAGTAAATATCAGCCAAGTTTCAAATGGTTTGATCTGAAAGAGCACTCGTCTACTGCCGACAAAAATGAGGCTCAAATGAATTCCGAACTGTTGCCCGTCTGCGAACAGGTCCAACTGGTCAACTTTGACTGGTATGAAGACATAACAACTAATTTGGATCAATTGAAACAATCGCAGCAAAAGTATGTTTTATTAATAATGATTTTTAGATTTCAATAATTTTTAAATAATGTTTGACACTATATATTATTTTTTTATAGTACTGACAAACAACAGAAGCCGACACTGGTTTGCAAGTTATGCGGTTTTAAGTCCTACTCGCGTCCCGACATACAAATCCATTTGACGAGTCAACAACATTTGGATCGTATCATCGAATTTAACAAAGAGCTAAAGATTAGGGTCCAACACAAGGAACGCGAAAAATATTTACGTAATAATGAGATGGAAGACATCGAAGAAGGAAATGAAGAAATTATCGATATATTTGATGAAGACTCTGAAGAAGATTGAGATGACATTTGTCTATTCATTAACTTTTAGAAATTGTTTTCTCAAAACTTATTTTCTATTTACTTGTTTTATCATAATAATTAATGTGTAGTTAATAATCATTGATTATTATTTTTGTTTGTTTGTTAATTTCTATCATTTAAATCATTACAATAATTGAAATAAAATATTGATTGCTTTATGTTTCAGATATTCAATTATAATATTGTTATTGTCAAACACATACACAAAAAAAACATTTTTTATTAAATTCAATGATATTAATAAAGAAAATTGAATAAATTAGATTTTTCTTATTATTTTCATTCTTTATTGTATTGTTTTGTTTCAAATATTTGCATAATTATATATATCATACAAAAAATGATAACAGATTATTGTGTTAACATGTTTTGAGATTTATTGGACGATATCACCTGTTTTTTGAATATGGATATCACGTTTAGTGTGTTATGTAATGTCTTATTAATTATTAATTAAAAAAGCGTAATAATTATTGTTATTTTTCCATATTATAACAAATATTATTAAAGCATTTGATAAATGCGATTATTATTAAATTTATGTGTAATTTTTTTTATTGCGATTATTATTTTCAATTTTATAAATTTAATTAACCAATAGTATTAAAAACATTGTCAAAAGTATTTTTTGTTGTTGTGTTAGAAAATTAATTAATTAATTAATAAAAAACATTTTTGCAATAATTTAAATTAATTTTTATAAATTTAGCGTTTAATTAAAATGAAATATACAGTATGTTATGAAAATTAATATATAATATTTGTTTTATCTCTGAGTAGTTTGAACTGAATATTCATAACTTATTTAATAATTTTAGTTTAAATTTTTTAAAAATATATATTATTTTTTATATAACATAAGAGTAAATATCATAGCATTGAGTAAACATTTAATAATTATATCACATTATGTACTGTAGATTATTTGACTCACAAATCTAAAAAATTTTGTCAAAAATTGACTATTTTTAATATGTGATAAATATTAATTATAAATAAATTCATTTAGATTTTTACTCAAAATAATAATTTTATCATTTGTCAACATTTATAAAAAGATAAATTAATTTTTGTGAATTTGTTATTATTATTATTATCATCAGTTTAATTATTTCAATAATTTACATTTAAGCAATAATACTGTATAATCTATGTTTTATACTATAAATATATGCTATTTAAATTTAAGATAATTATGATAATTATATAAAAATAAAACCACGTTTTGTATTGATTTAATAGAATTTTTTTTAAAAATCATTCAAATATTTCTAACATTTTATTAATCTTTTTAGTTATAGTTACCATAAAAAGTTATTATAATTTTTTTAATAATCAATTTTGTTTATTGATTAAAAAAGTTACAAATTTATTATACGTGTTTTTATTATTTATGAATTATATATTAATCTGATTTTGAATAATGATAATTAATTTTATAGCTTTTATTTAATAGTTTGCTTAGATTTTACTATCTCTTTTATAATGATTTTTTTTGTATAGTATTTTTATATCATTAGACAGATATATAATATAAAATCAATTAACTGAGACATAACAAAAAAAAAGTGATTTATTTTATTGTTTGTAACATTTATATAATTTTTGTTTTTTTATATTATAGGATTTTACTTAAATAAATTATTATAATTTAATTTTTTATATATAGATTTTTATTTATATTTTTCGAAACAATTATAAGTTTTAAATATAATTTAAGAAATATTTTGTTGTCTTTTTATAATTTGTATTTTCTCTCTATATATATATTCATTTATATATAACTTAACTTCATTTCACAATATTTTTGGTATTAAATATACAAAAGGTTTATCACAAATAAAATAAAAATAATAATATATATACTTATTATACTAATTTTTTAAAAATCAAAATATCATAATATGTATAATTAATAATAATTATAAGATTAAACAATAATTTCAATATTAATATATCAATAATAATAATAATAATAATAATAATAATAATTATTATTATTATTAGTTTAAGAATAGAATATTAATATAAGCAACATATCATAAAATGAATACATTATACAATTACTAATAGACTTATTAAATATAAAATAAAATTACAATTATTAACAAATTATACTTAAATTGTTCCTTAGTTTTATGATATTTGTTTTACAAATTTTTTTTAAATTTATGTTTTTATAATTTTTATTATTAACATGAGTTATATATTTATGTAAAATAAAAAAAAATACACAAAGTATACTAATAATTTTTGGGGAAATATTTCATACGATTTATTACAGAGAGTGAGCAATACTATTACGGGCAAAAATTATAGAGTAAAACATTTTATTTGATATTTTAAGATTTTAATGATATTTTTAACAAAATCCTAGATATTGTTAGATAGTTTTATATGAAAATAAAATATATATTTGCTTTAAATCTAAATTAACATTTGAAATCTAAAATGACAAAAATATTAAGATTTTTTTTCCTTAATTTATTTATGATCTCTATTTGTGATTTGACTGGCTATTCAATCTTTTGATATTATATTTTTTATATTTAATATCAAATATATTATTGATTATTTTCAATTTATATCAAAAATTTATATCCCAAACCCATTACATTATACCTTTACATTATATGATACTTTTAAACTATAGTTTCAAATTTAATGGCTTCAATTATATATTAAAATATTTTATAATCAATTATATTAGATTATAATATATAAATTTGTTTTAAATATAAATAGATATATATTAATAGATAATTGAAAAGTTTAATTTTAATGTTTAATATATTGTTAAATTTGCCCTTTAATAATATAGCTCATCATCTCCTGTATATTTTACATTTATTTGGAATTTTATTATTTTTATTTTATTATTTACTTAAATATTTAGGTAACATATAGTAGTTATAAAATGAATATACAATAATTTAAATATAAAGTTCAAAAATAATTAAAATGATTAATAATTATCAATATTAATTATATTTTTATCAAAATAAACATCCATCAAATTAAAAACACATTTTAAATATATAATCATTTATCCACAAATAATTTCAATGTAAAATTATATATAATATTTTTTATAACAATATAATAATTGTATCTATAAGTCTAAACAACATTTTAAAAAATCAAATGAAATAATTTGTTTTTTTATATTTAATATTTATATAAATTTGATACATTATTATTATTTTGGTGACCAATTTTTAAAAACTAGATGAGTTGGGAAATTATGGGTCATTTTCCTATATAGACATAACAAATATGACTGAACTCCCGGTGTTTATATATATATAAATATATGATTATAAATGTGAGGTTATTATAGTAGTAGACAACACTGGGATTCATTTCTTTAAGACATTTTTATTTTCTTAATATACAATAAGACATTTATTTATATTAATATACAAATATTAATGTATGAGTTTTATTTTATATGTTTAACTCATAACTGATATACTTATAAATTGTTTTTTTACCGAATATTATTGTTATTTATTGTTATTATTGATCTTCTATTTTATAAGTAATTTGTTAACAAATTGTTTTTCATTAAATAAATTAACTGATTTTCATTGACTATAATACATATTAAATATTTGGCTTTTAAAACAATTGTTTTTTGTTGTTGTTTTTTTAAATTTACCACAAATCCCAATGATTATTATATGGATATATATATATATAGTATATATATATATATAAATATAGTATATGGTGTGGTTAGTTATTGGTCAGTGATGGTGATGATCACAATAGACTGGTCTCCGCTCTATTAATTTCGTTGACGATCTGCGCGTGTTCTTCAAGTAGTCGCGCGAACTCTTCCTTACGGAGCCGGGCGTGAGCCTAAACACGTGCACACAAATTAAATATATTATTATTAATAATTTTTGATAAACATTATCTTAGTATTTCAACATCAACAAAAAAAATCATAATAAAATTAATAATATTAATAATTTGTTTTTTTAAATTAATGACTAAAAAAATATTTTTTTATCTAAAGTATGTGTTCATTAATTTTGATGTAATGAATATTTTCTATTAATTTTATAACTTATTAAAAATTAATTAATTTTTACTCAAAATTTTATTTATAGTTTCAACTTTTTTAAATGAAAATGTTAGTGTGAGTGCTTTAATTTTGATGAATATATCATACAAATATATAAATAATAAATATATATAAAATTGAAAATGATGTGATAGATTAATTTGATCCATCAAATCAATTATAAGCTCATAAACTATACTCATCTACAATATATACTGTAGGATATACTTATATTTTTATCTCATATATCGTATCTCATAATACATTATTATATAAATTAATATATATATTGTTTAGAATATTTTTTACCGGAGTGTATATCCATTTGTCATATGATAAATGCCTTAAAGTTAAATATACTATAGTTTAGTATCTATTATCATAAGTGGATATGACTTTATTTATTAGTTTGCAATATATTTTATTAAAATATATTATGTCATTGAAATGTCTTTATTAATATATATATTGAATATATAACTGAAACAAATGAAAGTAGTCTTTAGTGAAGTAAAAGCTTTTAGGATTTGTCTCTCTGTCTGTCAGTGATAACCAATTTTGGATAATATATTATAAATATATTGATATCTATATTTGGTATACTAATCTATATATATAAAATTTATATAACAATACAATAAAAAAAATAATTTCGTTTATTGTGAAATTCAATGTCATTGCAATTGAAATACAAATAAATATATTGCATTGTGTATCACAACATACAAAATAATAGCCAATATTTCTCTCTTTCTCTCTCACTCACTCACTCACTCACACACTCACTCACTCACTCACTCACTCACTCACTCACTCACTCACTCACTCACTCACTCACTCACTCACTCACTCACTCACTCACTCACTCACTCACTCACTCACTAACTCGGTTTGTATAGTTAATGTACAGTGCATTTAAAGTGCAAACATATGAAGATAAACATGATATATGCGCAAATCGGTACACATCTACTCTATGATAGTAATGGTGGCTAAAATACTGGTAGACAGAGACTACTGGTTTAAGAATACTACTGTTTTACACTAATGTTAAGTTATAGTGATATATATATATATATATAATATAATTTATATTCAATAATATCAGCACAAAAAAGGAGAGAAATAGAGTCATCAAATTCATTGGATATAACTATAGATGTCAACGACTTTTTGAACAATATTTTTAAGAAGAAAAGTAAAACAAAAATTTATTTTAAAGATATCATTACAAAACAATTTACAATATATACGCAAATTTGCTCATATATTATATATAATTTATATATCAGTCTATATACATATAGAATCTGTATTTACATATAGAAATTATAATTGTATCATAAACTGGATATAATAAATACATAAATACTGGGACTTATTTGTTAACTGACTCATAGAATATTCTTCAACAATAATAACTTATTTTATATATAATAAGAATATTTAAATATTATATATAAAAATATTAATTCAGTAATGTATGACACTATTATAATATAGTATTATTATATAAGATTCTATATACATGATATATATAAAGATAAACAAGTACTGTATACACGATATGTTATATATATGATATATATATATATATATATATATATATAATATATAAAAACATATATTGAATTAATGGTGCCATAAATTTCATAATAGTGTGCACACAATCCTTTTAAATATATATATATATAAAGTTATATAAGACGAGTTTATGTATATAAAACTAAATTCACATAAATTGACGGCTAAAGTAATCATAGATATCATACATTTATGTAAATTATTATTTTTTAAAAAATAAAAATAATTTTAATAATAAATTAATACTTACTATAATTGACTGCACGATGTCGTCCTCTTCTCGTGCCTTTCGTGGCGTTTCTAAAGATATATAAAAATTAAATGTATTATTATTTTTGATAATAAAATCTATACAATAAATATAATTCTTTGTTTTCTTAATAATGTATAATAATATTTTTAAATAAATTTTTAAAATAAATTATTGCTAATAGTAATTAATTTTTAAAATATAAAATAATATAATTTTTTCAAAAAATACTAAAAGACTTTTAATAAATTATTCCTCAAATAAGTTAATAAATTGAAGATTATTAAATTAATTCAAACTTAGTATTTTTATTATAAAAATTAAAATAATATTTAAAAAATATCTTAAAAAGCAAATATATATTTAAAATAAAAATTAATTCAACATTTACTGTTATTATTGCATAATATTTAAATAATGAAATTATAATTTTTATGTCACTGTCTAACTAGCTTATTATTATAATAATATATATTTATTTAGTGCTAATTTATTATAAAAATATTAAATAATCAATTTATTATAAAATAGTTTTCAAGGCCTTAACTATTAATAAGTTTATATAAAGTTTGTTTAAACAACTCTCAATATAACCAATAGAATCGAGTTTTTAAATTCAAATATTTATTTGTTTAAACAAATTTAACTGAATTCTAGTATAAAAATTTGTACACAAAATATCATATTATTCTATACAATATAAATATAATGTACTGTATATTATGTTTAACTATTACATGGATTTATAGCAGTAATTGAAAAGTATAAATGAAAAAAAATCATAATTTATGTAAAGAACCTTGATAAAATTAAAGAATACATATAAACTATTATAAACATTAAACTAGTAAAATTTTAAATATTTACAAATGTAGTTAAATAAATAACATTTATCTTTAAATTAAAAAAGTTATCATGATAATTCGAGTTTTATACAGTAGTATGTTATCTATTAGTATGATATGTGCCCACATTTATTACTCAAAATTCATCTATTTTTTATTTAGATTTTTTTCAATTAAAATTTATGTAATAAATAATTATATATATATATATATAGTTTTTAATATGTTTTTAAAGAATACAAACATTTAATTTATTATTTTCTTGTAAATATATCTAAATATTATTTTTTTTTAATTATTACACTCTGTGTAAGTAATAAACTTGTTTATAATTATGTGCTCAGACAACGACAAATTATTGAATAAAAATCTAAATATATTTATATTTATTTTAAATTTCTAACAAAAGTCATTTAAGCATCATAATTATTATAATAAAATTTTTTTATTTTGAATATAGTTAATTACAAAAAATATATAATTAAATATAATAATAGTGCTTATAATTATTTTTTTATTTATCTAATTAGACATATTTACTCATAAATTATTACCAATAAACCCACATAAAATAAATACTATATTTTTCATTATTCATAAACAAAATCTAAACTTAATGTTATTATAATGTATATAAAATATGCGGATATTTTTATTCAGAAAAAATACATTTATTTCATAATACCGTATACATTGAATTGAGATAACATATAAATATATACATTATATACTGATTTTTGTTGAGTAAATATTTTTTTGTCAATTTATTTTTAATATAATCTATGTGTGTGTGTGTGTTTTCTGTAACATACAAATAATAATAAAAAAACTGATTAAATTCATTTATAAATAAAAATCAATAAATAGTATACAGTATTTGAAATAAAATGAAAATTTCAATACACAATAGATGCTAAAATATATTGTATATACCGTATGTATAATATTAAAAATATCCTATTTATATATGTATACAAATATTCTGTATATATTTAAACAACATTCTAATCAGTTTAACATAAAGAATATTTTAAACGTATTTTGCATACAATACCTCTTTTATTCACTTAACAAATATTCAATTTATGTTATAAAATGTCTTAAAATAGAAATTTTAATTAGTTATAAATTGTGAATAATAACATTTATATTGTACTGTATTTATATATAATAAGATAATAATGCAAATATGAATATATCATAGATAGTTAATAAAAAAATTGCTAAACAATTGAAAACTTTGTGAAAAAATAAACTTTAAAATATATAACTACAACTAATAATACTGTATATTAAGAATTTTCATATTAAGTCAAATTTAATTTAAATCTGCTTTCGTGTATTAATTGTTTAAAATATTATAAAATAAATAAATATTATTAATAAATTGTTATAAAATATTTTGAGTAACTATATTTTAAGTTTCAAAAAATCTATTATATTGTATTTTATCGTAATATCAATTATTGAACCATTAGAAGTTTATATAAAAATATTAATATATTACCAAGAAATTTATACGAAAAAATTATTATAATTAAGAAAATTTATACTGTATTTAATATATATAATATTTATATCATATATATGAGATACAGTTACATGTTTTATATTTTGTATATAAAGTAATATAATATCTACTGTACTTTACATACAATCTGTAGGTAATTTAGTAGGAAATATAAAAAATAAGATAAAGTTTTTCATTAAAAAAAATCAAACTATCGTTTTGTAACTCCCGTTGAGTTTTATCATTAGTATGTTTTGTATTCGAATGTATTGAATGAAAAAAATAATATCAATTTTTAAATAATTTTTTTTAAATAAAAATATACAAAACTTATTTCAAAACATTACATATTGAATATTAAGTATAGAATATTCTGTTCAATCATTTTAAAAAATATACATTTGTAAAGAATTGTATGTAAAATAATTTTTATATACTGTATCATAAAAAAAGTTGCGATTTGTTTGCTTATATTATTTGTATATTCAATGATTTTTTCGGATATTTCTTGAGGCATAACCAACATAAAGGTAATATTACAATAACACAGTGTCTATAAATAGTTAAAATCTATCAGTAAGCTATATACAGTATAATTTATATATATATAAATATACATAAGAATAATTATTATTTTTATATATAAATGCAATATAATATTTTGATTTTTCTAATCGATTAACTTTTTTCACAATAAACACTGATACTATTTTTGAAAATAATTATTATGATTGAAAATTTTCAAAATGCTTAAGTAATATTTATATATTTTTCCATTAAAGTTTATGTTTAAAAAAACTTATTTTACTAATTTGTTAAACTTGTTTGACATTTAATATTATGTACTAATAATAATTATAAAAATATACGGTATTTATAATAAAATTGTTTAAAAAAACTAAGATATGAAGCAACTAATTAATTGACATTTTATATAAAGTTTATTTTTAACAATACTGTATATAAATATTGTATATATAATTGTTTTATGCGATGGCTTTACGTACAAAAATAAAAAAGCTATAATTATAATCATTACTGTTATTTGTAAATTAGTTTACATTTAGCCTTTTTTATCTATTAAATATCAAAAAACTAATTGTTAAATCAATTATTATACTGTAAATGACGAAAAAACATTGTAAGAGATATAATTCTCTAATGAATTGAAATCATTTATCATTTGCCATTTATAAACCATTTTGTATACAACTGTAAGGTCCTAATGAAAATATTGCCTAATTTAAAGGCAACAATAGGACAGTTTATCTAAAATTAAACCCCAACTCAACGGGGAATTACAATATATTACCTGCAATTCATAAAAATTAACATTAGATACAATATATATATATATATATATATCTTTCTCTCTCAATATTTTATGTAACATATAATTTATTTAAAAATAATTAATATTTATTATCTGATAAAATATGTAATATTTTTTTAAATATCTGACAAAATTATACAGTACAGTATATTTTACTATATAACTTATTTCTATATATAATATGTACACACTGTATATTATAAATTAAATATATAATATAAATACTGTATATAACATACATTTAATTTTAATGGCAATGTATGCCTTATCGATGGGATTACACTATTGTATTATTTACCGGTAATATTGTTTGTCAATGTTTTTCTCCTCAATTTAAACACTAAACCACTTAAGAGGTATTAAACGTAAATTAAAAACAGAGAGAGATTTTGATTGTCACGTGAATATACTGTGTTGTTGTTGTGATTAAGTAATTTAAGACATAAATTTAGTGACACTATAAGTAAATGTATGGCACATGTGTCACATCAAATTAAATGATAAAATATAACTCTTTTTTTATCGATACTAACCAACTGTTCAGGTGTCACCTGTATTATACAGATATTTGTTCAGATTAAGTACTTTTAGGCATTATTGTTTGTTACAATAATAATAATGATACTAATAATTTTATATTAATATTATTATTATAGATATTGTTATAAATAAATATAAGTAGTCAATGTTCAATTAAGTTTTTTAAATAAGTCAACTAATAATTTATTTTATCAATTACAGAAAATGAAAATATGTTGATGATCACACTGGCCTCTAATTGAAATTATTAATTAATGTTTTATAATAATAATAAAAGTTTTATATTTTGAAAATCCATTAGTTATGCAAATGGCTTACTTCTGTTTTAATAGTAATTTAATAGTAGTTTTAATAACGATAATAATATTCAGTGTGTGTTTGAGTTTAAGTTTTTTTTATCGCAAAAATGCAATGAAATCTAATTAATTACATTATATGAGAACCTTAGTTAGTAATTGTATGACAAATAAAAAACAAATTAAAAGTTGTATTTTTTCGTAATAAAAATAAATGTTAGAATATATTGTATGAAAGTAAGTGAATGAGTGAGAGAGAGTGTGAGAGAGAGAAAGAAAGAAAGAGAGAGAGAGAGAGAGTTTATATTATAGTTTCACTACATATACAATGAGAGACAAAAACAGAATATTCTGTGACTTTTTATTTTTAATCAAAAAAGACTTACAGGACTTTTATAGATAACTGTTTTATAAATATAAAGCCATTAAAGACTAATTTATGTGAAATATGGCAATACATTTGCCATTATAGTGTTGAATTGATATTTGTTTTTTTAAGTCTATAAAATATTTTATATCAATATTT